TGAGTAAGGGAACATCTAGACTGTTGTTATTTTCCAGTGGGGTTTCAGTCACATGCTGGCAAAGACTGGGAGCTCTTACGCAACAAACCGGCTTCCCCCTTTCTGCGATAAGGAAAAGTTTCGGGGCAAAGTAGTGGGAAGTGTGGGTAACGTTGGCTTTGACACAACAGCCCTCTTAGTATTGCTCAGCCACTTCCAAAAAGTGCCAGGTTTTTTTGCTGGTTTCCATTTTGAGCCTAGTTCAAGGAAGGTTGCTGAATTCAGTCAAAGGACTCTTAAGCATCCCTCCCTTGCCACTGTGTCTGTCTAGAGGAAACTACCACACTGGGAGGAAAAGCCAGTCTCTCTCAGCACCGAGAGCTCTCCGCGATCACACAAGGTGTGGAGCCAGCTGAAAGGCCACCAAAGCAAACAGATAGGGAACTCCAGATCTCCAAAGCTGAGTCTTTAGTGTAGGACCAGGGAGGCCTGCAAGAGTTGCTGACATGACTTGTTTGTTTCAAGTGTACATGTGGAGACCTCCAGTTGGATTTCACACATTAATAAAACCTATATTTATACGGTAATGGTCTCTCTTGTTTCTGGAGGATCTGTGAAAACGGCATGAGGGTAGAAAGAGGTCTGCTTCCGTGTTCCTAGAATGAGGCACGGTTTTGGCATCCCAATTTCTGCGGCATTTCATGGGGAACAGAGAAGATCTTGTTATTTACTTGCCCTTCACCCTAATGTTCAACAAATAAAATACAACACTAAAAACAACTTCCAATACAGAAACAAGGTGGGTTCTAAAGATAGGCATTTCAAGCAGCCTCTTACAGCAATCGCGGTACCATTCTGTGTCATGTGCAGAGGCAAGATACTATTGAGGTTCCAGGGCTACTGTGCCTTTGAGTAAAAGCTTCCTTTTTCATAGCTTCCGCCCACCCTTTTACTGCTTCCTGTTTAAGACCATCCTCTTAAATTTGTAATTTGTTACCTTCCAGATAGAAGTTCTAATGGCAGTTCATCATGACAAGAGACAAACAATGTAAAAAGCTGATTGATACGAATCAGAAATAATAAAATAGCAGGTGAAAACACAATAAGGGGGAAAGCTTAAAGCATACTGTGGCTTTAAAGGACTAAGAGAAACTGGGGACTGGGGGGGCACAATTTAGTGAATAATTGTCACTTAATTTCCTTTAATTAGTCTGATGCTGTCCCCATTATGGGACGGGCAGGCTTTAATTACTGCTTTCCTTACATTCTTATGATTTTTATTTTAAAGCAGAAGAGAACCATGGGTGTTTGTGTGGTAGTGGAGATATGCATAAGAACCTTATTTATGAAAGGAGGGAGGAATGATGTATTTCTGCCCTGTTCAGTCATTCATGCAGGCCCAGGAAACTGGAAAAGCTGGAAAACTCTTCTTAGTCATTTCTCAATAAGATTCCCTCCCCTCGGTCCAAGACCCAACACTGCTTAAGGGTGTTGGGCGACTGGCAGAGAGAATGTAGATGAGGAGAGCTGCTGCCAGTCAGTGTCAAGAATACTCAGCTTGATAGGCCAGTGGTCTGACTCAGTATAAGCCAGCTTCCTACACTCCTGTGGGTAAAATATATTCAGTGGTACCTTGGTTCTCAAACTTAATCCATTCCTGAAGTCCCTTCCAAAACCAAAGCATTCCAAAACCAAGGCAAGTTTTCTTATGGGAAAGTAATGCAAAATGGATCAATACGTTCCAGACTTTTAAAAACAACCCATAAAACAGCAGTTTAACATGAATATTACTATCTAACGAGACCATTGGTCCATAAAATGAAAGCAATAAACAATGTACTGCAGTCACACAATCAATCAATCAGTAGCTGAACTGGGTTCCACACAGACACAAAAACAAAACAAAAGGAGCTGCAAAAACAAAAATGCAAAATAAATATCAAAAACAGACAGACCTCAGCATAACAGTCAAAATGGAAGTGTGGCACTCAAATCGGAAGCATAACTCTCAAAACGGAGCACATTCAGCTTCCGAAAAAAGTTCGCAAACTGGAACACTTACTTCCGGGCTTGCAGTGTTTGGGTTCCAAGTTGTTTGAGTACCAGGGCGTTTGGGAACCAAGGTACCACTGTAAATATATTTGAAAACCTCAGATTGTTATGGCCCTTCAGTTAGAATGTTTATCTGAAAATACATATCATACCTATCCCTGGATGATAATTTGGGTGTTGTTGTTTTTGTAAAAAGTTTTTGTTGAACATTTTTTCACAAAAATGTAGTACAACAAAGTACTACAAAATCACCATAGTGACACAAAGCCATGAGGAAAGTGAGGTGGGCAGTGAGAGACATAATACAGAGGGATTTTTATTATTCTGAAATTGCAGAACTGAGTCAAACCAAAAAGCACAGATGAGATGCTGGATTACAATTAGTCACATCCCAGGAAAAACGTTGAACCTGGATGCAATGAGTCATCAAAGGGCACACCTTGACGATATTTACATTATCAGGTCAACACACATACAAACACACCTTTTGATATTGGGCTGTTTCCCCCCTGTTTTCCCCCTGTTTCTAAACAATATTAAAATACACAAAAAAGGTACAAACTGTATACAAACACTCTATTTCGCACTGTACCTTAAATTAAAAAATAATAATCCTGCAGTTTACATCACAGGGAAAAAAATGGTTATACCTATTAATATCTAGAATGCATTGATTTTTCATGAAATAAAGTGAAGAGAGACTGGTTTATTTGTTTGCTTTATATCCCACCTTTCCTCCACATAGCTTAAGGTGGCAAATATGGTTTTCCTCCCTCCCCATTTTATCCACACAACAACCCTGTGAGGTAGGCTAAGAGACAGCAACTTGCCCAACGTCACCCAGGGGGCTTCATGGCAGAGTGGGGATTAGCACTCTGGTCTCCCGGGGCGCGGGTGGCGCTGTGGGTTAAACCACAGAGCCAAGGACTTAGAATCTTAGAATCATAGAATCATAGAGTTGGAAGAGACCACAAGGGCCATCGAGTCCAACCCCCTGCCAAGCAGGAAACACCATCAGAGCACTCCTGACATATGGTTGTCAAGCCTCTGCTTAAAGACCTCCAAAGAAGGAGACTCCACCACACTCCTTGGCATCAAGTGCAAGTAGATAAATAGGTACCACTCCGGCGGGAAGGTAAACGGCATTTCCGTGCGCTGCTCTGGTTCGCCAGAAGCAGCTTAGTCATGCTGGCCACATGACCCGGAAGCTGTACGCCGGCTCCCTCGGCCAATAAAGCAAGATGAGCGCCGCAACCCCAGAGTCGGCCATGACTGGACCTAATGGTCAGAGGTCCCTTTACCTTTACTCCCAGGTCTTAGTCCAATACTCCGCCACTACACCAGACTTGGCTTTGAGAGTTCTCAATCTTGTTTAAACTTGTACAAAAAGTTGCATACATTCCAAGACACCTGCCTATCAAATATTGTATTAATGGAGGAAGTAAATTACGCACCAGTCAGGTGCAATTCTCGCATCCACATCTATCCAACAGTTCTAAAGGAATACAGTAATGAAACATTAGGCTGACTGAATACCGGTATATAATTCTCCCACAGACCATTCAATCTCCATGAATTTAGGTAAGGACATGAGAAGCGCCTGCTGGATCATGCCAGCGGCCCGTCTCACCCAGAATCCTGTTCTTACAGTGGCCAACCAGATGCATATGGAAAACCCACAAGCAGGACCTGAGGGCACCTGCAGTTTCCGTCAACTGGTATTCAGAAACCTCCATGTGTAAGAAATGGGTCCAAGCTCAACTTACCGTATTTTTTGCTCTATAAGACTCACTTTTTCCCTCCTAAAAAGTAAGGGGAAATGTGTGTTCGTCTTATGGAGCAAATGCAGGCTGTGCAGCCAGCGGCGTAGCGTGGGTTGTAAGCACCCGGGGCAAGGCAAGTAATTTGCGCCCCCTAACCCCTAACCTGCCGCCGCTGCCAGCTTCTTCTTGCTGCTGCCTGGTCTGGTCTGGTGTGGTTCTCTCCCGCGCTCAGCGCTGCGCTGGGCGGCCGCTGCACTGTCCCTCCCCCAGATAGTCCCTCGCTCTCTCTCCGCACCGCACGCCTGGCACCCACCCTCTCCACAGTGGGCGGTGACCCAGCGGCTCGGATCGGATTCGCACAGCCAGCACTGCAGTGAGAGAGTGAGTGAGCCAGGTAGGGGCAGAGAGCTGCGAGTGCGAGCGCGCGCCCCCCCGATGTTGCGCCCGGTGCGGCCGGCCCCCCCTGCACCCCCCACACTACGCCACTGTGTGCAGCTATCATAGAAGCCAGAACAGCAAGAGGGATTGCTGCTTTCACTGTGCAGCGATCCCTCTTGCTGTTCTGGCTTCTGAGATTCAGAATATATTTTTTCTTGTTTTCCTCCTCCAAAAACTAGGTGCATCTTGTGGTCGGTATTTAAGCAGCTACAGAGGTTAGTTCAGGTTGCATACTCCCATCGAATTGCATCCATTTTATATTAGGCAAAGAAAGGATGAACTCATTTGATGCCCTGCATTTCCTTGGGGGATGAGAGACGAGACGCTTTTCACTGCCACGGATTTGGGAGGCAGCCTGAGCACCTGGAATGACTCCCTTCCTGCCAGCAGCCAACACCACCCTTAGCTGCTGATGAAGGCAGCTTGACTAAGAGGCCAAACCAGAAGGGCTGGAACACCATCATTTCTGGTTTCACAGGGAGTGGTGCTGCAGCTTAAACCAGAGTTGCAAATTCTGGCCAGGCACATGGGTGGGTGGTGAAGGATGCTGAGATGAAACCGATGTGCTGAGCCACATCAAGGGGTAAACACTGCCGATTAGACTGGTGACATTTGCACATCACAGTAGGCAAGGGTTCCTGATTGAGCAGCGCAATGCCACATTCTCCCCGCACTTCCTTTTTGTGCGGTTGGTTAAAACATGCCAGGACGTCACTGTTCTGCTCAGCTTCCCATGACACGTGGACCTGACATTCTGATTTGTTAGGAAGAGATGTAGCTCAGTGGATTGAATATCTGCCTTGCATGCAGAAGGGCCCAGGCTTGATCTCCGACATCTCCAAATAGGGCTGGGAGAGATTTCCCTGGTTGCAGCCCTGGAGAGCTGCTGCCAGTCAGTGTGGACAATACTGAGCTGGATGGACCCAAGTCATTCTGGACTCACAGCTGTCCATGGAGGCGCAGGTCTGTTCTGTGTCCAGGGCAGCTGTTTATCAGCTCCATCTGGTACGCAGGCTGAGACCCTACCTGCCCGCAGACTGTCTCGCCAGAGTGGTGCATGCTCTGGTTATCTCTCGCTTGGACTACTGCAATGCGCTCTATGTGGGGCTACCTTTGAAGGTGACCCGGAAACTACAACTAAGCCAGAATGCGGCAGCTAGACTGGTGACTGGGAGCGGCCGCCGAGACCATATAACAGCAGTCTTGAAAGACCTAAACTGGCTCACAGTACGTTTCCGAGCACAAGCGTCTCCACCCCCATCGTTCTGCCCGGACACTGAGGTCCAGCGCCGAGGGCCTTCTGGCGGTTCCCTCGCTGCTAGAAGCCAAGTTACAGGGAACCAGGCAGAGGGCCTTCTCTGTGGCACCCGCCCTGCGGAACGCCCTCCCACCAGATGTCAAAGAGAAAAATAACTACCAAACTTTTAGAACACATCTGAAGGCAGCCCTGTTTAGGGAATCTTTTAATGTTTAATAGGTTATGTATTTTAGTGTTTTGTTGGAAGCTGCCCAGAGTGGCTGGGGAAACCCAGATGGCCAGATGGGCGGGATATAAATAAAAAATTATTATTATTATTATTATTATTATTATTATTATTAGGATCTGGCTGGGGAGAAGGTAGCTTTTTATGTTCCTGTTTCAATCACCATCCCCCCCCCCAAATGCATCTGAAATTAAAATCTGCCGTGTTGTTCTTTCTGTTTTTCCCAAGGCCTCTACTCTTCTCTCTAGCTGTGCTGGACAGAGGTGGCTACTCAGACTGAGCAACAGCCATTTAGTATTAGCGTGCAGAGAACAGAACCTCCGTATTCAGGGCAAAAAGCACTCTGCCCATGCTCTTGGCCACTCTTGTTTAGCATTGCTTCTCACATTCCAGGGTTCTTTGCAAACAGGTTTTGCAGCTGAACCTTCAGGTAACCCCCAGGAAATAATAAGAGGGTTGCCAATGGCTTTCCAGACCCCAGCAGCATGTCTTGCACATCTGGAGAAGGTTTAGGACAGGCAGAAATCCCACAGGTGCTTGTTTCCAGCAAAAGGGATGCAGAGTCACAGGAGCGGATATCTCCACGTTTACGCAATTCTGCATAGAGGCGGCTGCATCTGAAGCAAATCCAGTGGAGCAGTAAGCAAGCCGTTCTGCCTGTGCCAGAAAACGCACACGAATGCACTCTGTGGTAATCCAGCGCCTATCTTGCTCGCCTTCTCTGCTCAATCTTCCCCTCCCTGGTTTTGTGTTTTTTTCCCCCCCTTCTGGAAGCTCTGCCAGCTGCGAGAGAGGCAGTTTGTAAGGCCAAGTGGGAAGGGCTTTCTTTGCAGGAAGTTACGGCTGCAAAATAAACTGACAGAGGGCAGGAGCCTTCACAGAGACAAAAATAAACCGCCGGGGAGGCGAAGAGAAGCTTGCTCTGAATGCAACGCGAACCTCCCAGAGGCCTATTGAAAAAGCAGATCAACACAGACAGAAACAACGGCAGACGACAGAAAGACCCTGATGGAACAAAGGGCACGGCTGCATTGGCCATCCGCTCGGAAGATCCTTCGCCGGAGGTAAAATTTCGCGGGTGGTCAGAGGGGTCACGCCAGCGCAGGGCCAACTCTGAGCCGTTTTCCCGCGCTTCTCTCTCGGAGGGCTCTGGTGACAAGGGAGGGTTGGTAAGGGAAGCAGTAAAGTCATCCCAGCTGCCCCGATTCCCTTCGATTTTTCCTTGGTAGAGGCTCAGGGAGATCATGCGTTCTGATTTGCTTCACAAAGTTTTTTGGGGTTTTCCCCCCCAATTTAAAACAAATATATCAACAAACATAAAAAGAAAACATCAAAAAACAAGCAAGCAAACAAACATATGTTGTTGTTGTTGTTTAGTCGTGTCCGACTCTTCGTGACCCCATGGACCAGAGCACGCCAGGCACTCCTGTCTTCCACTGCCTCCCGCAGTTTGGTCAAACTCATGCTGGTAGCTTCAAGAAGACTGTCCAACCATCTCATCCTCTGTCGTCCCCTTCTCCTTGTGCCCTCCATCTTTCCCAGGATCAGGGTCTTTTCCAGGGAGTCTTCTCTTCTCATGAGGTGGCCAAAGTATTGGAGCCTCAGCTTCACGATCTGTCCTTCCAGTGAGCAAAACAAACATATATCCTAACTCTAAAAATTCCACTTTTGTTAACATTAAGTGACTTCTTCGAATCCCCCTAGCTGAGTTTCCATAGAAATCATTGTAGCAGTTTTCCAAAACTAGTTTCACGTAAAATTTACTTAGTCCAATTAACACCTTTCTTTCTTTTCGTTTTAACTTTTAATCCATGGTATTCTACAATATCACATATTTAAATCCTAGGCCAATTTGGTACTTGCAAGTAATTCTATTTAAGTTATCTTAACATATTTAACTGAATAATCTTTGAATTTCTTCCATTCCTCTTGATACTCTTCCTCCTTCTGGTCGCAGACTCTTCCGCTCAGGTTGGCTAGCTCTGAAAAATCCATCATCTGTTTCACAAAGTTTTAGGTGTCAGCTGTTGGTTCACTATTCATTCTGATTTGTTTCCTGGCAGAGGTGCCAACTTAAATAAAATATTGGGGGGTAAGCCCTGCCCCACCTAACTGATCATAAGACATGGGGCACACACACAATTTTAATGGCAATGCCTATCAACTATTGGGGGCAGGCCCCCTCAAATATTTCAGGGGGAAGCAAAGGGCCCTTGGACCCCAGGAGTTGGCTCCTATGTTTCCTGGGAGGTTATATGATGTTGCTTCGAGCAAATGTTGTCCCACATTTTCCTTTGCCTTTCTCTGTCACTTTTCTTATTGCAAAAAGTCTGGAGCAGGTTGGGGGGGGGAGCAGGTTTGTTGCACAAAAGCACCAAATTATCTTGAATTGCGCAAGCTGAATTTGCCGGTATGTAATTGAATTTCGTCAAAAGATAGCAAGAGCCTGGAAACGCCCACAGACAACAAAACAAAAATATACTGTATATGGTATAATCCTGTCAGGTGTTTTTCTCCCAAGAGTAGAGGGAAGTGCAAGGTAGCTAAAAAGCTAGCTCCCTATATTCCTACTCTCTACATTCATGAAGATTTAGCAAATCCCTCCCTATTGCGATATTTAAGATCAGCTCAAACAACTTGGCTATATTCTCTGAGCACCCAAGTTCTTCAGGCCATTATCATTATGGGGGAAATGCAGGGGTGGGTGACAGCCCCATGGAGATAGGCCCCAGAGTCTTGCCAAAGTGTTGCTATACAGTGGTACCTTGGGTTAAGTACTTAATTCGTTCCGGAGGTCTGTACTTAACCTGAAACTGTTCTTAACCTGAAGCACCACTTTAGCTAATGGGGCCTCCTGCTGCTGCCGCGCCACCGGAGCATGATTTCTGTTCTTATCCTGAAGCAAAGTTCTTAACCTGAAGCACTATTTCTGGGTTAGTGGAGTCTGTAACCTGAAGCGTATGTAACCCGAGGTACCACTGTAACTTCTTGTTTGTGCTAGCTTTGAATGGACAGAGTTCATTCGTTTCCAAGGCTAGAGAGCAATCCCAAGTTATTAAGGATCACCGGCCCCATTTTGTGATACACATTAAACTGTTTCCACTGTTAACCAATTACGAATTGCACAGAAAGGTTCTGAACTTTAAAACTTTAAAAGAACACAAATGTTCTACCTAACTGAAATTTCGAGGAGAGTGAGTTACAAATGTGTTGCATCAGTGTTTTCCTTTTAATTGCCATTCAGATGTATCACTCTTTGGTCAATCTCTCTGCTGACTTTGAGGGGACTGCTGGAAGCTGGGCTGAATCTGAGCTGGGACTCAGTCCAGCATGACAGAGTTCAGTGTTTGATCAGAGTTCCAGAATTTTTTATTAAAGTTCTCACAATACAATAAAATACCTATATCTATATATCTGCAACAAATGTTTGATCAGAGTTCAGGATACCTGAAGGCTCCTGAGCATGTACAGAGTTAATTTTCCTCTTCATGCATCAGAAACAAAACCTAAGCCAAGAATGTAGCTCCCAGACGTCTGAACCTGAATATCTCTCCTTTAGAAATGAACCAATAGCTTTAGATTAATTTCATGTTAAAGCTTTGTATACCCCACTTTTCAAACACTTGTAGTAAAGCAAATCTACAATAAAACAAATTTATTGGAACAAAAAAAAAGGAAAGTCAAAGATGAAATGAAGCAGTAGCAATATACCCCAGCATTAAAAATGAGAGGCTCCTCGCATTTATTCAGCATTCAGCATTTGTTTGAACAAAGTATGTGCAGTGGTCTTTATTGCACATACATCCTGATTTGTTTGCAGAGGGATTGTGCAACAATGAACATTCATCCCAATTTGCTTGTGTGTTGTTCAGCAGGGCTGAGGAACCACAACTTACTTGTCCCTCTCCCCTTGCTGTTTGCCTTGCCTTGCTCAGCAAGGCTTGTTGGTGTGAAAACACACACATCTCAAGGTAACCAAAGAACAGCAGCAGATACAATTCCTTAGAGATAGGCCTGGATTTACAGGTAATGACAGGTGTGAACAGGCACACTCTCTGATGCTTTAAAGCCTCTCATCTTAACTCTTTGATGCCTGCCATGATGGATTCAGCTGCATAACTTTAGCCAAGATTCCAGACTCTGTAGTTTGACTTAAGATGCAGTGGCTGATCCTTGCAGTCTCTAGGATTCTGTTACCAGTTAAGCCAGGGGTAGGCAACATAAGGCCCAGGGGCTGGATGCAGCCCAATCGCCTTCTCAATCCAGCCCGCAGACGGTCCGGGAATCAGCGTGTTTTTACATAAGTAGAATGTGTCCTTTTATTTAAAATGCATCTCTGGGTTATTTGTGGGGCATAGGAATTCGTTCATTCCCTCCCCCCCAAAAAAGATAGTCTGGCTCACCACATGGTCTGAGGGACGGTGGACCGGTCCATGGCTGAAAAAGGTTGCTGACCCCTGAGCTAAGCTATAGCCACAGGGCTGCCAGCATGTGCTTTTGTTTTAGCTTCTCAGATGTCCACTGGAGTTTTCCCTTTAGCAGGAGGTGGTTGTACAGCAATTGTATTTTTTCTATCGATTTCTGCACATAAAAGCTACCGTTAAAAGCTCAAGAGAAGGCAAGGCTGATTTATTCCTGATCAGTTGCAAACCCCTGGACGCACATGGGGATGTAGCAGGTTCTGCAAAATTGAGCCCATTTTTGCATGCATTTGCTCGGAGAAAATCCATGCCTTCTCTCTCCGTCTTTTGCTTATTTGCGAATGATTTGTACCATGAATTCTGAGAGCAACGTTTAAGCTACCTGGCCTCAGAGCTCAAATTTCATTTGTCTTTTCCCCCGCTTTCTAACGGCACAGTGTTCTGAGCTGGCCTCTGCACCAGGAATTGCTAAGAGCCCTTCCGTTCCAGGAGAGTTCCAGGCCAGGCCACTGCGGCAAAGCCAGCTATAAATGTGTCCATCTTTGCCAGCTTGGTGAAGTCCTTTAGTGAGGCCTCCTGCTTTAAGGGGAGAGAGAGGAGGAAGAGGAGGAGAGCGGATTATTATTTCAGCTGGCTGTCAGTGACAGCAGAAAGACACACAGCAGAGCCACAAACAGGCTGGCATTGTGATGATGTGCAGCCACTGGAGATGGCAGGGAATGAAGCGAGAAAGACCTGCTAATTTGCCCCCAAGGTGCATGTGTGAATTTTACAAGAAGGACTCCCTCTTCTATTCACCTTCTTTCCAGTTTCTCTTCTCTCCTCTGTTTTCCCCTTCCTTCCGAAGGCCTTTCTCTCTTTCTTCTCCCCTCCTTATTTACACAGCTAGTGCTGCCCCTTGTGTACTATGGCTGCATGCAACTTTTACATACATGTAGGCAGCAGGCGGAAGTCAACAGGTGAAGCTCATCAAATTGGGGGTCTCCCAGAATGACAATATGTAGATTGGTCTGATGCATGTTTCCTGAAAAGTTCATTTTAGTGGGACTTGCTGTCAAGAAAGCGCACGTAAGGTTACTGGGACTAAATGTGTTGACTGTTTTTCTTTAAAGTTATATTTTTCCTTACTTCGTAGTGGAAAAGTATAATGAACCATGTTTGGGGCTTGTGTTCAGAGGGCTGCGGAGAAGAGACAGTTGCATGGATTATTGTAAGGTTAAAGAAAGTGGAAGAGAGGGGTTGAAGGAAGCATGGAATGGGAGGTGGGAATTTTCTAAAATGAAATTTGAAAATAATCTAGACTGGGTGATGTTGTTCCGTGCACAGCCATTAGCACCTTGGGCAGTGCAACCAAATTAGCCATCCTCACAAGGTGCACTTCTAAGCCCACCCAGTCTAAAATCCAATCATACTAGCCAAGGTGTGACTATGCCAAGGAAAGATAACTAAAGATAATCCTATTAGGGCAGGGACCCACCCCACCTTGTCATGAACCAAAAGGATTGGCCAGGAGCAACACGTCACTAATCCAATCAATTTTGGAATTCGCTTTGAAGCTTTTGTCCCCCAGAGTATAAAAACCAGGCTCCTGAATCCACTCTTGGCTCCTTTTCTGCTGGCCTCCACTACCTGCCTGAAGTCCTTCTTGCTGAATTGTTTTGCCCTGGACGAAACCCCGGTCTCTAGTGCTGCGTTCTCGCCCCTGCTTTTCCTCCACTGCCTCCAGTCTCCTGCTTCCCTGGGTCTCTACTTGGTGAAGCAGAAGTCCTTGCTGTTTCCAGCCTTACTTAGGACTTTCAACAAGCTCCAGGACTCCTTCTTTGCAATTGTCCACAGGGACTGAAAAGGTACCTTTGGCTTCCTCCCCTGTTTTCTGTTTTCACAACAAATGGTAGCCTCCAAACTTGCTCCTCCTTTCCTGTCTCTCAGAATGTGTGACTGTGTGTTTAGATCTGTTTTTTGTTTCCTACCAGTAGTGAGCATTTGTGTTTTGGAAGCCACCCTCTTGCATCACCTCTTGGCCTCTGTGGCCTTGCTCCTTCTTGGGCATGTGTAGTCAGGGAAGGGCTTGTGGGGTAGGTCATCTGCCTTCTATGCAGAACATCCCACATTCAGTCCCTGGCAACATCACCAGGTAGAGCTGGAGGAGAGACTTACCTGCCTAAAATCTTAGAGAGTCCCTATCAGTCCAACTTTGCCCCCATCCTCCCATCCTCCCGACCACTTGAAAATAGCGGATAGTCCTGGCAAACCACTTAATGATCTTTTCTTCCTGTTGTAGCAATTGTAATGTGCTGTGCTGGATGCTGTGCAATTTCTAATTATAATTCTATTTGTAATACAATGAATTACGGCTGGGTGATATATCGCTACAGCACCCAAAACCAGTTTGCAGTCCATATCATATCGGTTTCATAATATTTGACCTGGCAATATATTGCAAATCATGATGTGTCTTAGGGCTGGGCAATATATTGCCCAAAACCTGTTTGAAGTCCATATCATGATATCGGTTTCATAATATTTGTCCTGGCAATAAATCACAAATTGTGTGTGCGCTATGCAAAAAAATCACAATGTGGGGAAAACCGTGAAGCCAGCCAATGTTTCTCTCGATTCCTGTGGTCCCAATAACTTTGCTGGCTCAGCTCTCCCCTGCCTCATGCAGGGGGCAGAGAACCAAAAGAGCAGGCGCCGGCAAAAATCACAATGCAGGAAAAACCGGGGCCAGCCAATGCCTCTATATAGCTCCATCCTTATTTCAGACATTTTGCTATATCAGTATATTGCGATGTTTAGCAGGTGATTATATCATGATGTTGAAAACCAGATATTGCCCAGCCCTGCAATGAACTGCAATATAAAAGAAGCAATAAAATTACAATTAGAAACGAACACAAGTACTTAATGCAGGCATGCTGTGGACCACAGTTTGGGGACCTGTGGCATATAATAGCTTGGTTGTTTGATATGGTACAAGGCAACTTCCTATGTCCCTGTGGTTTAGAATTAGCTAATTCTCCCAAACCATTTTCTTGAGTCGTTCGCCATAATAGAAATGTACTGTTTGCTGAGCTATTCCCCACTGAAGGGTTAAATGTGTATATTTGATTCTTTCTGTGTGCGCTGTGAACATTCTCCCCATTCTAAGATCTGTGTGAGTGCAAGTTTCTAGATAAAACCTGCTATCGCCACTGTCTGGAGTTCCTAATTTGTGAGACTCCTAGAATGTGTGCATGTGAAACCCAGGTCTACCAAGGAGGATGGGGAGGAAACTGTAATCCTTAGATGAAGGGTGGTATATAAATTTAATTAATAAAATAAATAATAAAATCAGAACCATCTGTGAGACCTCTGGTTCCACCTGCCATTAGCTCCCCTGCCACTCACCCCACTGTTCCCAATCTACAGTGGGCTCTGAATCGGCTAATTCAGGTTGCTCAATTAACGTTGATTTTGCACTATTGTGCAGCGAGCGTGCTCCCCTCCCCATCCCCCAAAGGTCAGATTGTTTGCTGTAAGGAAAGTGACAGGTAATTTGCTCTGGGAGATAATGCTTTTTTGATGCAACACTGTCTAATCTCCCCATAATCAAATCGAGATGAATGCTCATTAAAGAATAGCTCTCACTGCAATCAAATCATGCTAAATGGTCATTAAACAGCTTGTCTGGAAGTGACCCTACAGTATTGATGTGAGCTGTTTTGAGGAAGGGAATTATCTGAAAGAAGTGAGAGAGAAATATATAGTATAAAATAGATATAGTGACAGAGGCAGGCTTGCTCAGGAGGCCTCTGGCCTCCAAGCTATGTCTGCCTCAGTGATGAGATTTTTGCAAATCTTGATTATCAGATTCTGGGGGAAAGGGTGGTGGTGGAAATTCCAGCTCTGCTTTCTGACCTTTTTACGTGTGTCTTCCAGTTGAAAGGCAGGTTCCTTCTGCCACCATGCCGTTCAGGAGATGGCCGTGCCAGGCAGGGAGCAGCTGGAGCAGGCTGAAGCAAATAGAGGCCAAGCAGAAGGCCGGCAGAGGCGTTGTAGCTTCCGCGATGCACCTGGACTCGGCGCTAGGTAAGGCAGAGTTCAAACTCCAGGGCCCTGCTTGCAGAGTCTGGAAATGGCTGAAGTAGTAAGAGTGTCTCTGAGCACGTTTGTTCTCTGGGCAGGGTGTCTTTCCTTCCTGCTCCTTATCCTTAAAAACTCCCTCTCTCAATGTCCAGGGGGTGCAGAGGTGATGGCTCCCCTTTTGCGGAATGCTCTCCCCAGAGAAATGCACCTGGCACCATTGTTGTCTGTTTTTAGTTGCCAGACATTTTTTTAAAAATAATTTGCTTTCTCCTTTGAACCTTAATTTGGAGGGTAGCTGGTTATGTTTGTTATCTTTATATTCCACTCATCCTTTTAAGTGGGTTGGGCAGGGATTGTTTTTGTGATTAGATAGATAGATCTGCATTTTGTTTTGTTTTTTTTTTTTTTTAAATCATATTTATTAAAGTTTCCAAAAATATAAAAATACAAAGAAAAAAGACAAAAGAAAAAAAGATATTTAAAAACCTTACTTTCATTCCCTACTTTCTGGGACTCCCCCCCTCCCCCCCCCAATTGTATTCCCCTTTCCTTAATTTGGTTCTACAAGCTCTCACTCCCAATTTAAAGCTTAATTTGTTTAACCCACTATCCAGATTGAATTGTACAAATCTTACCACCGTCCCACATCATTAACAGAAAAGAAAAAGATTTTCCCCAAGATCCACCCCAGTTCATTCAACAAATTCCCTTTTATATTAAACACGTCCGATCAAAGTAAAATAACATGCGTAAGTTATGTAAAGAAATAGAAAATAAGAGATATAGAAAAATTCAAAAGATGGTTACACAGCCTTTGGATTTCAAATCTCCCCCCCCCCCTTCCCCGGTTTGAATTCCCCATGTCCATCAGTCTATACATTATCAGCTTGGAAGTCTCATTTCATGACCAGATTTCTCCCGATTCCATCTTGCCGGTTTTCTTTTAATTTATTAATTTAAATAATATTTAACTTCAAATGTCCAATCTAACAAAGGCCTTTAATTTCCTTGATCTTTACCACTCCTCCCGTTGTTCTTTCCGTGTCGTAATCAGTCCTTTATTCTTCTTATTCCTCACTTTCTCAGGTTTCTTGTCCTGTTCAGCTGCTAAAACTTTCTAATTCAGAAATCTAGTGTCTTTGCAGAGGTTTGTTCAGAACAAAACGTCCCTTCAATAAAATCATTGTCTTGACTACTTCAGTTTTCCTAAAGATAACAAGTCTAACAGGTTTTCCTTACTCTGTATCCCGAACCCTGGGTTAATTTGTACCTCTAACAAGTCAAATTGTTGTTTTAGTTTATATCATATTGCAAATAACAGAAGGTCTATAACATCTTATTCCCCTTGATACAGCTGCTCGTCTCACAGGCCGGCGTCCCGGGGGGTTTTTTTTCACCTCACTTTCTCCTTCTTTAATTTCCCATTGTTTATAGTATACCTGTTCGTCTGTTTTGGAATGTAAGTTGACTTCTTTTAAATGCCCGTCCAAATCAAAGAACCCGTTATACGGTTCCAAATAAGTCACGCCGCGCGGTGCGGGGCAGACGCATCCTTAAAGGGCCCCATGTCGACCTGCCTTGTCCGACCCAGCCCCGCAGCGACTCGGGCGCTGGCGCGGCGTAGATCTTCATTTTGGAGTCTTCTTTTATTGCTGTTTTTATATTTGGTTTTAACATTTATTTATTTTTTGTTCGTATTTTTATTTTGTAAGACGCTTTGAGACACGTATGTTTAAAAAGCGATGCATAACTGTAAAAAATAATTAATGTATTAGGTAATATTGCATTAAAATATGTATATTAGGAGAAAAATTTACACTAAGATGCTGATGAATTTTCATGTCACCTTTTTTTTAAAAAAAAAAATGCAAACTGATATGGAAATATAGAGAACTGAATTTAAGACTGGAAAAATTAGAAACAGAGAAACTAAACTTCAGGCTTCCCTCTCCCTACTTTTCCTTTAAGGCTTTCCTTAAAACCCACCTGTGAAGCCCTTGATATGTCCCCTTCAACCTCATCTGCCACTGAAATTAAGCCCAAGTGCATGCTCCTTAGGGCAGAGACCTTCCTTCCATATTCCTAAGGACTAGAAACGTGCTTTTGATTTTACACATAAGATGGGACTGAACTTGGGCCCCATTGAAATCAACAACCCACTCATTTCAGCTAAGAGAACTAAGTTCAGCTGATTTAGTCTGGATCCAGCTACCTTACACGTGGTTCTGTGGCTTTGTTTCTCAAGTTACGTTTATAATAGGTAAATAATAAGTAGTAATGTGTAAATAATATAACATAAACCAATGCTGTAATAACTTTGTCCTGGAATCTCTCCTTGAAGGCACTGGGAACCGCCTGGTCCTCAAGAGGATCCTGCATGTGGACCGGACCTTGTTCTTCTTAAGATCAGCATCTCCTGTCAGGTAAGGATGCCCTGATGGGGTACTGAACTCTTGGCAACCTAGAAAACGAGTGGGGAACCACAGGCCCAGGGTCCAAATGCAGCCCTCCATTCTTCTCTACCTGGCCATTGGAACTTTAATCAGGCCACGCCCCTTATATGCCCTGCTACGCATATAAGTGTTTTTGACTGGCTGGAAGGTGTCCTTGATCTCTGAGAATGCCTCTCGCTTTTCTGGACAGAGGTTAGAGAGAGGTGCGCGAATGGGTGCAGAGGCTAGCCCTCTTTGGTTGGACTACAATGTCCAGGGTCCTTGGCCATTGGCCAATCTGGCTGCTGGGGCTGATTAGAGTTAGAGACCAACAACATCTGGTTAGCCACCCCTTCCTTGATTAGATACAAGAAGTGGTTCCCAATTAGCAAAGTACTGTGGACGCCCTGTTTTTCAAAAGCCAACCCACGAACCCCCTACTTTTGGTAGTTTTTGTTATGTGAATGGTGTCACCGTACCCTCCAACATGTCCCAGTGATGTGACCTTTTTGAGAACACGGTGCCCAAGAAATGTGCATTTTGGGGTGCTACAATCTTGTTCAAGACACAGCCAACCTCCTGGATGGGTTATGTGGACCCCTGGAGTCCACGGACCACCAATTGGGAACCACTGAGACAATGCAAGGGAAGCCTTTTTGAACATTCAAAAGTGTTCTATTACTTTTATACAGTCATACCTCGGCTCCCGAACACCTTGGGAGTCGAGCGCTCCGGCTCCCAAACGATCGAAAACCAGAAGTGAGTGCTCCAGTTTTCGAACATTCTTTCAGAAGCCAAACGTCCAACAAGGCTTCTGATTGGCTGCAGGAGCTTCCTTCAGCCAATCAGAAGCTGCGCTTTGGTTTCTGAACGTTTTGGAAGTCGAACAGACTTCCGGAACAGATTCCGTTTGACTTCCAAGGTACGACTGTATCTGCCTTCCTCCATATTTACTTTTATCATCTCTTGCTACTTTGTTAGCCATAAATTTATGTTGAAGATCTGTCTGTCTGCCTGCCTGTCTGTCTCTCTATCCAGACATAGGAAGCTGTCCACAGTCTGTTCTTTATGGAAACAACTGAATACATTTTTGTTTGTTTGTTTTCAAGCTCTAGAATGCATTTGTATTTGCAAAAAACAGAGCTGCCAGCTTGATAGGGGTTCCCTCTTCCTTAGCCACCTTTCCTTTCTTTTCTTTTCTTTTCTTTTTTTGAATAAACATTCACAAACTTTTTATTGATAATAATCAGTTAAATAATTTAAGGATGTATTTATTTATTTATATTAAATAAATTTTATTAGTATTTTCCACACAACAGCAACATGAAAAATATCGAAAAATAACAATACACAACACACAAAAACCAACATTCGAAAAACTAAAAAAGCAACAACAACAACAAACAAATCAATATCTTACAAGTTAATAATATAAACACTAAAAAAAGACACCTCACATTTTCTTTCCTCTCTCTCTTTCAGGGACTTTGTCTGTCATGTGGGAGGACCCCAGGGGTTCCCATCTCAGCCAACCTCCCCCAGACCAAGCCAGCCAGCACTGAAGAATGTGCCCACCTCTGGTAAATCCACTACTTTATGTTTCTAAGGAGCGATGCTGTTGCCGATCACTAATCTGTACCAGGGAACACAACTAGATTGCCTGGCAGGGGTGGAGTGGGACATTCCTACCACTGCCATTGGGGTCTGGGCAAAAACCCTTTGTGGTTTTCTCTTTTTAGCCATGCGCAAGAGATTTATGCAATTCTGCAATTACATTCAGACGTGCAATTTGATATCGAGGTGTAGACATGAGCAGCTTGGGAACCTTCGCTTTGGTTATTTTTAATTTTTAAAAGCAGGTTTCTATTTCTGATGAATTGGAAGGGATGCTTGAAAGCTGGGATGGAGAGCCTTTTCTGGCTGTGGGTGGGGGCAGATCTTAATCTCTCCAACCCCTGACGGTTTGGTTCCGACAAACGACTAGGGGTGCCATAGTGACGTCAGGTGATGCTGTGCTTTGAAGCCCCACTTGTCAGGACTTCAAAGCACAGCGCAGGGCTTTCAAACAGCCTTTTGTAAACATCTCATGATGATCCTTTGGTTTACAGATTCTTTGAAGTTAAGGAGCAACAAAGGACTTTCAGACATCCCCGTGCTGCTCTTTGAACCTCCAAAAATCAGAAAAGAGCAGTGGAGGAATGTTAGCAAAGGGCTGATTGAAAGTCTTTCTCCTGACATTGCGCTGCTTCTTAATCCCCTGAAAATTGGAGGTTTAAAAAGCAGTGCAGGGCTGTTTGGGAAACGGCTATCAAACAGCCCTTTGAACATGCAGTTTTCCAGTGGAAACTGCTTTTCCTGCATGAGCAAATAGGAACGTGGCTTGCTCCAGCAAAGGAACAAACTGTGCGCTTACCTGCATTGACATTGTGTATGGCTAACGGGGAGGATGTGTAAACATCCCACAAGCAAATCAGGATGAATGCAGGAGGAATGTTCATTGACTTGCAACCTCTCTGCAAATAAATCAAAACGAATGCTCAATAAACCCTGGATCTAATCTAACCTCTCTATAAGTGTTGTGCTAGCAAATCGGAACCAATGTGTAATAAATAGGTCACCCAGGAGCCCTAACTCTCACTTTTCTCCTCCGCAGAAGCCATCCAGAAACACCGCAAAAACCTCTCTGACTGGTTCCGCCAGCAGCCAAACGAGGAGCGTCAGTTTGGCCCGTCGTTCTCACTAGACACCACCCACGTGGACCCCGTGATCCGGGAGAGCTCCCTGGAGGAAATCCTGAAGCCTTCTCCTGAGATGACCATCCAGAACCAGCTGCAGGCCTCCCGTAGCCACACCATTGGCCTCCAGAACCTCTTTGATGTGGACGCCTGCGGGAATCAGGTGAAGAACGTGGTCCTCTATGGCACGGTGGGCACCGGGAAGAGCACCCTTATCAAGAAGATGGTGATGGACTGGTGTCACGGCCGCCTCCCGCGCTTTGAGCTGCTTATCCCATTCTCCTGTGAGGACCTTTCCCAAGGCAGTGCACCCATCTCCTTGCGGCGCATGATCACCAAGAAATATCTTCATCTCCGGGAGCTGGTGCCCACATTGGGTTCCAGCCACCTCAAAGTGCTCTTCATCCTCAATGGCCTGGACCGCCTCAATCTAGACTTCCGCCTGGCGCACACAGAACTCTGTTGCGACCCCAACGAGCCGATTCCTCCATCCGCCATTGTGGTCAACCTGCTGAGGAAATACATGATGCCAGAGGTTTGTGTTCAGGGAAGATTGTTCTTTATGTATTTAGAGCCTTTGAACCCGTTGTTCCACCAAAAGCTTCCCAGAGTGTCAAATAAACAAGACAGACCCTGCCTGCGAGCTTAAAATCTAAAACACACGGAAAAGGAGATAGGGAGGGAAGGGGGGGGGGAGATCGGAACTCAGGCACCAGTTCTTACTTAAGCAATTGTTCTTATAATGACTGTCTGGCACAGTTCAGAGGCAGGAGGCATCTGATGGGGTTTGATGCCTTCGGCAAAGCTGATGGATTGAGCTCAGCTTCCCATCTTTCATGCTGGTGGAATGGGTGGCTCCCTGAGTGAGACTGCTCGCCTCTTTCCCTTGAGGTCCACAAATGGTAGATGCTTAGAGAGAGAATCAGCAGCAGAATGCAGTGGCCTTCAGCAAACAAAAACCCATTTAATGGTGGTCCATTAAATTAAAATACAGCTGAGGAGCCTGTGACCCTCCATATGTTGTCAAACTCCAACTCCCTTCATCCCTGACCATTGACCATGCTGGTGGAAGTTGAAGTCCTACACATCTGGAGTGCCAGAGGTTCCCCATTCTCTGGCATAGACAATACTGAGCTGGATAGACCAATGGTCCGACTCAGAACCCAGGGGTAGAAAACTATCATTATGTTCTCAACTGACAGTCAGTGTCAACAATACTGAGCTAGATGGAAGAGTGTTCTGCCTTGGTATAAGGTAGTTCCCTAGGTTCTATGTCTTGTGTTCTGACCTTGGATTTCATTGACCAACCCATGTCTCCTGTCTCTCCAGGCAAGCATCATCGTCACCACACGGCCCTCAGCGGTGCGCCGCATCCCCAGCAAGTTTGTGGGCCGCTACGTCGAGGTCTGTGGCTTCTCTGACATCAACCTCCAGAAGCTCTACTTCCATTTGCGCCTGCGTAGGCCTGAGTGCCTCGGGGCCTCTGGCCCTCCAACGGCGGAGGAGGCAAACGAGCAGGACAACTTGGTGGAGATGCTGTCCAGGAACTTGGAGCGGCACAACCAGATTGCAGCCGCCTGCTTCCTGCCATCCTACTGCTGGCTGGTTTGCACCACATTGCACTTCCTTTACTTTACCAAGTCGGTGCCCCCCACTCAAACCCTCACCGGGATCTACACCAGCTTCCTGCGGCTCAACTTCAGCGGGGAGGTGCTGGACAGCACGGACCCCTCTGACATCTCCATGATGAAATACGTGTCCAAAACAGTGGGCAAGCTGGCCTACAAGGGGGTGATGTCCCGGCAGACCTCCTTCTCGGAAGAGGACCTGCGCCGCTGCTTTGAGGTGGAGATGAAGACAGAGAGTGAGCTCAACCTCCTGAATGTTTTCCGCAGAGACGTCTTCAGCTTTTTCCTGACGCCCAGCGTGCAGTCGGGCAAGGAGCACACCTTTGTCTTCACCATCCCTGCCATGCAGGAATACCTGGCGGCCCTCTACGTGGTCCTGGGCGAGAAGAAGACCCTGGGGCAACGGGTGGGCAAGGAGATCTCCGAGATCATTGGCAAGGTGAGTGAAGATGTGACTGTGGTCCTCAGCATCGTCTCCAAAGTCTTGCCTCTGCGCGTCCTGCCGGTGCTCTTCAGCCTCATCAAGGTCTTCCCCCGCTACTTCAGCCGGTTCACCAGCAAGGACCGCGACACCATCGCCCACACCATGGCGGTGGAGATGTTCAAGGAGGAGGACTACTTCAACGACGACGTGTTGGACCAGATCAACTTCAGCATCCTCGGGGTGGAAGGTCCCATGCGCCACCCGGACGAGGCTTCGGACGACGAGGTCTTTGAGCTCTTCCCCATCTTCATGGGAGGGCTGCTGTCACAGCGCAACCGGGCCATCCTGGACCAGCTGGGCTGCTCCATCAAGAACCTGGCAGCCTTTGAGATCGCCAAGGCCATGAAGAAGACGGTCATCCGCAACAGCCGCAAGGGCTTGCCACCGTCCGAGCTCATGGACTACCTCTTCTTTCTGCACGAGTTCCAGAATGAACGCTTCACAGCCGAGGCCATCCAGTCCTTGAGGACCATCAACCTCTCCTCTGTCAAGATGACCCCTCTCAAGTGCTCCGTCGTGGCATCTGTCGTGGGCACCACCAGTCATGAAGTGGAGGAGCTGAACTTGGCCTCTTGCCACCTCGACATCAACAGCTTAAAGATTCTCTTCCCTGTCTTGCTGCGGTGCAAAAAACTCCAGTGAGTGTTGGTTGGTTGGTTTATTGAATTTACATCCTGCCTTTCCTCCCCAAGGAACCCAAACAGACAATTTAGAAACAAAAGCACAGCAAAAACATTCTAAAATAGTTTAGAACTTTCTAAACTAAACTTTGCTGACCTTTAAAACTCTAAACAGCCTCAGCTAAGTATACCTGAAGGAGCGTCTCCACCCCCATCATTCAGCCCGGACATTGAGGTCCAGCTCCAAGGGCCTTCTGGCAGTTCCCTCACTGCTAGACATGAGGTTACAGGGAACCAGGCAGAGGGCCTTCTCGATGGTGGCACCCGCCCTGTGAAATGCCCTCCCATCAGATGTCAAGGAAATAAACAACTATCTTTTAGAAGACATCTGGAGGCAACTCTGTTTAGGGAAGTTTTTAATGTTTGATGTTTCTTCATATTTTTAATATTTTGTTGGAAGCCGCCCAGAGTGGCTGGGGAAATCCAGCCAGATGGGCAGGGTATAAATAATAAATAATTATTAAAGCAATTATAGTTAGAAACTTAATTCCCATCTAATATTATTGAGGTCCCAGGAACAGTATTCTTCAGCCAACCAAATGCCTGGGTAAGCAGGAATGTTTTCAAATTCCTCCTGGAAGTTAATAATGATGGAGGCAGGTGTGTCCCAGTAGGGAGGGCATTCCACAATTGGGGAACCACCACTAAAAAGGCCCTGCCGTGAGTCAATACCAACTGGGCACATCCCAGTGTTGGCACCACCAAAGAAGACCTCCTCTGCTGATCATAGGGTCCGAGATGGTTGGATTATGTATTCTCTCCAACGTTGCCCTAAGGAGAATTGTTATGTCAGGGCGAAGATTTAAGTTTGGCAATGGAACTTGCCCTTCTCTCCCCACATGTGTCCTGTATCCTCCCCTATATATGCTCTGAAGGGCTGGAGGGACCCCTAGAACTGATTCTGCAGGGCATGAGTGGGGGGGGGATGTGGAGGGGGGAAAAACCCATGTTACTCAAGCATAAATCCTTGCATGGATGGAGTGAGTTAGTTAGATACCGCCCTGAATGTTCCATAGTGACTTAGCACTTTGTTCACAAGCTCACATGACCAAGCTGTTGCTCAAAGACAAGCTCAGGTTGTAGAAACATAGGAAGCTCCTTTGTACCGTCCAGCCCAGTATCTTCTACTCTGACTTGCAGAAGCTCCCCAGGGTTTCAGGCAGAGAACAGTCTTTCCCAACCCTTGCTTCTTGCCATCTTGGAAATTGGCGATAGCAGATTTTCTGCCTCTGGGCTATGGAGGACCCCTTTTGCACCCCAGATTCCACCAGGCACCAGGAAGAACACCCACTGAGTAGACCTAAAGAAATAAATAGCCATGGCTCCTTGCTTTCAGCGGGTCTACTCTGAGTAAGACTTAGCTGGATACAGTCCCATGTCCTAACAATTTGCCAGGTTCGTTGTAATGTGTCTTCCCTCCGCAAGGTCACCACAGGTGACCAGGAATTTCATGCAGGCTGCCAGAGGAAGAATGGACTGCTCCATTACTCCTCCATCCAGCCCACCTGGGAGAAGCCCACAAAAAGGATGTTTCCCCAAGCTTTGAATCACAGACCCTCCAGATGTCCCTATTTTCCAGGGATGTCCCTGATTTAGAGAAGCCGTCCTGGTTTCTGATTTGATCCCAAAATGTCACACTTTTCCTTAGGATGTCCCTATTTTTATTGTAGAAATGTTGGATGGTTATGGAGTTATTCGACCCCCGAGCCGTTTGGAGGCAATCCTGTATACAGAATATTTTTTAAAAGGTTTTATTATGCTTTTATATATGTTGGAAGCTGCCCAGAGTGGCTGGGGTAACCCAGAAAGATGGGTAGGGTATAAATAGTAAAATTATCATTGTGGAATGAGACGTCCCTATTTTCATTGGAGAAATGTCAGAGGGTATGCATTCTTGCCTTTCGCCAGAGGGTGGCAAACTGTGATTAGGAAGGGAAAAGAGGAAGGGAAAAAGCAAAGTGATTTTTCTGTGTTTGTGTCTTCCCTCAGCTTGCAGCTCAACAGCCTGGGGCCAGAAGCATGCAAGGAGATCAGGGACCTGCTGTTGCACGAGAAATGTGGTGTGAGTACCCTAAGGTGAGTGTGAACAGGGAGACTGCAAGTCCGACAGAGAGGAGAGGGTGCACTCTGTCCCTAAATCTCTCCCAGTCCCCCCCCCAACAGTTTGGTAGAGCAAAACGAAAGGAATTCTCATCCAAATAAAAGCTGGAGAATCAGATTATTATTATTATTATTATTATTATTATTATTATTATTATTATTTCCAAGCTTTAGTAAGGAAGCCCAGAGCAGCAGGAAACACACCTATAAAACAATTCACTTTTTTAAAAAAGCGTTTTGTTGTCTCCAGTGCTTGTCCTGGGCCTGACTGAGGTGCATTCATTTCAGTGAGTCTACTCTTGAGTAGAACTGAATTAGATACAGTCCAACTCTGGATGTCAGCATACTACCACACCTTTCAGTTTGAGGTTTTGGAGGTCTGGAGGTTTTTTTAATAAAAAAAACCCCCGCAATCAAGCCGCAAATAAAATTTATTAAATAAAATTTATTAAATAAAATAAGTAAATAAATTTCCCACAGTGCCCAGGTGGACATGGGGTCAAAGTGCATTGTGGGACATCAGTAGAGCAGCCAGATTCTGCTGCCCCCTCACCGCAGCTCTGAACCAGCTGCTCTTGCTAACTTTTAAAGAAAATGCAGGTGGTTCTCCTTATGGTTCTCCTACAGTCAAGTGTCTAGTCAACTTTGTCTCTTTGAATCCAGGATGAAACCCCTACACCCATTTACGCAGAGTAAACGCCACTGAGTTTTTGCTGGGATTGCCTTCCCACTCTGTGCAGAGGAACGCAGAGAACTTCTTTAACAGAGCTAGCTTGGTCTGACGTTCTCATCTCAAACTGCTGTTTTCTGACAGTTTAATCAGCACAGAATTGATTTGTCAAACTGTCTACTGCCTTGCATCTATCCTTTGAAGCAGACTATAGGGAACCTTGATTTCCCTTCCAATGCATTCCTGCGTGTCTCCCACGCAGCGAGTCCTGGGCCATATTCCAAGGCATGCCCACCCATTACATGCAAGAGGGATGGCAAACCCGTTAGACTTCATTGCAAACCTGCATGAACAGGGCCCCGGCCCTATCGTTGAGTAGGGGGAGGCAGTGGCTTCAGCAGGCTCTTCCTCTGTGGGCAGCTCTTCCCGCTGTCTTTTCACTGGGGCATGTCTTGCTGTTGGTTTAGGAAACTTAAGAAGAAACTATTTCCAGGGCCAAAGGTGCTTGAGTTGAGAGGCCCAGAGTGCTCCTTTCAAAGTCACAAAGGTGCCCAGAGAGCCTGCACGATAAATATATGATGAATAAATAGGGCAAAAAATAAAACTTCTGGAAAACCCACTTTGAAAAGGACTGTTTTAGACAATGCGACAATTATTCATCCTCAAACAGCTGTTGATGGACCTTATCTGTAGGGTCACAATCTTGGCTAACCCAACTTTCACTGTCTGCTCTTCTTCATTTTTGCCACTTGCAGGCTGGCGGACAACCCCCTGACAGAGCAGGGTGCCCAGTACCTCGCTGAAGGCCTTGCTGGCAACACCTCTTTGACCCACCTGTCACTGCTGCACACCTCGTTGGGGAACCGGGGCGTGGAGGTGATCACCCAGCACTTGGCGCAAAACCAGCACCTGCAGGAACTCGACGTAGCCTACAATTCGGTGTCCGACGCAACTGCCCTCGCTCTGGTGGAGGAGGCCAAGAGGCACGCCACCCTGGAAACTGTCCAGTAAGTCTCAGCATCCTTTTCTGCCACTTCCTAGCTTAATATACTTATGTACGCAGGCACAGAGGCAAGGGAATAAGCTCCTGGGTAGCTAATGATTTTCCGCAGGGGCCATACTTTGAACAATCTGCTCAGCCAATGCCTTGGCCAAAAGATCTTAGGTTCCATCATCCATTACTAGGGATGGGGGAGGCATCCAATTCAGTTCTCATTTAAAGGTGAACTTACTGAATTTGCACCTTCTGGTGCAGTACATGAGCCGAAATGCAGACATCCTTTATAGAATTGTAGAGTTGGAAGGGTCATGTTGTCCAACTTCCTTTGAAATCCAGAGTTCTCTGAATTTTGCAGTGTGGCTGTCTAGCAGAGCAGTGTGTAGAGAAATTAATATTGTAGGGTAAAGTTTGCCTAAAAATAACATTTCTACTGATGAACACAGCATGGTGATACGCTTTATATTAGGGGGAAATGCTTTGCAAAGATGTGCTTATTAGACAAAGGTGCACACAAACATTTATATTAGGAGAAATTTGCAATGAAATGTGCCATGAATTTTCAATTTTAAACTCTTTTGGGGGGGACACAGGATAAGTGGGTGTAGCTTGTTAAATGGCGGTGGGGATTTCCTCTCCCAAATTTGTCAGAAATTGATGCACATCTGCGTTCTAGCTAACTGCCTAAGTCTGGGTCCATGCATGTGGGTGGGAGAAAAGACTGCACCACTTTGGACTGCAGGTGAGGGGGCACTCCTTTTGGATACTTCTCTGGGTTTTTTGTATCTTTTTACCATTTTCCTGCATATAGAAAGCTAATATCTCAAAGTAAGAGGTTATAGCCCTTTGCCTGCTGAGCTGGCTTTCTATTTGCAGGGACGTTTTGACATAAATAGTTGTTTGGAAACGTGACTCTCTCCCTCCCACCCCTCTACCTCTTCTGGGCGGAAATGGTGCAGCCCATTCTAAAACTCCACCTTGTTAGCACCACATCCTGCTGCCGGCATTGGTTACTGCCTCAACATGGTGGCTCCTCCAATTGGCTGTTTCTTCTTAGGCGCAGAGGCCTTTCCCGCCTACTTCAGCTCTTCCTCTTTCCTTCCCTCCAGCTTGTACTTCAACGACATCAGCGAGGAAGGCAAGCAGGCCCTCCATGCGCTGCGCAAGGAACGCGACGGCATCAAGGTGCTCATCTTCCTGACGATGGGGGCCGACGTCTCCGACTACTGGGCCGTCATCCTGAACGTAGTACAGAAGAACTTGCCCGTCTGGGACCGCGACCGGGTGCGTCAGCACCTCGGCCTGCTCCTGGAGGACTTGCGGTGCAGCCGCCAGGAGACGGCCAATCCTTGGAAGAAGGCCAAGTTCATCCGCGTGGAGAACGAAGTCAAGCGGATGCTGGGAGACCTTCAGCAGGGCACTTCCTAGTGCCCCACTCCTGCTGGAGGCTCCTGGAAAAAGGCAAACGCCAGGGGATAGTGTTGAGCCGCAGGGTGGGTACAAACAAGCCGTTGCACAGCAGATTCATCCGGGTTGAGCAACTGCCTTCATGACTTGCCTTGTGAGCTTCCTGGAGCCTCCTGATTGGCCTCTGTAGGATACAGGATGCTGGGCTACATAGACCTTTGGTCTGTTCTAACAGGGATCTTCTGGTGTTCTTATGAGCAACAGCCAAGCAGGGCTGCTGCCTTCATGCCCTGCCTGGGAGCTTCCCGGAGCCATCTGATTGGCCACTGTGAGAAGAAGTTTCTGGGCTACATGGACCTTTGGCCTGTTCCGACAGGGATCTTCTGATGTTCTTAGGAGCCTGGCTTCCTTCCCAATTCCTTCACAATGCATGTGGCAGATATAATACCACCATTCGAACTCTGATTCCATGGTTGTGTCTCCCACATCTCTCTCATATTTCGGATAAGCTGCGTGCCTTAATATAGACCGTATTTTTCTGTGTATAAGACAATGCTTTTTGCTAAAAAAAGAGGCAAAAATTGGGTGTCGTCTTATACACGGATAGTGAATGCAGAGGGGGGACGTGTGATTAATGGTGGCATCAAGCAGGAGATTGACAGCGGCAATTTGGCGAGTAATTGGTGGCTGCGGCAAGTGGGGGGGGCTGTTGGTGGCAGCGAGCGGGCAGACAATTGGCGGCTGCAGCGACATGTGTGATCGGCAATGGCTGTGTTAAGCGATCAGCAGTGGTGGGCAGGCAGGCAGGTGAGCTATTGGCGGAAGTGACCTCACCCCCCCCAAAAAAAAAGCTAAACAATTTAATTTCATAATTTTGGGTTAAAAAAATTAGGGGTCGTCTTATACATGAGGGCGTCTTATACACAGAAAAATACGGTATATATGTATTTCATCTATGCATATTCATTTAAATGTTTATTTGCTACCTTATTGGTGTTTCGTTTTTAATTCAATAATGTTTGTGACGTCACAGGCAGATGCCAATCTGTTCTGTGCAGTGTTGCTGAAAAGCTGCAGAACTGATTTTTACCCAGAGCTTGATCGCCCGGAAGAGAAAACTGAACAGCATGCAGTGGGTCAGTTCCCGACTGATCCCACTCTCCAATAAGATATTGCGTATAGATACAGACCCTGTGGGAGCCAGGGAACCCTCTTTCTGACTGCTCAGCAAAGGGAGGTGATGCTGAATGAAACTGTTCTCAGCATCCCCACCCGCTATGCATATGAGGTGCTGATTTCCAGGGAAAGGCAGACTGAGGACCACAGTGAGCTGTGCACTGGCAAAGCTGGCTTTTGTGTGATCAAAGTGAGGGGGTGCTTCTGTGTTGCCTTAAGGAACACAGCCTTCCAAGTGACCCTGCTTCTCTCTAACCTCTGCCATCAATTCTAAACACAAATACCTCATGAGCCATGCTTCCTTCCCCACAGTGGAGCAGCTCAGCTTTTCGAAGATTCACAACTTCACACATGGAATCCGCCAGTCGTTTTTGGGGCCAAGGACTAAAATGGTTCACTTTTATCACTGAGGTCTAGCAGCATGCAGAATCTGGTAGTTCATAGCCCTGCTGGGCTTCTTCCCTTTGTTTGCTGCGGCTGTCCTATAGCTATGCAGTGTGTGAGTCATTCCCACCCACTGTCTCCCTAGCGATTGGATTGATTCTTTTGAAGAATCAGAAAAGGAGCAATTGCCTTGGCTCAGTTGTCCATCTCAGGCCAAGCTTCTAGGCTGGGGTTCGGATTGTGTCCTTGGGGGTGGAAGCAGCAAACATGAAAAAGTGGAAAACATGAAAAAACATGGAGTGGGGGGCTCTTATTTGTTATGTTTGTTTCTGTAAATTGCTTTGAGTTCGCTTTCCTGTGAGGGAAGCAACTAGTAATTATTATTATTATTATTATTATTATTATTATTATTATTATTCACAGTCGTTCCGCCATTGTGCCTCCTTAAAAATAAAAGCACTTTGTTTCAACAGAACACATCTGGTTCCTGTGCCTCCTTTTGATACTGTCATCAAAAAATTCTAAATAGGTTTTTGGGGGTTGGGGGGGGGTTGCTTTATCTGCCGGTATGGAGTCCAGCTGCTATGGGGTGAGAGCTGGTTAGACAGACAAAAGGAAGTTCTATTTCGCACAACACATAATGAGCTGGCGGAACTCAATACCGCAAGACACAGGAATGGCTAGTGGCCAGAACAGCTTTTCAAAGAGTGAGGTTATGGCAGACAGGAACCAGCAGCTCTTCGCTATGAAAGCAACAGAGAGCCTCCAAAGCCAAAGGCAATATACCTTGGAATTGACTGGGGATTTAAAAAAAAAAATGTCTGTATTATGAGTTTTCAGGAAACATCTGGTTGAGCATTGAAGGAAATGGGATGCTGGATTAGGTAGTTCAGGTGTGGGGGACCAGATGCTGCTGAACTACAACTCCCATCAGCCCGAGAAAGCATGGCCCATGACTAGGGGTGTTGGGAGTTGTAGTTCAGCAACATCTGGAGGCCCAAAGCTTCCCCTGAGCTGGACTTTTGCAAGACTGCTCTTGTGCATACGTTCACTCAAGAAGTAAGTGCCACTTTGTTCGGTGGGGTTTACTCCCATGTAAGGATCCGCAGAGGGACGCGGGTGGTGCTGTGGGTTAAACCACAGAGCCTAGGACTTGTCGATCAGAAGGTCGGCAGTTCGAATCCCTGCAACGGGGTGAACTCCCGTTGCTCGGTCCCTGCTCCTGCCAACCTAGCAGTTCGAAAGCACGTCAAAGTGCAGGTAGATAAATAGGTACCGCTCCGGCAGGAAGGTAAATGGCGTTTCCATTCGCTGCTCTGGTTCGCCAGAAGCGGCTTAGTCATGCTGGCCACATGATCCGGAAGCTGTACACCGGCTCCCTCGGCCAATAAAGTGAGATGAGCGCCGCAACCCCAGAGTCGGTCACGAAAGGACATAATGGTCAGGGGTCCCTTTACCTTTACCTTTAAGTATCCGTAGGAAAGTAGCCTCATTTGTTTAAACTTAAATTCCCCACCCCAATCCTATTGGGCTCCAGGCAGTAAAAAGATCTAAAAGCTTTCTTCATTAAAATAAAATAAAATTCAAGCAATTCTTTTAATCCCCTCTTGTTAAAAAAATTGTAAAAAGTAAACAACAGGATGTGAAATTATAATATTAATCTATGCTATAAAGCAACTGTAAGCTAAAGATCTGGAAATCTGCAAGGGAAATGAAACCTGACCTGGAACATGTTGGTTGTTGCTTATATATTTTACTAATCACGCTCAGTCACAGCCCTATCAAAAGGCCTGGGTGGCGCACGATCAATGTGTAATGGTAAAAAACAAAGAAACAAAACCAGGTCCTCTGAGCATGTGCTGAGTGCTCATCCTTTGCTACACATATGGCTTGCAGAACTAGAGGTATTTGCTTTATTGGCATCCCCCAGTTAATTAAGCATCATTGGTGGCTTGCCTATCTATCTATCTATCTATCTATCTATCTTGCTAGCACATTCAAAGCATGTTCCTTCCCTCAAAGAATTCTGGGCATTATGGTTTGTTATAGGTTGCTGGTAATTGTAACTCTGTGAAGGGCAAACTATGGTGCCCAGAATTCCTTGAGACAAAGGATGCACTCTGAATGTGCCTTAAAGCTATAGTACACATTGCCCCAAGCAATTGTTATTCCACACCTTCCAGGCCATTCCGCCATCCTTATAGCAAGAAGGCTGATTTCGGAGGGAAGTGGGTTGTGTTGCATTGAAGAGCGTGAGGTCAACTTCAATTGTGCAACCTGGATTTGCCGGTGCGGCACTGAACCCCACCTGAAAATAGCAACAGCCTGGAAATGTTTGGGTGTCCCCCCCCCCCCGACAACTCCCCAGGAATGAAAGAATAGCTTTCCTTTCCTTGGTCAGCTCCTGAGAAGAGGTGGAAGTAAGTAAGCACAGTTGCAGTGAAGACTCCTGCCCCGTTTAAACATTAAACTCCGGTGATCTCTTTAAAAAGGCGGGGTCCCCAGTTTCACTTGCCACTTCAGGCTGGACCTTGGACCTTCACACACTCAAGCAGTCCTGAAGCAGAAGGAAGGTGAGCTGAGAGAGGTGGCTGGCTGGGGGCACCCTTCAAGTGGTAGCTTTGGGTTCCCCAAGGAAGGGATGTGTAGAGTTTTGATGGGCACTGGGGTGGGGGTGGTTGTCCCAACAGGGAAGTAAGCAGGCAGCATCTTAACCAATGGGACTGTTGGCCACCATGAAAAACTAATACTTTCTCTCTTGAGTGAGGCTTCCGTGTGTGAACAGCTGCTTCCACTGTACAAGAGATCAATGTCCTACTTTACACCCACATTGTGCAAATTGCGACACTCCTTTAAGACGGAGCATTTCGATGGCATTGGTGGCTACGAAGAAGCATCGGCGACGACTCAGCTCAAAAGGTAGATGGGGTTGTGACTTTGTGTGGTCCTCCTGGCTGCTATTCGCAGGTTAGAGAGACCAAAAAACAAACACCATGGTGCTGCCCTTTTGCTCTAGCAGGCTCCTATGCCTTGAGCAACTGCAGTTCCACAGGTGGAGCTTTCTCCATTGGGGTATTCCCAGGTCATGATGCTCCTCACTTTCTTTAAGGCAAAGCACGGGTGCCTTTGCAAGGTGGTGGGGGAGGAGATGCATATATTTAAAGCACACACGCAGCCCAGAAGGAATCCTTGTAGCTGTAGTTTACCCCTCACAGAGCTACAATTCCCAGCAACCTTAACAACAAACTGTGGTTCCTGGGATTCTTGGGATGTGTGTGCTTTAAATGTGCTTTAAAAGTATGGTGTGTACACAGCCAGGGAGTGAGAGAGAAGGCGAGTCCACTGTACAAGAGATCAATGTCCTCCTTTATACCCACTTTCCCTTTACAGTGGTATCTCAGGTTACATACGCTTCAGGTTACAGACGCTTCAGGTTACAGACTCCGCTAACCCAGAAATAGTACCTCGGGTTAAGAACTTTGCTTCAGGATGAGAACAGAAATCGTGCGGCAGCGGCGCAGCGGCAGCAGGAGGCCCCATTAGCTAAAGTGGTGCTTCAGGTTAAGAACAGACCTCCAGAACGAATTAAGTTCTTAACCCGAGGTACCACTGTATTTGAAAAGCAGGGGACTAATGTCTTACTATATTAACTCTGAAGTGTCAAAAGTTAACTGTGGCAAATGCTCTTAAGACAATCCACTGCTTGGATTTGCCATTGAGTTTGGAGATACGTACGTATCTCACCTTTGGACTTTTGCTTGGAATCTTGTCTCTCTGTTTAAGGTTGCTTTAGGACAACCCATCTGTTGAGTATTCATTCTTATTTGTTTGCAGTTAGATGACAGATTAGATGACGTTGCATCGAAACAAGTGCTATCCCCCACCTTCCGGTGCATTTTCCTATCACTTTCATTATCATACTAAGTCTTACCTTTTGGAGAAGCAGAAGATTGCTTGTGCAAGAGCTTCCAATCCGCTGCAATTGTGTGGTCGGAATTGCTCCCCATGCCCTGTTAATTGAAAATTCAAATAGTTGGCCCCAGCCAGTGTAGCCAGTAGTCAGAAATGCTGAGAGCTGGAGTCCCACAATATTTGGAGGGCCACTGACTCCCCATCCCTGATGTAGACAATTCTTGGCTAGATGGACCACAAGTTAAAGCATATTCCTATGTCCCTGGGATCCAGGGATTGCCTGCTTTTCAGATCTGCTGCTGGTCATCTGACACAGAACTTGATTTTGCAAGTCTGCACTATAAAGAAAGGCACAGAATTGGTCACTGTCAAGCTGCCAGTTCTCAGCTTCACTTCCTTCCCTTCCGTCCCTCCACAAACTGGCTCAGTTGTTTTCCCCAACCTGTTGCCCACCAGACCTCTGGGGCTGCAACCCCCACCAGTCTCCGCCACCACAGCCCTATGTTTCTGCCCGAGGTTAGCGGGAGTTGCAGCCCCAATTGCCTGGTGGGCTGCCAGTTGGTGAAAGGTTGAGCCAGCAGGAGAATTTTCATTTTGCTCTAATGGCAAGTCGGGAGGCGGGGTAGCAAAGAGGAACTTGCAGAAGAGAATCCAGTAAGGAGAAGCTGCGACCATATCCTCTTTCACTTGTGATATGGCTTCTGGGCTCGCAGGCTTCTTCATGTGACTGCTCGGGTCAGGGGGAAAGCCACACCGTCTACCCTCTCAGGGCTGTTGGAATCAAACAACATTTGGAGACCCCAACTTCACCATCTCTAGCATGGGCCCCATCTGCACTACACATTTGAAGCAGTATCGTGTCACTTTAAACCAGTGGTCCATACCCCTCAACTGTCCTGATTTAAGCAGGACATCCCTTTTTTGGGGAGTGGGGACATGCTCCTGTACGAGTCACCTGGCTCCTGCATGATTGCATCCCCCAAAGATGTGCATTTGGGGTGGGGGCTGTGCTCTCGCGTGAACACATGTGCAATGGCTGTTTCAACGGTACACACGGCAGCTATAAATGTGGCTTGCTGGTTTGAGGGAAAGCACATTGAACATGGGGGACACGGGTGGCGCTGTGGGTTAAACCACAGAGCCTAGGACTTGCCAATCAGAAGGTCAGCGGTTCGAATCCCCATGATGGGGTGAGTTCCCGTTGCTCAGTCCCAGCTCCTGCCAACCTAGCAGTTCGAAAGCACGTCAAAGTGCAAGTAGATAAATAGGTACCGCTCCGGCAGGAAGGTAAACGGCGTTTCCGTGCGCTGCTCTGGTTCGCCAGAAGCGGCTTAGTCATGCTGGCCACATGACCCGGAAGCTGTACACCGGCTCCCTCGGCCGATAAAGTCAGATGAGCGCCGCAACCCCAGAGTCGGTCACGACTGGACCTAATGGTCAGGGGTCCCTTTACCTTCACCTTTACATTGAACATGAGCATTTTCCAAGATCTTACAAGGTACCTATGGGTTGTGTCCTTGGCTTCACCAATAGTTGGAACGCACTGGAGCTGGAGTAAATGGGAAGATGTAGCTACCCTGAGTTACTCCTAAAAGTAAAACTTAGGTATCTTCATCAAAGGGGAAGAGGATATGCAAGCCTTTGGGATGAAGGAGGGTATCTGCCTTTCAGGAGTGAGTATGATGCATTTCATTAACCCCCAAATCTTTCTTTTTTGCAGGGCCCAGGGACACTGCAGAGCCAACTATGTAAGTGCCAAGTTGAGCTACTCCACTGAAAATGAGTGGGCATTGCTGGCATCCCTTGGACAGCAGGTCGAGGGCACACACACACACACACACACACACACACGGGAGAGCACTTTACACAATCAGATTAGCCTGGTGGGTTGAAACTGGAAGCACAAAGCCAAACACTCCTGTACTGAGGTTTGGGGCAAGCGCAAACATATTTAAATTTAACCCACTCATGAAACGTATTAAAAACGCAGGCTGCGAATGGGTTGCCAAGGCTGATTGGATTGCCTTTGCCTGACGTAGGTTCTCAGGAGCCTGAGAACCCTTGATTGCCTCCAAGCTGTGGCTGACACTTCCTTCTCCTTCTTGGTGTTACAGGAAATTTGAATTTAACCCCAGAGATGGGATCGATAACCCAGCCCTGTCACTGGCAGAGGATTCTGGTAACAATGGGGAGCGACATCTGGGGCTGCTGCGTGGGTGGCAGAGGAAGGACCAGCTGTTTCCCTCTTGGTGCTTGCAAAGTGGGAGGCTTGCTTCCCCTTCCACGTCAGGGACCTGATGGCTGTTTACCACCTCGTCCTGCAAATAGCACATTCAGTGGGGCACGCATTTTGATGTGAATCTACTTTATTTGCACTTAGCCAAACTGTGTTTATTTATTTACAAAACAAAAAACATTTAACTATCACTGTTCAGGGGTGGGAGGGAAATTAGCATGATTTACAATAATTCTACATCATTTGCATCTTTGAGTGTGGCAACGCCTGCTCTTTGGTACGTTCGACAACCAAGGGACTGTCACACACACACCACAAAATGCCTGTTCCACAGCCAAAAAACTTTTCAGAAACAATATCACCATCCAGGGCTTGTCCACACTGAAAAAAATGTGGCTTCGCACTGCTCTGTCTCCTCATTAATGTATCCACATAATATTTTCCCTATCCATAGGAGCCACTCACAGGGGACAAAGTCTCTTCACCCTCCCCCATAAAATATTAGAGGGGACAGCCCCCTCCCCAGTTGATGGGCATTGCCATTCAAATGGTGTGTGTGTGCCGTGTCATGTGATTGATTATGTGAGGTGGGGCTTAGCTGCCCCCCCATATTTTCTTCAAATTGGCACCTCTGTCCCAGTCTTGTCCCGGGCCTTCCCTGTTTATATGTGGGTTTTATCCAAACATCCAGGATCAGTGGGTGGGGTTAGTGGGCAGGAAGGCTGCATTTAAGTGATGTAAAGGTCGGGGTCAAGGGACGCGGGTGGCGCTGTGGGTTAAACCACAGAGCCTAGGACTTGCCGATCAGAAGGTCGGCGGTTCAAATCCCCGCGACGGAGTGAGCTCCCGTTGCTCGGTCCCTGCTCCTGCCAACCTAGCAGTTTGAAAGCACGGTAAAGTGCAAGTAGATGATAGGTACCACTCCGGTGGGAAGGTAAACGGCGTTTCCATGCGCTGCTCTGGTTTGCCAGAAGTAGCTCAGTCATGCTGGCCACATGAGCTGTACACTGGCTCCCTCGGCCAATAAAGCGAGATGAGCGCCGCAACCCCAGAGTCGGCCACGACTGGACCTAATGGTCAGGGGTCCCTTTACCTTTTTAAAGGCCTGAGTCAACCTGGATGGGAAGGATGTCATTAGCTGGTCACACAAGTCAAAACATCTACTTGCACCCTAAAACAGAGAGAGAGAGAGAGAGAGAGAGAGAGAGAGAGAGCGCAGCAGCAGCAGCAGCAGCAGCAGCAGCAGGTGACTTTCCAGATCAACAAGCCAAAAAATCCAATTAAAATTAAAAATTGGGCAATGTCAGAAGGCTGTGTCTGAGGATATTTCAGTGCCCACAAGTGCTGCGTTGGGGACCCCGGGTCTGCAGGGTCGGCCTCTGATCTTGTTTTCCACAGAGCCAGAGGAAGGTGCTCAGGTGCGCTTCTGCTTTCTGAAGAAAGAAGACGGGGAGAGCTTTGGGTTCTGGCTACGGCAGGAGGCGGGCAGCAACGGGCACATCGTGCGACAGGTGACGCCGGGGGGCCTGGCTCACCGCAGAGGCCTGCAAGATGGAGACCGGATCTTAGAGGTGAACGGGGCTTATGTCGAAGGCCTGGAGCACTTCAGGGTGAGGTTTGGCTGGGAGTAGTGGCTCCCTGATTCCCATTTGAGGTGGGCTTCCCCCCCCCCATAGAATTCACATAGCAATACAACAGAATGTGATGCAAGAAATCAAAGGAGCGATAAAAATGCAAATTAAAACCATCCAGCACCTAGCACAGTGCATCGCAATTGCTGCAATAGGAAGAAAAATCGTTATGCGAGCCATCAAGGCCCTTAACAATTTTCAAGTGGTCCAGGGGTAGGAGAAAATTTGGGGGTCGCTACTCATTAAGAACTTATGACCATAAGAACAGCCAATCTAGTCCAGCATCCTGTTCTCTCAGCCTATGGGAAAACCTCAAGAAGGATGAGAGCACATGAGTGCTTGTCCCATCCTGTGGTTTCCAGCAACTGGCATTCAGAAGCCTCTGACTGCATGTTCAGAGCATAGGTATTCTGGTAGTCCTCTCCTCCATGCATAGCTGTCAAGCATCCCTTATTTGGCGGGACAGTCCCTTATCCCAGCGCCATGTCCCGCTGCTGTCCCTTATTGATGATGTCCCTTAAATAAGCTACTGAAGGTAATGGGGCCCTTTCTATGTCCAGCTGTCCTTTGTCAACAACAAATTGTTGCTGTTTTTGTGTGTTGAATATATGCTATATGGTAATTTATGGACCTAATAGGTATCTAAATCCATTTGCACGCAACAAAATATGTATTTTATCAAAGTAATTGTTGATCCCTTATTTTGGCTGCTGATCCCTTATTTTTGAGGCTGCTGGTCCCTTATTTTCAAATCTGTAGGTTGACAGCTATGCCTCCATGACTCTGTCCGATCCTCTTTTAAACCTTTCAAATCACTGCCTCCTGCAGAAGTGAGTTCCATAGTTTAACTATGCGCTGTGTGGAGGACTTCCTTTTGCAACACTCAGCTTCGTTGGATGCCCAGGAGTTCTACTGTTATGAGTCTCTGTTTTTGAGGTTCTTCCCCTCTTTCTTGGCAGGTGGTTTGGAAGATCAAGAGCAGTGGGAAGCAAGTCTCTCTCACTGTCCTGGATGGGACAGCCTACGAGTTGGCAAAAGCCCTCGACCGGGACCTTGGCCAGCTCTTGCCCCATCACAACAGGCCACAGCTGTGCTGCCTCAACAAGGACCAAAGTGGCTTCGGCTTCAGCGTTTCAGCTCCAGAAGGTAGTGAAAACCCACACTGCAGTTCGTTGCGTTTTTCACCACGAGTAACCAAATTCTGCCATGAGGAAAACCAGAATTTTACCATCAGATTACACTGTGCAAATCCAAGACAGTTTGCACGCACTTGCTTTCTTCCGCGTTGTTTATTCTGCTGCCCAGATTGAAATTTGCCATTTATTGCAAGGGATATTATTTTTTATTACTTTTTATTGCAAGGGATAATAGAAGGGAGCGGAAGAACAAAGAGATTGCTGTTACTGAGTGGGGAAAATAAATACCCACTTCAGGAAACTGTTCCCAAACTTGATTCTAAGGGTATGTTTACAGAACAAACTTATCATCAGGGTTTAAATCAATTTAATTAATGGTTGTGGTTCGCCCCCCACCCCAAAAAAAAATTCCCGAGAATTTTAGTTTTTGTAAAGTTCCTTTGAAATCTCTGTTTGAGATTCTTGGTCCCCCAGAACAAAGATGAAAGGGCTTCAAAACCAGTTTTGAGTCTCTAGGGTCGACACTTCACAAAACAGACTAATATTTAAAGACCATCAGTTGTACAAAATAGTAAATGAAATGAAAATATGTTTAAAACAATACACTGTTGCAATATGTGTTGTTTTTCCACCACAACAGTAACTATCACTATTTTTTTTTATTTAAAAACCCTATAAGAATCACAAAAAGGTAGAATAATACAATTTATAATTGAACTCAGCATTTTTGACACATAATTATGCCTCCCCCCCTCAAATTTGGAATACTTCATCCCCTTTCATTGTTCTAAATCCAAGGTGGCAAACTCCTTCTTTTGAAATAATTTTTATTTGATTTTATCAATACAAAGTTATAAAAAACCAAATATGTATCCATATGCAGAGATTTCTCCAAATCTCAGGATTTCCACCTACCCCTTCCATGGATTCCCATTTTAAACATTTAAAACTGCATCTTCTTCCGACCTCTGACTTTTATATCATACCATAAGGTCCCTACCAGAGAGGAATGGCAAACCAAACTGATGGAAAAAAATTATAAGTTATATAAGAGACCACTGTAAGCAGATGGAAACATTGGCAGGATTTTGATTTCACTGGTAGTGAAAATCAACATGGACAACAGGGTGGCAAATGTCTTCAACTTGAAAGCTACATTCTGTCTTGGCCAACCTTCACCCCTGACCACTGGTCTTGCCAGCTAGGGATGATGGGAGTTATAGTTCGAAAACAGCTGGGGACCCAAGTTTGGAAATCCTGGAGTAGGCAAAAAGAGGCCAATAAATGCTAGTTTTCCCCCTCTCATGCTCCTGTTTTTGTATCCTTTGCTTTGCAGGTGTGAAGGGAACATTCCGACTATCTGTGCCAAAGGACGGGCCAGCTCACAAGGCAGGGGTGCCAGATGGTTCATGGCTCCTGGAGCTCAACGGTGCTTGTGTGGAGAGTTGGACTCTTGCACACCTTCACAAAAAGGTACCAGCGCTGTCATTCGATGACAGAAATGTTGGCTTTAGCCAACTGACTGAACAACTTGAGGACCAGCCAGGTCACATCCAGGAACACCTTTCTATAGAAGGTCCCTCGCCACCTGATAATTTCAATCCTTTGTTGTTGTTGTTGTTTAGTCGTTTAGTCGTGTCCGACTCTTCATGACCCCATGCACCAGAGCACGCCAGGCACTCCTGTCTTCCACTGCCTCCCGCAGTTTGGTCAAACTCATGCTGGTAGCTTCGAGAACACTGTCCAACCACCTCGTCTTCTGTTGTCCCTGTTAGGTTGTGGGCGAACATATCAGATGACACAGTGATTCTTCCAAAGCAGCTCTTTATTTGTAAGCTGGAACAGAACTGAACTGAGGAACTCAGTCAGCCTGCTTATAAAGAGCTTCAGAACAATGTAACTGTTGCCATTTTCTAAAACGATCCAATCACTGAACGTCACTTTCGATCCTTCATTTGCATAACTATCTACAGTATCCCCCTGCTGGCCCAGGGTAAGAACTTCAGTACATAACAGTCCCCTTCTCCTTGTGCCCTCAATCTTTCCCGACATCAGGGTCTTTTCCGGGGAGTCTTCTCTTCTCATGAAGTGGCCAAAGTATTGGAGCCTCAGCTTCAGGATCTGTCCTTCCAGTGAGCACTCAGGGCTGATTTCCTGAAGAATGGAGAAGTTTGATCTTCTTGCAGTCTATGGGACTCTCAAGAGTCTCCTCCAGCACCATAATTCAAATCCTATTTCAATCCTAGCTAGAGGGAAAACTCTCCAGCAGCGCACTGTATCCTCCCTGGGTTTGGCTTACGTACCCAAATTTTCGATTCCAGATCAAACACAGCAGCAACCCAATGGGGCTGCTGGTGATCGACGCCAAATCAGAGGAGTTTTACCGGCAACGCGGCGTTAAGGTCACAGCAGCCATGGCTGACGCTTCCTGGGTTCCTTTTGAGGTGAGGAAGCTGCAGATGGTGAGAGGCCAAGACGGATACGGATTCTTGCTGAAAGAAGAAAAACGTTGCTCAGGAGAAAGAGGTGAGGCCCCTTGCCTGGAAAAGAGCCAGACTGCACACAGCATGTCGCTCCACGGTATTTAAATTTGAGAGCAGAGTAGGTGACTTTGAGGTAAGACAGAGGGCTGCTCGAGCTTTCCCCCTTTCATCCAGACAAAACGTTTCCTCCCACCCAGCTGCGTTTCTCCCCGAGGAAAAAAAAAAGAGGACCCAACATCTTTCCCCCTGTACTTTGAAGGGATGATTTGAGAGGAAACAGGCAATGTTCATTCTGCATTTGCAAGGAATCGATATTTCACCATGGCTGCACTGAGACACTGGAACTCCCTGCCCCTTGATATTTGGCAGGGCCCTTCACTGCACTGTTTTCACTGTCCACCAATGGACTCTTTTTTCGTTTTGTTTAAGCAAGCCCACCCAGATGTGTACATCAGATGTGCATTTTAATATGCGATTTTAGTTTTAAACAGCTGGTTTTCTTGGACATATGTTAGGCTGGCTTGTCTTTAACTTCTGGTTTTATTAGTAATTTTAAGGTATGTTTTATATAAACTGCTGGAAGATTTTGATGCTTCAGCAGTATATAAGCCTTGATAAATAAATATGTTTTGAATATTCAAATGTGGGGGTGGGCAGGGTTGAGCAACTCCTCTCACTGCCAGTCATCTACTTAACTTCACAGATATCATTTGGATGTTTTGCATCTTTGGGTTGTTGTTGGTTTTGGGTTGTTGTTTTTTTAAAAAAAACACCCATTCAGGACAAACTTAATGGAATTTTGCGTAAAGTTTTTTTATGCACCATCTTAATAGAGGCCAAACCAGGTCTGTGTGGCTTAGGAAAAATGTCCTCACGTGCCAAATTAGGACCAGTGCTGGAACTAAATAGGTCCCTGGCCTGGTCAGTCCCAATGCTGGTCTACACTGATAGATGGCAGCTCTCCAGGGTTTAAGACTGAGGTTTTCCCAGACCTACATGGAGATGGCAGGGATGAACCTGCGAACTGCTGCATTTTGCTCTTTCACTGAGCTGCAGCTCCTTGTTCCCTAACAAATAGGACAGAAGAGAGCTTTGCTTATTCACCTATGGCGACTTCACTAGAGGAGCACATGTAAGACATGCACACACGTAAAATGCTCATAAATGTAAAGGAAGCAAGGTGCAACCACTGGGATAATCAACGCCGCTGCTTTCGTCTTGCCCATCTATGACTTGCAGGTCAGTTTCTGAGGGAGGTCGAATCCGGGTTGCCAGCTGAGAAGGCAGGGATGAGAGATGGTGACCGCCTCCTGGCTGTGAACGGCGAGGGCACTGAGGACCTGGACCACCAGGAGGTGGTGCTGAGGATACGTGCGGACAGGAGCCGGGTGACCATGTTGGTTATTGACGCAGAAGGAAGCAAGTTCTACGACTCGGTATGGCAGCAGTTTGAGAATGAGCACCAAGGAGATTGCGGTGGGATCCTATAGAAAGGTTTCCCCTCTACCATAAAGGCCACAAACTTCTCGGGGCAAAGATAACCATTTATAATGAACTTACACAATGGGCCAAAGATATCATACAATAATAAAGTTATTGAATTGGGCGAAGATGCTCTGAAGTGGGATTGCCTTTCGTATCTCTGAGCACTTGCATGCTGCAGAAAAACTAGCTGAATAGATCTCCCTCGGGGATCTACAGATTTGGAGGCTGGAAGAGGGATCTCAGATAATTCTCTGCACTTGGGCTAAAAACTACATCTCCCAGGATTCTTTGGTGGAAGCCATGACAGTTAAACTGGCATAAAACTAAGACAATGGAGTAGTGTACCTACATACTTTATATCTCAGAGCACCTAGCACAACCACTGCCAACCTGGTGCCCTCCAGAAGTTTTGGACTACAACTCCCATCATCCCGATCCCCAGAATGACTTTATGATGCTTGGGCTTATGGGAGTGGTACTCCCTAACATCTGGAGGGCACCAGGTTGGCAGTGGCTGAGGTTGCACATGCCATTTGTGTACTATCAGGAATGGTTTGGGTCCTTTGACTTGGTCCACGGTGGGGTAGGAAAGAGGATAAGTTGGTTTCCTTCCATGATTCTGATATATAGATAGATAGATAGATAGATAGATAGATAGATGAATGAATGAATGTTATATATAAAAGGTAAAGGGACCCCTGACCATTAGGTCCAGTCGTGGCCGACTCTGGGGTTGTGGCGCTCATCTCACTTTATTGGCTGAGGCAGCTGGCGTACACCGGGTCATGTGGCCAGCATGACTAAGCCGCTTCTGGCGAACCAGAGCAGCGCACAGAAACGCCATTTACCTTCCCGCCGGAGCGGTACCTATTTATCTACTTGCACTTTGACGTGCTTTCGAACTGCTAGGATGGCAGGAGCAGGGATATATAAGCTTAGGAGTTAATTGTATTTAGATATGCATTTCTTAGGTGTCCTTCTTCATAAAGTCCCAGGACGGGTTACAACAATGTAACATATACAGTGGTACCTTGGTTTACGAACTTAATCCATTCCTGTAGTCCGTTCTTAAACCAAATCTGTTCTTAAACCAAGGCACACCTTCCCTAATGCCCTTCCACCGTTTGGATTCCATTCGTAGACAGAGGTAAAGTTAGCTAACTTGAACACTACTTCCGGTTTTGCGGAGTCCGTAAACTGAATAGTTTGTAAACAGGACTGTTCGTAAACCGAGGTACCACTATAGTTACAAAAAATAGATAAAACCATCAAGATTATAAAACAAGCAAAATCATCCCAAATGGAGCAGAGACTCAGCAGAAAAGAGGTGAGTTAGCAGTCACAGGTAAAAAGGGACATCTTTAGCATACAGCAAAATCTATGCAGCAAAGAAAATGCACCTCTGAGGAGAGGGAATTCCATAATTTAGGGGCAGCCATGGAGTAAAAATCCTTTCCTGGGCAGCCACTCCCTGCACTTCTGTCGATAACTGAACTGCCCACCCTCCTGGAGGTCTTAACACCTGAGGGGGTCTGTAGGAATGGAGACAAGTGTTTCATATCTTTCTTGGGTCCTAAGTCATTTTCGGGTGTCAAACGGTAATGTGAGCACCTTCCATGCATCGGAAGGGTTCTGTTGGGTTTGCTGACAATACCCTAATTGTGACATTTGCAGTCTCTTTTCGCTTTCCCAGGTTGGGTTATCACCTCTCCTTTTCTATGATGACCAAGATCCCCCATTGGGCTTGCACGTTGTCCATGCCTCCCCCTCTCCCAGCATGCCCCAGGAAAATAGCAACGCTGGCTTCACACCCTGCCTCTGTCACCTCAGAACGGACCCCCATGAGAACAGACTACCTCCGGAGCAGTCTGGCAGCAGCTTGCCAGCTTTCACAAAAGAGGTAACGATGCCTAACTACAGGGACACTGTATGGTTGCTTACAGCCATTTTGAACACCTCGGTTATGGATCACGTGGTAATATTGTTTCTGGACTGTATCATTTCAAGTGGGCGACCACATAATTAAAGATATCATTTTGATCCTCCTCCTCATCATCACAAGTGTCATGGAAAGCTCAAAGGACACACCGGTCAGGAAGCTACAATATTGTTATCCCTCTCTCCCAGCAGCAACTGGAAACTCCTGACTGCCCCAGATAGGACAATGTATGGTTCCTTTAGTGAATAAATCAGCCTTCGCCAATTGAGTGCCCTTCAGACTGGGCAGGGGCTGTGGTCAAAATCATCTAGAGGGCACCAAGTCGGCAAAAGCTAGCTAAACCATGGAATGACACTGTTCACACAACAAGCTTATCCATAGCTCAGTTGAGTAGAGCATGAGACACTTAATCTCAAGGTCATGGGTATACGCCTCATATTGGGCAAAAAGATTCCTGCATCACAGCGGTTTGGACCTCGTGATCCCTTCCAACTCTATGATTCTGTAATTCTAAGAAAGACAGACTGGAATCCCTCTTTTTAATATCTAGCTTTCAAAAAAATTATCTTTGTGTTGGGAGATGCATTTAATAATTTCCCCCCAACTTTGGTCTAACTAAAGTAATATACAGTCATACCTTGGAAGTCGAACAGAATCTGTTCCGAAAGTCCATTCGACTTCCAAAACGTTTGGAAACCAAGGCGCAGCTTCCGATTGGCTGCAGGAAGCTCCTGCAGCCAATCAGAAGCTGTGTCAGACATTCGGGTTCCAAAGAACGTTCGCAAACCAGAACACTCACTTCCAGATCTGCGGAGTTTGGGAGCCGAAATGTTTGACTTGCAAGGCGTTCAGGATCCAAGGTACGACTGTATATGCAAGCTGGTTCTGGAGTTCAGGGTTACCGGTTTTAAATATGGAACACTCCTGTGATGAAAAAAGGCCTTACGTGTCTGAGAAGCGTGGCAGAGATGGGAGGTGCTGCTTGATTAATGATCAGGAATGGGGGGAGAAATTCATTCAGTTTGCATTTGATTCAATCTAATTTGTGCTTTCTGAAACAATACACAAACTGAAAACACAGCCAACTTTTGAAACCCACACTTCTCCAAATTTTGCAATGCTACTCTCCAGCCAAGTAATGTGTTCAGAAATGCATATACTAGGGCAAAGTGCACATGGCTAGAAATGCCTATATTAGTAAACATAACGTACAAAAATGTGTCACATTAAGGAAATATTGCTTTCAAAAATGTGTACTTTGCACGCAGAATTGTGTATATTAGGATAAATTTGCACTAAAATGCTGGTGAGGACTCTTAAAAAGAGACTTTGCAACATGATGAATACTAAACTTAAGTTTGGAGAAATGATAAATGGAAAGAAAAGGAAAACAACGATTAGACACTCCCTAGGACTCTAGGTCTAAACCACTGAGCCTAGGGCTTGCCGATCAGAAGGTTGGCGGTTCGAATCGCCATGATGGGGTGAGCTCCCGTTGCTCAGTCCCAGCTCCTGCCAACCTAGCAGTTTGAAAGCACCTCAAAGTGCAAGTAGATAAATAGGTACCGCTCCGGCAGGAAGGTAAACGGCGTTTCCGTGCGCTGCTCTGGTTCGCCAGAAGGGGCTTAGTCATGCTGGCCACATGACCTGGAAGCTGTTTGCGGACAAACGCCGGCTCCCTCGGCCTGTAGAGTGAGATGAGCACCGCAACCCCAGAGTCGTGCGTGACTGGACCTAACGGTCAGGGGTACCATTACCTTTACAGTCTCATGATCCACCTAGGTTACAAGAATTAAGGTGCATATCCGTGTGCTGCTCTGGTTTGCCAGAAGCAGCTTAGTCATGCTGGCCACATGACCCGGAAGCTGTACGCCGGCTCCCTCAGCCAATAAAGCGAGTTGAGTGCCGCAACCCCAGAGTCGGTCACGACTGGACCTAATGGTCAGGGGTCCCTTTACCTTTACTGTTCTACAGCGCTTCTTGCACAGCTCCTGCCTGTTTTGAGCTGGCAGAAGACACCTTCCTCCTTGGTACTCCATGCCTCACTCTGAGGTGCCCATCTCTCAGTGAAAAGCTGTTGCCAAAGGGCGAGCCCTCCCTGTCCCGTCTCATGGCAGACCAGTCTCTGTGCTGGCTCTCACAAATGTACATTGGCATCCTATGTCACCCCTGCAATAACCATACAAACGTTTCTAGCTAGCTTGTCTTCCCACAACACAATTATGCAGGCCGTTTGGAGTGTATACTGTCAGACTGAAAATGGAATGAACTTTGTGTCTCCCCCAAGCTTTTTGTGCCTGTCACCTGCGACCAGATATTTCCCACCACTCTTTTTAAGCACATCCCAGCCTTCAAATCATAGGTTTGGTTTGATCAGCATTCTCTTTCTTTTGTACACAGGGCCAAGATGCACTGAGCCATGCATTCTAGAAGCTGCCAGGCCATTATCACCGAGCACAACTTCAGCCCGGCTCGGCAGGGAGCTGAAATCCTGTTTGTGGCAGAAGTGAGCACAGTTGCACAGATGCTAGCACTGCAGTTTGAGCCTCTCTCCCTCATGGCCTGGCTTTTCCCTGTCGCACCGCTGCCTTGTTGAGCAATCTGTCTCTCCAACCCCTGAAAATGCTTCCTGTGGACAAGCGGGCTGCGGTCTCGAAGCAAGGCATGCTGATTAGAGGAAGAACCCTGCGAGAATCAAAGAGACTGTGTTTTTTGCCTGCTTTGGGGTGTGACTTTGTGAACAGAAGATTCGTGTTAAAATTAACCTCTGTTTAGAATGACTGCTGCTAAGGGTAGACCTTCCCCCACTACAACAGAAAAGGTTAGTCACAGAAAGGCACTCTGCATGTGCTCAGACACACTCTTTATTATTCCTCCACATTTGGGGGCTGATAGCAGCTGAAGTCACAATATCAAACCGAGTTGAGGATTAGGTAGGAGGTGGGTGGCACATGCTCTGATGACCCCTCCCTTCAGATGTACAATGGATTAAGACCAAAGTCCTTCAGCTGGTGCTTATAGTCCATGTGGATGACAGTAGCCTCCTTCTCCCAGGTGAGCTTGGCACTTTGCAGTTTGGAGAGGACGCAGTCCAGGCTACCCTGCGGAAAGGAGAAGTCAGAGGCAGGATGAGGGGTGCGTTTGGCACCAAGGGATGGCGACCAAAAGTGTGGCATCCTTCCAGTTCTGTAGCTGCACACGACTGAACAGCTGCTGCTGCAGAACAGCAAGAATATGTACCCAAGAATTTCATGTTTGGACACAACAACACTCAGAATGCTGGAAGCAAGCTTCTGAGTTGCACAGAACACTTCATCGGGCATGTTTCAGAGCAAGCCATTATTATTTTTTACCATTTTATTTCTAAAAGCTGGCTCTATTTCAATAGCTGGTAACAGATCAAAGGGGCACTACCCTACAGTCTCTGTGTTTGAAAGCAGGCCATGAGCCACAGAAAGGGATGCATGGCACCTAGAGACTCACACCTGTGGGAATAAGACACTCCCTCTCCCTGAGCTTTAGATAATGGCCCACAAGCTGCACCCATTATCTCTTCTTTGCAATCTGTGACCCGCCACCCACCCAAACTCACATGCAGGATTTTTTCATATTCTGTCTCCATCTCGTCAACCTTGCGCTGCATCTCGGCCACAGCCTTGTCCTTCTCTTCCAGCATCCTTGCCTGGTCCAGCTGGCTTTGTAGCAGATCACCTTGGCAGGCAGCTGCAGGGCAGAAAGTGTTGGGCAAGGAGAAAAAGGAGACAAATATGTGTGGGAAGGAAAAGCAGAGAGGGGACCTTCCAAGGCCTCTAGCTAAGTGGTGGAGCTCCGACTTCGCACACAAAAGCCCCCAAAGTCAATCCCCGGCATCTCCAGGTTTTGCTAGGAGAAAGCCCTGCCTGAAGCTCTGGAGAGCTGCTGCCAGTCAGTGTAGCAATGCTGAGCTTGATGGAACAGTGGTCTGACTTGTTATAAGGCCATTTCTTACGTTCCTAAGACAGCAGGCGACAAACATCTCAGAACAGAGAACTAAGAAGTTTGGGGGATGGCATATAATGGGGCTTGAGAACATCTATTTTCTACTGTTTTTAAGTGGCAAAATGTAGCAAAATGTGCCAGAATGTATTCCCTTAACGCAAGCTTAGAAGGGCTTGTAACAGAATTAGGCAAAATGATTTCCATCTCAAGGTTTGGAGGGTTAAGATTCATCCTCACTCCACCCCCATACCCCACACACAGATTCCAGGTGCAAAAAGAGAGAGAGAGAGAGTTTGCAAATGAAGAGTATCACTTTTTAACTTGTTTTCCCCCACAGTCCTTAACTGAAAGATGAACATGGGCAAAGAACAGTTGCTACAACCATACCATGTGTGATCATCTCCAAGGCCAAGGGTGTGTGTGTGTGGGTGTGGGTGTGTATATGAGAGAGAGAGAGAGAGAGAGAGAGAGAGAGAGAGAGAGAGAGAGAGAGAAATACCAAGCTGTGCTTGCAAGTTCTGCGTCTCCACTTCTAAACGATTGATCCGGGTATCAGTCTGGTGCTGAAGCTGCTGGTACTTGCGGATCATCTCTGGAACGCAAGATGGGAGAAGGAAACGATCGCTTCATCCAACACCCTTGCCCTTCATTAACAGGCCTAAGATTTATAGTTGGGATGGAGGAACCTCCAGACAGTGTTGGATTCCCACTTGCATCAGCCCCAGTCAACATGGCTAATGATGATGGGAAGCCTCTTGAGGGGGGTGGGGGCAGGTTCTCCACCCCTGATTTGTAGCATCAAGTCTATCTGGTTTAACAGAAGGTAAACACGGGGAAAAAATCCTTGCCTCTATGTGCTTACAAGAGAAGTTTTGCTGGGCAGGGAGGAGGGGGGGAAAAGCAGATAAGAGTCGCAAAGGGTCTGTGTGCAGAATGATATACCACAGTGTTAGCTGCGGAGGGAAACGCTACCTTCATCTGAACTTTTCAAAGCCAACATCCTGTAATTGCGTTTTCCTGAGGAAGCGTCTTGCAAAGGCCAACTGGCTTACTGCGTCATGAACTTCTTCTGCCCACATCCGATTAATGAAGTGGACAGAGAAAGTGATGTACACAGGCATGTACTACCCTGGTTCTTGAACTTAATTCGTTGCGGGAGTCCGTTCGACTCCCGAAACCATTTGAAAACCAAGGTGTGGCTTCCCATTGGCTGCAGGAGCTTCCTGCACTCAAGCGGAAGCCGCAGAAGCATTGTTGGTTGTTTGGCTTCCGAAAAACGTTCGCAAACTGGAACACTCACTTCTGGGTTTGTGGCGTCCGGGAGCCGATTTGTTCGGAAGCCAGGCCGTTCAAGTATCAAGGTACCACTGTACATTGTGAAGGTGCAACAGAGAACAAAACGAGGAGCAAGGAGTTAAGCAGGGCAGGAATGTGTGCTGATAATTGGGGTACGGGAAAATGAACAATCCTCTCCCTACTAATAGGAAGCATCCCCCACACCCCAAGGCCATGTGAATGTAGCATTTGGAGACTGAGTAAAGTGGCAGGTAGATGCCAGAGACCCCCTTGGAAAGACAATACTGCTGATTTGCAGAAAATCTCACAACTGCACCAGTCAAGTGGAAAGGGAACCGCTGAGTAACGGGTTTGATGCCCAAAGAGGAAAATCAAAATAAGGCAAAACTACTGAGCCCCTTAAGGGATGCGGGTGCTGCTGTGGGTTAAACCACAGAGCCTAGGGCTTGCCGATCAGAAGGTCGGCGGTTCGAATCCCCGTGACGGGGTGAGCTCCCGTTGCTCAGTCCCTGCTCCTGCCAACCTAGCAGTTCAAAAGCACGTCAAAGTGCAAGTAGATAAATAGGTACCGCTCCAGCGGGAAGGTAAACGGCGTTTCCGTGCGCTGCTCTGGTTCGACAGAAGTGGCTTAGTCATGCTGGCCACATGACCCGGAAGCTGTACGCTGGCTCCCTCGGCCAATAAAGCGAGATGAGCGCCGCAACCCCAGAGTCGGTCACGACTGGACCTAATGGTCAGGGGTCCCTTTACCTTACTGAGCCCCTTGAGGGTCAAAATTGACCCTTGAATGCTGCTTCAAATCTTCTGTTGAAGCTCTTCTCTTCATTGCAGGGTCTGGGCATGGCACTCAACTACAGACACATTGCACTTTCAGAAAGTTACTATTTGGGGATAGAATTCAGTCACATAGCAGCATATTGCAAGTTGCACAATTCAGGTTGATTGGAAAGTCTTGCACAAGAAACCCACTTCCCCCTGAAGACCAGAGTTTTGTGATAAGGAAAGTGATAGGAAGATGCACTGGGTAGTGTGGGGTAATGTTTGTTTTGACACAACGTCACCTAATCTCCCTGCAAATAAATCAGGGTGAGTACTGTTATAGGTTTAGGGGCTCAGTCTAGATGGTGCCTGTGGGTCCCTTCCAGACCTGTGACCCTGTATCTGTGAGAATACAGAGGATACAAAGGATACAGAGAATACAAAGGAACCAACTGGTTCCTTTGTTAAGGTAATGGCCTTGGCTGGCCAGTTAAGTACTGCCATTTACATGTCCAAAGAGGTTGCCTGCTGCCATAGAGACGAGTGGGTGGACCTTTTCCCACCTCACCTGGCTGGATGCCACATCATCCTAGGAGGGAGAACAAGAGCCCAAGGGGTGCTGTGTATGCATATATTTTGGCTGATGCTGGAAGCTAGAGACATGAGAGACTGGTCTTGCTGTGTGCCAAACCCAAAGTTACGGCTTGGGGAATCTCCCAGAGAAGCTGAAGGGGAGGAAAGATCAAGTTGCACATATGTGTAAATAAAACAATATGCCCTAAAGATACCAGGGTTTCCATTGGCCTTCATTCCAAGGCAGCCAAACTCTGGAAAGGTGAAAGCATCCCTGGAGTGTCTTGTTGCTCAGAGATTGGGGCATGTACAACAATACTCAATGAAGAGGTCATCTGGAAGAGCCCCCCACCTTCATAAATATCTTTTTTGTCCCCTCGAGCCTCCTCCAGTTCTTTCTCCAAATCTAGCAGCCTCTGCTTGAGTCCTTCACTGTCAGCCATCGCCTGCCTGGCCATATCCCTCCGGAGAACTGCAAGTCAGAAGAATAAACACAGCAAACATGCAAATGTATCCAATCGAGGCTCAATGCCTATTTTCTCATTTGGCTCCCCAGATCCTTTGTACAAATGATTATCTCCATATCGGAGAGGGCAAAACAACTAAAAGGTGTACCTTTCCTGGACTGGCTTGCTTTACAGTGGTCCCTCAGGTTACATACGCTTCAGGTTACAGACTCCGCTAACCCAGAAATAGTACCTCGGGTTAAGAACTTTGCTTCAGGATGAGAACAGAAATCGTGCTCTGGCGGCGCGGCAGCAGCAGGAGGCCCCATTAGCTAAAGTGGTGCTTCAGGTTAAGAACAGTTTCAGGTTAAGAACGGACCTCCGGAACGAATTAAGTACGTAACCCGAGGTACCACTGTATTTGTCTTTATGAATATTTATATACTGCTATTTCATGGTAACTATAGAGTGGTTTACAATAGTACATAAAACTAAGCAATAAAAACCATTTTTTGAAAAATAAAAAATCAGAATGAAAATCAAACCTCAATTAACTATTGTGGAAAGATGCATCCTTAGTTGCCTACATAGGCATGGCACGATAGAAAGGTTTTTAAAAGGAGGGTGCCTGTTGAAAGTACCTGTTGGCTGATTATTCCAAAATACTTGGCTGGTGACACTAAAGGCTCCATTTCTTCTTGTGGACAAGTGAGCCTCTTGGACTTGAGGCACAGCCAATAACACTCCGGCTCATGATCTCAGTGTTTGAGCATGCAAGCTTTTGCGTTACACAGAGCTCTTCATACGATAGAAGGGGTACTCTCATTTTCCTATTTATATGGGAAAGGCCAAACTTAGATTCACAAAATGTTTAGGGGTATGCGTACCCCCCCCCAAAGAAAAGCACTGTGCTGATGACTGAACTTGGGGGCTTGCCCATGTTTTGCATGTGCTCTACTTAGCTGCATCTGCCGCAATTATAATGCAAAGTATTTAAAAATTACTCCCAGCAGAGTACTCATTTTGGGGTCCTTTATTAAAAGGACTGCGTGGCAATCACTTTGCTTCGCAATGCACTTGGAAACTACTTCCCATTTTCACTTCTCCATAAAAATGCTTGGATTGGTCAACCAAGAAGGGGGTGGATCAGAAAGGGACAGCAGTCCTGCTACTAGTCTGGTCCAGACAGCCATGCTGGCAAACCCTTGGCGCCTTTGTTCAGCGAAGGGTCATAGCTCAGTGTAAGAGACCTGCTTTGCATGAGGAAGGTCCCGGGTTCAATCCCTGGAATTTCCAGATAGGGCTTGGAGAGACTCCTTGCCTGAAACCCTGGAGAGCTACTGCCAGCCAGTATACAGTGGTACCTCGGGTTAAGTACTTAATTCGTTCCGGAGGTCCGTTCTTAACCTGAAACTGGTCTTAACCTGAAGCACCACTTTAGCTAATGGGGCCTCCTGCTGCCGCCGCACCGCCGCAGCACGATTTCTGTTCTCATCCTGAAGCAAAGTTCTTAACCCGAGGTACTATTTCTGGGTTAGCAGAGTCTGTAACCTGAAGCGTATGTAACCTGAGGTACCACTGTATTGTATTGTACTGTATTTGTATCCCATCATTTTTCTCCACAGAACTTGAGGTGGTGTACAGGGTTCTCCCCATCCCTGTTTAATCCTCACAGCAACCCTTTGAGGTAGGCTAGGCTGAGAGGCAGTGACTGGCTTCCAAGGTAAGTTTCAAGGCTGAGTGAGAGTTTGAACCCTGGTCTCCAAGTCCTAGCATGTAGACCCTAAGATGGATCAACCGTCTGAAGTGGTATAAGGCAGCTTCCTATAAGATTAGCATAGAAAGCTTGGCAGTCCTTCTACCTGACCCTTCCAAAAATGCCGCCTCTGCTGTAACCTCTTAAGGCCCTTGCGCAATTTCAACAAATTCTCCTTACCAAGGTGCTGCTTTAAGGTATCAACCTCCAGCACTGCTTTTCTGTACTTTTCCTCATCTGCGGAGAGAAGGAAAGAGAGAGAGAGAGAAATTGAAAGACTTCGGCTGGGTACTAATCGCCACTGATACTGAGACCTCCTGATCGATGCGCCCTTGTTATTATTTAATTTATGAATTGTTTCCTAGGAAGCAACCTGAAGCGCTTTCACAAAACAATGACAAACAGATAAAAGTATTGCATATATAAAACGTCAACCAATTGCGCAGGTAAACACAAAAAGCAGTGGCATAGGTACAAAAACAGTTGAAACAATGGCGTATGTAAAAGGCAGTCTCAAATCCCAAGAGATGCAAGGCACATGGAAACGGGAATTTGCAAGGCGTGGGGCTGCTGGAATCTCCTGCATGCTGCATAAAGCCTTACCTGGCCCAGTGTTTTTCTTCTGCTTTGCTGATTTTTTCCCCTTCCCTTTTTTGGTGGGGGCCATCCTTGCACGTTCTCCACAGCCTGCAAAAGGGAAAAGATGAACCAACATTGTAATATTTTTGGTGCATTCCAACTCCTGACGTTCAAAAAAGATCTTAAAACTGGTACTGATGGGGAGATTCCGGAGGGCCATCCTTATACATGAGGCATACATTTCTTGGCAGCGGAGTGAGGGTGGTCTCTGCTGTTTGGGTGGACAAGTGAACAACTGTTTGTATGGTGGAAGAGAAAGGTGGAGGCAAACATACCTGGGAGCAAAATGCTTCTTCTGCCTTCCTCCCAGGTTCTCACAAGTTAATCTGTGGGCAGTTAAATAAACACTCTTTGCACGAGTGTCATTCCAAGCAGCCAATGCGCAAGGAGGGGGAAGAGGCGCTGGCTTTTCGGCCAGCCTATCCCAGCTGGCACAGGTTGGAGCTCCTTGTGTTGCTAGGCAACCGTCCTTCTTCGCTGCCATGGTGACCAAAGGAAGCTTGGCAGACACACCGGTGCTCCAGCAAAGGAGGTCTGCAAAATTGCATCCAATTGACCTGAAAGAAGAGAGGTTGGAGGATTTTCAGGCCCATCTTCAAAACTTCTTTTGCAGAAACAGAAAGGGGTGGGAAGGCGGTTAGAATCAAATAGGCCCCAAATTCTCTTATTCACAGAGCTTCTTAGAGCAAAGCCATTTCCCCCCATAAAACATTTGGCTCAGCTTTGACACCCAGGTCCTCATCTACAATTGAAGACTGAGTACATAGAACAAGATTTCCACATGTGCTTTGCTGACTTCCCCTCTTCTGCTGCTGAAGTTTAAATTGGAGGATCTTTGGGGCAGGGATCATTTGGAAAGGGTTGTGGGTTTCTTATGATTTTGCTTTTTATGTTACTTTGAGAAAAGTTGTATCCTCTCATGTTGCAATTCTACATTTTATTATTATATGTCACCCAAGTGGCCCCTGCAACTAAATGTTATTATTATTTATAACATTATTATTATTTATTTAATAGCCTCCCCTTCCTCCCAAAGGAGCCCATGGAAGCAAACACATCCGTGATAAAACAGTACAATTAATGTTGCAATGTAGTTTGCTCCTGTACAAGCAGATGCAGCTAGCCACATCTTCTTCTATGGTCCTCTATTCTGTTCCCAGTTCCCCACTCTAACAGCCAGCATCCCATGCCCACTGATCATATTCAGTCTTCATTGGACTGGTTTTTTTTTGGGGGGGAGGATCTTTCCCCTTTTACTTGCCCCTTTTTTTCTGCAAACCTGCAGGTTCCTCCGAGACTGCCGATTTCTTCCTTTTGTGTGTGGTTGTTGTGGATTTGGCTACATAAATATAATGAATAAAAGCATTTACAAAGCTTACCGCTCAGCAAATGAATTTGCTATTACTATCTATGATACTTCTTGTCTAGCTGCTTTCAGAATAGCCAACATGGTGCCCTCTGGATATTGGACTACAATTCACACTAGTAGCAGCCCTCATGGCTAATGGTCTGGTACATGAGGAGAGCCCTGCATTGCTTATCTCTGCTTTAGAAAGTTCAGGGAGGCTCAAGTAGGGTTTGGAGGCAATTCCCACACTGTACACAGTTGCCAATGTCATGACTGTATCCATCCTGTGATGCTTGAGAGCAGCTGCCAGTCAGAGCAGACAATACTGGGTTAGATGAACCGCTAGTTTGGCTCAGGAAGGACTCTGCACTCTGCAGCTATCTTCCACTCACCAACATTCCTGAAGATCAGACCAGGCTAGGTCCACACACTTAGCAGCTGAGATCACAGCTAGAAAGCATGACATAGCCAATGTGGACAGCACATCATGTGGCTACAGGAGAAAAGGGAAGTGCCTGTCTGCTCCCTTTTGAACTTGCTACATGGGATTTGTTTTGCTGTTGTTGTTTGCTTCCACATCTCAAGTTCAGATGTGGGGTGAGGACCACAAAGGCTCAGTGAGAAAGGGCATGATCCCTGCCAAAGCTGCAGGATCCAAATAGGACTGAAGCAGCACCAGCCAGGCTAATCCACTTGGTGCTACAACTCCAATTCATGAGACGATTCCAGACTTTGTGATGTTTTAACAGCTGGGTGCTGCATTTTAGGGCTGACCTCTGACCCCTGAGGTTATGATGGGGTTCTGCAATTTAAGTCTACGGGTCGTAGGAGTTTCCCCCCTTTGCCACAGAACAGCCTTTTTCCCCACCCTCTTCCTGTGGGGTAGTCTCCAAACAGGATCTTCTGTTGGATTGATTCCTCTTAGTTGTTGGTAACGTTAATGACTCACTTATTTCAAAAGAAAAAGGCTTCTCTCCATTTCTGCTTTCCTATTTAAAGGAGTGTATTTAGTTCCCTTATCTGCTGTGGAACAGAGCCCTTTACTACTCCCAAGTCCCTCCCTTTCCTTGGCACAAATACTCTTAGTTAGGTTTTCACAACTTTGCAAAGAAATCGATTTCACATGCATGGTGTTGTAACTGCATTCATCTTTAAGGAGTTAAAAACAAAGGGGTCCCAGCAAACCACCCATTGCATCTTTTATTTGCATGCCTGTCCAAATCTCTCCCTTCCAATGCTGGGCATTCACTGCCTCATGAGGTAGTCTGCCAGCTGGCTCAGGTTCGCCAGCTAGGCTTCCTTCAAGAACCCAGGCATCAATCCTTACTTTTATGAAATTTGCATAACTTTGCATATGCCTGTATAGCATCCATGAAGTGCTTCTCCCGAGTCTCGGAAGTTTTTTATGGTGCTCGCCGCGTTCCCAGGAGCCTGCTGCAGTATTCCGGCCAACGTTGCCCAAATCCATCATGGCCACTCTGTTGGCCTTTTCGCACTATTGCGCATGCTAGGCCCCGCTCCATCTTTGACCATGCGCAGCAGCCGGCACACTGAACTAAACGCCAGTGAGAGAAAAGCCAATCAAGGCGGGACTATGCTAATAAGGCGCTAGTTGGGCGGGGCGTGCTCTTTTTCCTAAGTGGGCCGGTTTTCCTCTTCCCTTCAGCGTTGACAGTCGGGAGCGCGTGTCACCCAACGTGCGCGCTCACGGTACTAAAGAAGAAGAAGAGAGCTCGCTAAGAACGAGCCAACCACTTTTAAAGCCGCCTCCTCGGTCGCGCGCCTAACTCACATACTGAGACATCCGTCGCCCCGCCCCTCGCCCATCCCCCTTCGCTGTTTGGGAGGGGGCGCTCTGGCCAATCAAAAACGCGACTCAACCCTAGGGGCGGGCTGTTGAAAACGAGCGGCCCAATCAGAACGCGCCTCTCCTCAGGGAGCATTTCTCCCCTCCTCCACACACACACACACACACTCTCGGCTTTCCTCCCACCCTCGCCACTGCCACAGCCAATCAGAGCGCCCCGCCGGGGGAGGCTCGCGATCCTGTCACGGGGGGGCGGGGGTTTAACGCGCGCGCCTCCCCCTCCGTCGCGCGCAACCTCCTCCTGCCTTCCTGCCCGCCCGCTTCCCTTTTTCTTCGTCAGTCGGGCGCGTCCCCGGCGCTCCTGGAGCCGCCTCCCCTTCTCCTCCGCCGCCTCGACAGTCGGTGGCCAAGCCGGGGAAGGAGCGGCCTGGCGGAAGGGACACGCCTTAGCCGCCCTCCGTCCCTCCCTCAGCCGGAGCCGCCGCCGTTGCCCCTCTTCTCCGCCGCCGCCGCCCCCATGTCGGCCCCGCTGAAGAAGGGCCCCGGCGGGCTGATCGGGCTCATGAAGGACGCCTTCCAGCCGCACCACCACCACCTGGGCCCCCACCAGCCCGGCACCGTGGACAAGAAGATGGTCGAGAAGTGCTGGAAGCTCATGGACAAGGTGCGAGGTCGGGGGGGCTGGGGCGTGGCCGCGGAGGGGGCAGAAAGTGGGGCGAGGCTGGAAGGGGGTGCAGAGGCAGAGAGGGGTCGTGGGGGCAGGGCGGGGACATGGGGAGGGGTCGCGGGCGCTGACGACGGTAGCATTGCCATCCTCCTCCTCCTCCTCTCCATGTACCGTTGGATTCCAGGTTTCCTTGCGACGCGATCCTGTGCTACGCAAGAGTAGGTGTGTTTCTTCACTCTGATTCACTCTGTCCTGAGGAATTGCGAGGGCAGGCAATCGATTGCTAACAGCTCGGTCTGGGGGGGAAAAGCCGCTTTATTAGCATACTAATACTAATACTAATACTAATAAATAAATGCGAGTTCAGCTGCAAAAACTGGGATGGCTCAGTCAAAGTTCAGGAACAGTTAAAGGGTTAGCGTCACTGTCAGCGTCTTTTATGAAGGGCCTAATATGTGCTGATCCCTATACAAAAATAATAAAGCGCAAGTCCCTTCCTGTAGGCTCAATCTCTCCATTTCACCTCATCAAGGCCTTGTGGGAGGTTCATTGACCATTTGTAATGTGGGACTGCTTTCCGGTGTGGGTTATTGTCTTGTTAAAAAATTTTTTAACAGCACTTAGTCATATTAGGCATTTTATAGGTAATAGATGTGATGGGACAATAATTGTAAATCACTCCAGAGCAAAGAGATTTTATAGTCTATTTTGCAGCTGTCCATTGGAGAAGAAGGGTGAGGCTGGATAGATCCAGGCCGGCTGACCTGGGAAAATTAGGAGCTGAGGGGCCGAAGTGGAAGTGATGGGCCAGAATGAGAGCAGTGAGGCAGGTAGGGCTGGAGAGAGGTGCTTAGTGTTGGCTTAGTGCTGGCATCAGAAGTAAAATTTAGCAGCTGCCATTTGATAAAATGTTTGAGGTGACATACAGCATACTTATTGCATATGTACAGTGGTGCCTCGGATTAAGAACTTAATTCGTTCTGGAGGTCCTTTATTAACCTGAAACTGTTCCAAACCTAAGGTACCACTTTAGGTAATGGGGCTGCTGCTGTGCCACCACCGCACAATTTCTGTGCTCATCCTGAAGCAAAGTTCTTAACCCGAGGTATTATTTCTGGGTTAGCAGAGTCTGTAACCTGAAGCGTCTGTAATCTGAGGTACCACTGTATTGCTATCAGCATACTTCAGCTCATTACAAAGTGATGCAAGCCATGGTCCTTGAGGAGTTGAGTCTTTATTTAGTGTAAAGCAGGGGGAGAAATTGGAGAGGGGTGAGGGAGAGGCAAAAGTAACATGGAATGAATGCAAGCAAGTGGGCAAATCCAGTTGGAGCAGGCGTTTTCTGCTAGCTGACGAAAAGGACTGGAGCTGGGTAGACTAAGGTAGTGCATGGCTTGACCTGTGGAGAGGGAGATGTGATGTGGAAGGGGTTGTAAGGGCACCAGTGGTTGAATTGAGCAACAGGGAGTTGGAGGGTAGTTTTGAGATTGCATGCTGAGTTGGAGGAAGAAGTTGAAGAAGGGCCTGCTGTAGAGGGCTTAGATTGATGCTCAAGGCAAAGGATTGATGGAATAGGAAGTGGCTGAGCTTGAGCTGGGAAATGGATTTGGAAGGCTGAAGGACCATGGGGAATAGGTAGGATGGATCATTTAGGAGCATAAAATGATTGGCTCCGTTAAAGCAGCTCAAGTTCTAGCTCTCTATAGCCTTTTCCCATGTTATTTCCCCTATTTTAATGAAATCATCACAGAAGTTTGCTCAGACTTCCTGATTAAAGGTTTCAAAATAACAGTTCCCATTCACGGGATAGCAACTATGTTTGCTGACCTTAGTGTTCTTTTTTAGGAGAAATGTGCCTAAAGGGTGAAGGACGGGAGCAGTAGAGGAACAGGACCTTCCTGCGTATGTTCTTGGGCAATGTGCTGTGAAAGGGTAGACTTTCCCATTTGCTTCTGGGCCTGCTCTGAACCCTCATGAAGGCATGTTTAGAGTGCTACAAAGCTCAAACCGTTTGCTAGACAGGAAGTTGTTTATTGTGAGATCATGGTTCAGAGCAGTAGAGTAGCACAAATGAAAGCTTTGCAGTCTTGCAAGCCTTCATAATCCTACTTTGGAAGCATGCACTTGTGCTAAACTATGGGAAACTGGAGCTTTAAGGGATGCTCCAGCTTTTGTAGGATTTAGACCAGCCTCTGTGTTCTTGATCTTTCCAGTATAATCCATCAATTCATTTGACTGTGTTCTATTGATTTGTCAGGTAGTCATTACTGCTGGACTCTGGATTCTGGTGTAGTTTGACAAGTGTGCCATTAAGTTGTGGTAGATGGAAAATACAGATAAAAATAACGTTAAATATTTAATAATCTTTTTATCAAGTGGATGTGGTATTCCAGCTCGTGTGATCAAGATGGCTGATAAAACGGAAGTTGCATTAATAAGTTGCATTAGTTTTAACACAAAGGGCATGCTCACAAGTTAGCATATTGCATGGTCCTGAGTACTCAAATAGTCAAGTTTTATGAAACCACTAGTGACTTTTGGGGAGGATGTAAATTTATAAAATTATGCCTGGCATGGAGAAAGTGATGTTTGCTCCCTCTTTCTTAATATTAGAACCTGGGGTTATCCAGTGAAGATGAATGGCAGGAGGTCCAAGTACAAATGCAAGTATTTTTTCATAGACAAATTCCTGGAGGATATGACTGTCAATGCCTGCTGGTCATGGTGGCTTTATGCCATCAACAGAATCAGAGGCTGTTGAACACCAACAGGAGAGGGCTTTTGACCTGCTTTTGATTCTCATAAAGACATCTGGTTGGCCACTTTAGGAAATAGGATGCTAGACTTGATTAGTCTGATCTAGAAGGGCTCTTCTTATGTTCTTGCAATATGGTACTGTCTCACAGATATGCCTGAGCTAAATAAGCCTTATTTTGCTGCCAGAGTGGAAATATTAAGTTTATATAGATTTGAGCTATAAATGAATTGAAAACTAGATACTTTTCAATACATTGTATTGGTGAGCTAAGAATAAATATATTTGGAAGCCTGTCGTAAATTACTTCAGAATATGTTGTCGTTTACTCTTTCCTCCAGGAAAATGATATTCATTGCTGTGTAGATCCCATCATAACTGCTTTTGAAGCATATAGCTACCACCTCTTCTTTTCCACACAACAGTTATATATAGCCTGGTTAATGGCTTTCTTTGGGTCCATCCAGAAAAGGAAGTGGGCAGTGCATAGAATTCTAGAGGTGGAGGAGCTCAGGAGGACAACTAGAAAATTCTCAAACAGGAATGGGCATGTGTCAGAAGCGATCTGAATACAATCACTCAAGCATTTTTATGGTGTTATATAGGATTTATCTCAAGATGCAATCTATGCCTGCTGTACCAGTAGCAGTCCTACTGCGCTCCGTATGCCTAGAACTGCTGTCTTGATTTAGCTCAGTGGCTTATGGGAAAAAGAAGAGTTGCACACCCCAGTTCCTGTCCCTGTTCCCCTGTCCAAGATCAAGCAGTGATCTTTGCACCCAATGCAGAGAGGCAAAACTGATTTGCAAAGTCTACAATTGAGTTTTAAGGAAATTTCTTCCTTTACAGAATGTGTGACACTATCAGCTGCTTATGATTTGCCTAAGTGTTGAAATCTGGGAGTTAACTGACCTGCACTGGTAACAGATTTTGAGCAATGAATCTCTGATGCAGGAATTCTGCCTTCTAATGAAGGTAAAGGTGAAATGAACTGGGCCAGTAACATATTGATGAAAACTTCAAATGTTGCCTTTTGGTGAATGTAAACTGACTACCTAAATGTACCAGTACTTTGAACCAGTTGTATTTTAATATATATACAGTATATTGTTTTATTAATTTCTAACCATTTATATATTGCATATTATTAGTAGGAGTATTTTGGTATATATTAATGTAAATACATATTTTGGTCAACATTGTTCCTCAATACTGTGTTAGTGTGTATATTATTATTATTATTATTATTTGGTTGATATGATTGTCAAAACAGTAATAAATGATGACATAGCTGCTTATAGAGAATCCTGATCACCTTGTGACAGATGCTTAAAATTAATTCCTAACAAACACTGTAATCGGGATACATGCTATCTTCATTTCTGCATAAGTAAATACAGTTTTCTGATGAAAATCTTAATGCTTACATAGACTAAAGAAGAGGAATTTGTTCAGCAGTGCAAATGATAGTCACCACAGCTGCTTTGCATTGCTTAATAAAAAATGGGAAGTGTGACTGGCAGATTGACAATTCCCTTTTTGCTAGTTGAGTTTTTCCATCAAGCTGGGGTGACCAAGAGATATTGTTGGTTAACCCTAGGTATGGCACAGAGCTGACATGTTTCAGAATGTTATTCATAAGCACATGCGTTGGAGAAATGTAGCTTGCAGACTCTAGGATTCCCCTAGGAAGAAAACTTCAAAAGGGGGAACAGTGAGATGAAGGCTATGTTTATGCCATAAATTAGCCGTAATCTGATTTTGATCCAGTTCAGCTGTTGTGGCTTCCTCATGGAAACTTGGGAAATGTAGTTCTGGAAGGCAGAAAGGATAATTCTGTTAGAAGTTCCTAGTCTTTTCCCATAACATCTGTTCTGAAGATTCCTTATGAGAAGTCCTGACATGTGCTGGGCTCTGACCAGCCCACATATTAAACATCAAGAGGCTAGGAGAATGCTTGAACTTCCTACTTGTATTTCCTAGCAGTGGGTTTGTCTTCCAACCCATCACTCATTCAAGTCATTTTCAGTATGCTTGTGTTTTTCTTTCCTACAATTTGTTTGCGTTTAGAGTACTGAGGACTGTTGAGGTTACACTCTCTTTCTTTTCTCTATTGCTTTCATTGGAAGTTTAGCTCGAAGGATGTTGCAGTCCTACTTCCTGTCCTTTACTTTGATCTGCTTACCTCCAAACCTGCTGTAGATGTTGCTGGTGACAGCTGAGCTTTCAGTCTCTGTTTTGCCCTAGTTACGCTTGAGATTAATTTGGTGGAGGGTGGGTTCTTGTCTGTAATTTGTATACAAACCCTTTTATAATTAATTTTATATTCCATTTCACAGGCTCAGTGGAATGGCAAGCTTGTTAAATTGTCTTTTTTAAAAAATCCTAAGGTTACAATGTGAATCACATGCGGTAGAGAGCCAGTGTGGTGTAGTGGTTAAGAGCAGTAGACTCTTAATCTGGGGAACCGGGTTCGCGTCTCAGCTCCTCCACATGCAGCTGCTGGGTGACCTTGGGCCAGTCACACTTCTTTGAAGTCTCTCAGCCCCACTCACCTCACAGAGTGTTTGTTGTGGGGAAGGAAGGGAAAGGAGAACGTTAGCCGCTTTGAGACTCCTTAAAGGGAGTGAAAGGCGGGATATCAAATCCAAACTCCTCCTCCTCCTCCTCCTCCTCCTCCTCCTTCTTCTTCTAGGGACAAAGTATCCATTGGACTTCAAGTACTGTAAATATGTTTAAGATGAGGTACAAGTATTTTAACACCATTGTATTACACCATGTACAAGTATTGTGTGATATTCTTTCTAGTACTTCAGGTTTTTACCTTCTGAAAATGTAGATGCAGATAGGCCAGTGGATTTCTACATTCTTGAATGAAAACATATTCATGTTCCATTCCGTAAATACCATCAGAGATCTGACCAAATTATGCTGATAATTGAGACAATACTTTATAGTGCACTTTAGTTATGTTGTTTCTTTAGGTATTAGTCATTTTTACATGGTATTCCTTAATGTGATCTAGCAGTTACTGATGGCAATCAACTAAAACTGTTTGCTACAGCCAGTAGTCAGTTTAAATATTAGAACATCCATGTGGAAGTAGACAAAATTTTTACATGTATTTGTGCATCACATGGTGGCGATAACATGTTTTAGACTGCAAAGTGAGATGTTTTTCTATCTTAAGAAACTCTGTAAAGTGTGAGATACACTGGTATTAATGTGTATTAATGGGGAAAGCTCCTTAATCCCTCACTTCAGTCACTGTGCATATAGTGCCTTGCACATCTGTCCTGCATACTTCTATGTTGGTGAGCTTTCACTATGTTTGGGGGCTAGTACAAGAGGTGAAAGGTTTTTTAGATGTTTCCACTGTGTGTCATGCTGACATGGGTCAGGCCTCCATGTGAGGTGCAGATTCTGTCATAACTCTGAGCCTCTTGATTAAATGCTTTGTTGTACTTTTCCTGCCTGAATAGTATTCAAGTCATTATCTTTATTCTGCCTGTAGCTATCCTATATATTTTCCTAAGATAATGTCAGGGGAAATGTTTTCCTTGGCTTGATCATGCTTCTAGTTTGCCTGCATTATGTGTGGCGATTAAATAACATTTTTTAGAGTATAAAATGTGAACAGGAAATACATAGTTCCATATTTTGGCTGCAGGTGATATATTTTAACTTAATGATGCTGTTTATAATTAGGAGTTGAAACATAAATTACAGTCGAATAAAGCAGAAGTGTAGCACATGTCGGTATTTGGGGAAAAAACCTGTAGAAAGTCTGGGAGGTTTTGAACTGGAAAGGAGGAAAGACTACATAATAAGCTGTTGCAGAAGAATGATCTGAGCTTAGACAATGAATACTTACGTGGGTGTGCAGCAAGCGTTTCCATTGGCATGTTAAATACCTTGAAGGGGGCATAATCAGGTAGTTTATTTGCTAAGAATTCAATGAAGAATAGTTACCAACAGGGAAGCAGCAAAGTGGTGTGCCTATTGTGATAAAACCTAATGGCGAGTGCCTTTTTCCTGAGCAGGAAACATTCCCAAACTGCCTGTTTTTGGTTCTGTGGAGAGTGTTTTTTTTTTAAATAATAGCCAATAACTGGAGGAAGGTGTTCTAGTTACAGGTAGGTAGCCGTGTTGGTCTGCCGTACTTGAAACAAAATAAAAATATTCCTTCCAGTAGCACCTTAGAGACCAACTAAGTTTGTTATTGGTATGGCCAACTTAGTTGGTCTCTATGGTGCTACTGGAAAGAATATTTTTATTTTGTTTGGGGAAAAGTGGTCCATTGTATTGCCCCTTAGACACTAACCAGTTCAGTGTGGCATGGTCATTTATAGCAAAGAGGCTGATTCATTAGATGCATGTGATGCATTAGATGCATACGATTGGACCAAGAAGGCCATAGGTATGTGAACTGAGGAACAAGAAGGTCCCTCTACCAGTGCATTTGATAGCATGAACCTATGAAAGCTCCTTCCAGATCAGGGGTCAGCAACCCGCGGCTCCGGAGCTGCATGTGACTCTTTTACACCTTTGCCGCGGCTCCGGGGCGGATACTAGCGAGGGGAGGAGGCGCATTGTGCGCCCCGACACTCCCCACTGTGGCGGGCGCTGTACTGGCTGTGACGTCGCATGGGGGCGGTGCGTGCGTTAGTCACGCACCGTCCCGACGTCACCTTCCCGTCCGCTGTCAGATCACGGCTCCAGAGATATATTTGTTTTAAATGTCGCAATGGTTTTGCGGCTCCCAGGTTTTTTTTCTTCGGAAACGGGTCCAAGTGGCTCTTTTTGTCTTAAAGCTTGCAGACCCCTGTTCCAGATAAACAAAGTAGCTGTAAAAGTTCTGTTACAATTTGCTGATATAAGCTAGAATGGTTTATTCTTTTCAAAATAGATCCCCAACTTTAAGTTATGGTTTGTAAACAAGTTCTTGTAATTCATCTGTTTGTTGTGCCTTATTAAACATTAAATTAGCAACTTGAGGTTGTTTATAGTCATGTAAAAATAAACTGGGGTGAGGTGGGGAACCCAGAGTGCCTTTCCGTTTTGTGTATTTTTGCCCTGCACACTAGGCATAAAATTAGTTTTGCTGTTTCCCCTTTTTTGTTTGGTTTCCTTAAACTATTGGGTAAGAACTTGTGGGTATTTGTCTTTCTCTTTCTCTCCCTATCTTTGTTCATCAGACAAAAAGAGCTATGTTGTCAGCCTAGGAAAGGTTTTCAAAATCTGATACAGTGGTGCCTCGCAAGACGAAATTAATCCGTTCCGCAAGAGTCTTCGTCTAGCGGTTTTTTCGTCTTGCGAAGCAAGCCCATTGACGGATTAGCGCTATTAGCGCTATCAGCTGTTTAGCGGCTATTAAAGGCTTAAAGGCTTAATTAGCTGCTAAAAGGCTATTAAAGGCTATTAAAGGCTTAGCAGATTAGATAAAGGGGGAAGCGAAAAAAATCTCAAGACTCGCAAGGTATTTTCGTCTTGCGAAGCAAGCCCATAGGGGAATTCGTCCTGCGAAGCAACTTCAAAACGGAAAACCCTTTCGTCTAGCGGTTTTTCCGTCTTGCGAGGCATTCGTCTTGCGGGGCACCACTGTATTGCCAGATTTTTAAAACTTATTATTTTCATCTTGAATCTAGCCCTATATAGATTCTAGTAACTATATTTGTTACTTTTCCTTCCTGCTGAACAATTAAAAGCCTGCCTTGGACATTTGGGGGAAGGTAGGATAAATTCTCACAAATAATCATGGGAAAACCCCTTGAAATGGTCACAAAGTACTTGCCTACACCATAATTGCTTCTTTTAAATATGTTCACACTTGATGTGAAGAGTTAGCAGACTATGGCCAAGGAACAAATGGCTTCAAAAGACAGCTAAGGAGCCAAAGAGGGAGAATGAATGCAGTGTGTGCTAATTTGCTGGTACGCTGCTGATTTCCCAGAGCTGTGAACATTGCATCTGGCAGTAGTTGTGTTCTGCAAGGGCACACGAAGGGAGCTAAGTTGAAGACAGGTTTTTGTTATGTTTTGTTCAAGGGAGGATCAAGTCATACATTCTGGTCTGGTTCAGACATAATGCTGAGGCTTAGCTTAGGATTGATTGATTGAACAAGCTGCAGGGAACTTTGGGCTCCCCTTTGCTTCTGTCTATCTCTTCCAGCATGGTGATGAGGAGCAGTTTGGAAGTTTTCACTTCAATTTTAGCAGTGCTTTAAAACAATAAGAAAGAAAAAGAAAAAAGGTGTTGGTATTCAGCATGAAGTTACTGTAGTAAGTGCCACACTCAAGATTTGGGGATGTGGGGAAGGTTCCTCACTTTAAATAACAGAATTCCATGCTGCACCATAAACTGATTTGGAAACTCCTCAGGATTTCAGAAGCTCCTTCAGAAGAACAACATATGAATTATACCAGCATGGGAGTGGGACCATGCTAAGTAGCCTCACTCCCAGGATTGCACACTGTGTAGCCATGACATTCATACACATATTGAAAACATCTGCAGAGTTGAGCTTTCACACCTGCAGCTGTGTACGTGGAGCCTTACCCATAGTCTGGAAGCCCTAATTTTTTGGGCTTGCCGATCCCATGAACTCCATGGAGGACATCACTTGTACACAGCTGTACACTCCAAGGTTCTCTTGTTGCACACATTTGTGCTGTATACAGAAATTCTTGGGCAGGGAGCTACTTGGAGTGTGTAGCATCAAGCGGGGAGCTAGTTGGTCTGGCCCTGCTCTCTGCTCACAAGTTGATAGAATACTTGAGTTGGTTCTTCTTTGAATGCCATTTTGTGAAAGTGTGTGGCAGGATGCTGTTCAAGAATTCCAGAGTTCCAGTGAATGCACAGAATTTGTGCAGTTGCTGAATCCTGGTTGTAATGGTTGATGAGAAAAAAGTACTGCTATGAATTACACACATCTCATGAAGGTGAATGGTTGTTGATATGATGCACTGGTTGTGAAACAAACTGGTAGAAGATGATGTGTGCCAACATTGGGCCAAGCCCATAGTTAGAGCCTGGATAGGACCCATCCATAGTAACAGGTGAAACTCTTGTCCAGAATGGTAACTGCTGTTCTTGTGAAATATCTACGATCCGCAGAGAGGAAAAGATTTACTCCTTGGGGGCATTCGTTGCTGTTGGTAACATCAGACAGATTGCTTGGATTACTGATCCAGTATTTTTCAAATAAAGTCTTCTGTTTGGTTGTTCCAATATATAGTAAATTCTTTAGACTTGGGGAGCTGGGCAAGTTGCTCATTTTAATACTGTACCCACTATAAAGCTATTTGCGGTATCTCAACAAAGTACTGCGTTTGGGATGTGGATCAGCATAGTGTTTGTCAGTCTTCTAGAGCTGCATTTATATGAATAATTGATCAGATATTCAGGTCCATTTCCTTTCTGATAGTTTGGGTGCCAAGTGCCATCAGTGCTTATAGGCGAATCTCACATACCTTGCAGAATTTGACATAGATGGCTACTCTATGGTTGATCTTCTCCACTTTTAAAATGCTCAATCAGTATAAAAGTTTGGGTGTGTACCATATCAGCCACAAACCTTTTGCACAATAACATACATTGATTTACGGTAGATGCTCACTAGATTGAGCAAGTCTGTAGTGAGCAGGAGTATCATGTAGTTCTTTCATCACTATTTAAGTAGCAAACAAAAATGAGATGCCCATGATGGAGAGATAAAAGCAAAGTCTGATAGACTGCTTCAGTTTGCTCAGTAACTATTTTTATTAGGTGAGAATGAGAATGTTTATGATCAGATTGATTATTCATTTACACAGCAAAGCCTCCCTTAAGTTTCTGTGTCTGGTAGAGAATATTGATTCAGTTGAGAGAATGGTCTAGGTTGCACATATTGCTGAACCATTGTTGACCTGTGTTCCCCACTCCAGCACAGCTGCTAGGAGATCTGAATCATTTGCTTCCATTTTCAACTAACTCCTGTCTTTGGAAGAGGATGATAGTGGAGGGGAAATCCATAAACCCCAGCCTCATGTTTTTCATGTGAAGTAGTTTATTAACTGTAGTTACCATGCTTTTATTCAGATTGATAGTAACCAAGTTGATCTTAAAGATAAAGTTAGTATTTACAATGAAAAAGAGAAATCTTAAATTTTAATCTGATATTTTAAGTTAACAACATCCATTTTTATTCACACTGAATTTCAGTAATATTGTTTTGATTGTAGCTTAAACATTCTTTTTAGATTAGCAGAAAATAACATAGACCTCTTAAACCTACTTCTTGTCTCATGTTTCAGGCTCAGTATTTTGCATGGTTTGAATATAACATCCTGTAGTGTTGCAACTTGCAAATAAAAATGTATCACATTATAGGTTGCGGCTTTCATAATGAATATTGAGTTTCTGGGAATTCAGTTAAGCATGTTGACATCTTGGTTGTAAATCCATTTCTTGCATTTGCAAACATGGTAGCACTAGTTAAGCTAGAATCTTACATTTCATTATCCTTGTTCATTCTTTATTTCTAGGTTGTGCGTTTGTGTCAGAATCCCAAGTTGGCACTAAAAAACAGTCCACCCTACATTCTAGACCTGCTTCCTGACACTTATCAGCATCTGCGAACCATCCTGTCACGCTATGAGGGGAAGATGGATACTCTAGGAGAGAATGAATACTTCAGGGTGTTCATGGAAAACCTGATGAAAAAGACAAAACAGACCATCAGCCTCTTTAAAGAAGGAAAAGAGAGAATGTATGAGGAGAATTCCCAACCTAGGTAACGTTTTGTGTTCTTAATTGCTTGTAGTATTAAAATCCAAGTGGGTCGTTGGAGAGCACTCTTGAAACTCTTCTTATTTCAGTGGTTCTTGGGCTCTTATGAACTCTTATGGTTTCTTTCAGAACATAATGTTTCTCTGGAAGTTCTTGACTGTAAGTTGGGCTTGCTATTTTGTGTGATGTCTTGTTGGTGAAATCGATGGTATAATTTCAAATAATTATTAAGAACTGTAGGTGGAAGTAGAGAAGGTCTGGAGATGCAGTTAATATTCATGACAGATGCATGTAGCTCACAAGCCTGTTAATGCACTGGAGAATTTATGTTACATACATGGCTAATGTTTTGCTTTAGCATTCATAGTATTTTACACATAATATCAGCAAGTTTTGCAAAAACCAAGTAAAGTATGTTGGTATTATCATACGGATAATATTGAGTGAAAAAACAATTATACATACTCCAAAGATACAGGGCTGCTGTTGCCCATTAGTCAATGGATCCTGATGATGAGCCTGCAAGGAGGGACTCAGGCAGATGTTAAGACCTGGGCAGATTTGTATGGGTGTAGATGATCCTTCAAATAGCCAGGTCCCAAACCAGAATAAGAATTGTATTGCTAAGCTTAGCTAGCCAAAAGATTCCTCAATGATATTTCACTGCTAATTTTAACAAGCTGGGGAAAAAGGGGATGGGGGAGAAAAGAGAAGTATTTAGCTTTGCGGTTTGAGATAAGGGTCTATTACAACTTGTTCAACATGGTGGATGAGTGCTCTGGTCTGAGTGGCATGGTGGCAAACTATCTGTGTGACCAACCCTAAGCTGCTTCCCAACCTTGACATTGCAGCAGCAGGAGGAGACAATCTTCATGGCGTGGAGAAACCCTGGGCTTTGTTTTGGGCACCGAGTGCTCCAAGTTGCAGGCATGGAGCAAGGGCTTGTTTCCACATTGTTTGAAATCTGTTATTCCCCCAGCTCCAATCATGTAGCTAAAGAAGCAGGGAGGTGATTGCCCCTTACTTTATGCTTACTTTATGGTTTTAGCTTTAACATTTGCGTCAAGGCCAGGACAAATCATGCTCCTTTACCAATCTCTGAAAGACATAAGCAGTGTCAAAACTATAGGAGCATCTGGAATTATGTGTGGTTCTGTTCAGGTCAGCATTTTGTTTTGTGTGTCAAACTGATAGGGTTGCATTTCCCCTTGTGTATTTGCTGAGTAGTTTTGCATGTTACGGGTTGTGTAATGAACACTGACTTCAGGAGGCTGGGGGAGTGTTGGTGTGGGTGGTGTGAGCATTTACTGTACAACGTAAACCTGATTCAGTTCAAATATTATTGGCAAATGAGAGCAAACCATAGTAAAGCAAGTTTGCATAGCAAAGGTAAAATGCAGAAAATATGCACTTGAGCTCTGTGCCTATGAGACCCATCATCTAATGTAGGTGTCTCAGGGAGGGTGTATGTGTCTTGTGTGTCATAATTGGAAGCTTTCATTTTATTCTCCCTCCCCCCCCCCCCCCCGTATTTATATGCTGCCTTTCAGGGCAAGTTCCCCATGACATAAGTAAAAAGCATTCCCTCCTCTCCCCTCTCCTCCCCTTTTGAGGAAGAAGGGCAGTCTTAGATCTGTCTTTAAGAGTTATGGGAGGTGCAAGCTTCAAAAGGAGAAGAGGAGTTTGAGGTGTAGGAGCTGCCTGTTGAGGCAGATTGTGGCTAGAAAGTGTGTGGGAGGAGGAGAGTCTGTATATGTACAAAGCAATTTGGTAGGCCAAGCTGCGTTCTAAAAATTACCTCCTGACATTAGTGCATCATTAAAAACACCTTCCAGTTCCAAAGAGAAAGCTGGTAATTTTCTAGTGGATAACAGTGTGTCAAAACTTTGTGAATTATTTTTAAGATCTCTATTGAAGTTTTGTGTGTGAGAGGGAGGGAGAGATGATAGGTTAAACTCTGGATTCTAGACAGTAAAGTCAGCACTTAACTATTGCCACGGTGAAAGTTACACTTCTCATTTGTCTAATGCGCCAGAATTCACTGTTCAAAAAGCATCCGCTACTGTGGTTAAAACGGAAAACAGACTTGGGTGCTCTGCATGCTCCTATGCATGCAAGTTAATCATGTGTGTTTTTCCTAGACTCGTAGCTCTTTCTGTTAACTTGCTGTGATAATACTCATGTCAAGACATTCAGTGGTAATGGCATACAAAATGTCATACAAAACAACTCCAATTTACACATCTATTTAAAGTTCACATCATTATGAGCCATAGCTTTTATCTATTATGTAGGCATGTCACACTGAGCTAGGTGCTGTGGTCTTGGTTTCATTGAGTTTTTTACCACCTTGAACAGCACTGAGCAGATACAGTGGGAGGGCAGTGGGAGGAATCCTTTGTTGTTGCTGTATTTGTGTGATCAAATTAATACTGTGCGACATTCACCATGTCTGCATTCTTAAGTGGTATCCTGCAACCTCAAAGCTCCCACTTCCTTACTAAGCCAAAGACTGAGAAGTGAATGGAGGGGGGCATCTAGTGTGTGTGGGATATCAGTAGCCCAAGGTTGACCCGGGTGTGTATGGAGCTGCCAGTTTCAGCCACAGATTATCTTCTGGAATACATTTGGATTTGTTATATTTCATGGAAGCAGTCATATTTGAGTACTGCTTGCCTCAAAAGATGTGCTGTACATTTTAGTCCACTGTCAGCTCCAGAGGAATTGAGGTACAAAAATTCATATATAATTATCTGACTGACTGACAAAGATGAAGTCAAGGACAACATATGTGGTTTAAGTTCTGTAGCATGTTATAATATCCCTGAATTCTTAAATCAACCCTTCCCCCTTTATGGGAATTGTATGTCCTGTCCTATATAGAGAGGTTGCAGTAAAATTCTAATGGCAGCCAAGGTGTTGAGCTTGGAACATTTGTTGTCTCTCCTTGCAGCCAGACTTGTGGGGTTGCTGTCTCAGCAAGATTTTGTGTTCGTCATCAGCTCTAGGGCATAGAGGAACAAATCCATACAGGAAAAAGCTGCAGATACTTAATATCTCTTCTGTGTATAAATTGTGTGCAGCCTTACCCAGGAAGGAAACTGATACTACTAAGAGGTTTGTTTTTTGAAATGTTGATTTTGAAATCAAACTGGCTATAGTTATAAACTGCTTATAAAGCACTAAAGCCCCCAAAGCATTAAAGCCCCCAAAGTACTAAAACAAATTCTGTACTGATAATTTTGTCTCTTAAAGTGAGAAGCTGTGTTAGGAAAACACTAGAACGCATTGTTGAGGCAGCCTATCAAAGCCTGTTGTGAAAGAGTCCCCTGTCACTTCCTTCGAATGAAACTTGCACTTCAGAATGTGGAAAACTTGTGAAGCCTACTTCTGCATTTCAATTAGAGTATCTTAGAGAAAATTCAAAAGCTGCCTATAAAAAAAAAAAGAGTCTTGACTGCCAGGTTGCTACATAAGAACGTGAACTGCTTGCTGCCTAAAGAGACCCCATTGCCATGAAGAAAATGTGCTTAGATGTTGATCTTTAATTAGGCCCACTGGGATGGGTAAACACACCCAGGTTCCTGTCAGAAATCCTGGGACCCAAAGCTTTCCTTTCTAAACTTCTGAGTCCTAATAATAATAATTTAATAATAATAATTTATTATTTATACCCCGCCCATCTGGCTGGGCCTCCCCAGCCACTCTGGGCGGCTTCCATAGAAACCAAAAATACACTAAAATATCACACGTTAAAAACTTCCCTGAACAGGGCCGCCTTAAGATGTCTTCTGAATGTCAGGTAGTTGTTTATCGCTTTGACATCTGCTGGAAGGGCGTTCCACAGGGCGGGTGCCACTACCGAGAAGGCCCTCTGCCTGGTTCCCTGTAGCTTTGCTTCTCGCAATGAGGGAACCGCCAGAAGGCCCTCAGCGCTGGACCTCAGCGTCCGGGCAGAACGATGGGGGTGGAGACCCTCCTTCAGGTATACTGGACCGAGGCCGTTTAGGGCTTTAAAGGTCAGTACCAACACTTTGAATTGTGCTCGGAAACGTACTGGGAGCCAATGTAGGTCTTTCAAGACCGGTGTTATATGGTCTCGGCGGCTGCCCCCAGTCACCAGTCTAGCTGCCGCATTCTGGATTAGTTGTAGTTTCCGAGTCACCTTCAAAGGTAGCCCCACGTAGAGTGCATTGCAGTAGTCCAAGCGGGAGATAACCAGAGCATGCACCACTCTGGCGAGACAGTCCGCAGGCAGATAGGGTCTCAGCCTACGTACCAGATGGAGCTGGTAAACAGCTGCCCTGGACACAGATTTGACCTGTGCCTCCATGGACAGCTGTGAGTCCAAAATGACTCCCAGGCTGCGCACCTGGTCCTTCAGGGGCACAGTTACCCCATTCAGGACCAGGGAATCCTCCACACCTGCCCGCCTCCTGTCCCCCAAAACAGTACTTCTGTCTTGTCAGGATTCAACCTCAATCTGTTAGCCGCCATCCATCCTCCAACTGCCTCCAGACACTCACACAGGACCTTCACTGCCTTCACTGGTTCTGATTTAAAAGAGAGGTAGAGCTGGGTATCATCCGCATACTGATGAACGCCCAGCCCAAACCTCCTGATGATCTCTCCCAGCGGCTGCATGTAAATGTTGAAAAGCATGGGGGAGAGGACAGAACCCTGAGGCACCCCACAAGTGAGAGCCCAGGGGTCTGAACACTCATCCCCCACCACCACTTTCTGAACACGGCCCAGGAGGAAAGAGCGGAACCACTGTATGACAGTGCCCCCAGCTCCCAGCCCCCCAAGACGGTCCAGAAGGATGCTATGGTCGATGGTATCAAATGCCGCTGAGAGATCCAGCAGAACTAGGAAACAGCTCTCACATTTGTCCCTAGCCCGCCGGAGATCATCAACCAGTGCGACCAAGGCAGTTTCAGTCCCATGATGAGGCCTGAATCCCGACTGGAAGGGATCCAAATGGTCCGCTTCTTCCAGGCGTGCCTGGAGTTGTTCAGCAACCACTCGCTCAATCACCTTGCCCAAGAATGGAAGATTTGAGACTGGGCGATAGTTGGCCATCGTGGCCGCATCTAAAGATGGTTTTTAAGAAGCGGTTTAATAACCGCCTCTTTCAGCGGGTCTGGGAAGGCTCCCTCACGGAGGGAAGCATTCACCACCCCACGAAGCCCATCGCCCAGTCCTTCCCGGCTAGCTTTTATAAGCCAGGATGGGCAAGGATCCAGGAGACAGGTGGTTGGTTTCACTCGTCCAAGCAGCCTGTCCACATCCTCGGAGGTAACAGATTGGAACTGATCCCACTCATCTTGACTAGACAAAACTCTAGCACTCTCCCGCGCCGGCCCTGCTCCCACGGTGGAGTCTACTTCTTCCCGAATCTGAGCGATTTTATCTGCAAAAAAAACTTTGCAAAATCATTGCAGGAGAACATGTGGCCCGTACTGGGCCCTGATGTTGCAGGTGGTTCCGCTAAATTGTGAACCACCTGAAAAAGTCTCCTGCTGCTGTTTTCTGCAGATGCAATAGAGGCGGTGAAGAAATTCTTCTTCGCCGTCGCTATCGCCACTTGGTAGGCTCGACGTTGAGCTCTAACCTGTGTCCGGTCAGATTCGGAATGAGTTATCCACCACCGGCACTCTAGCTGTCTCAACGATTGTTTCATTGCCCTCAGATTCGTGGAAAACCACGGGGCTGTCCGGGCTCCATGCAATCGGAGAGGGCGCTTCGGAGCCAAACAGTCAATAGCCCTGGTTAACTCCGCATTCCAGCGGGCCACCAGGGAATCAGCTGAAAGGCCATCAACATGGGATAAAGCATCCCTTACCACTCTCTGGAAACCATTTGGATCCATTAAGTGGCGGGGGCGGACCATCCGAATTGGTCCCACCTCCCTGCAGAGGGGATGGGTCGCAGAGAAGTCCAGTTGCACCAGGAAGTGATCTGACCATGGCACTTCTTTCGTTTCACTTTTACTTAGTGTCAGATCACCAGCATCCATAGAGGTAAACACCAGGTCCAAGGCATGTCCGCGGCTATGGGTTGGGCCAGACTTATTCAGGGACAGCCCCATGGAGGCCATGCTTTCCACGAAGTCCCGAGCGGCCCCTTGTAAGGTCGTGTTGGCATGGATGTTAAAATCCCCTAGGACAACCAAACTAGGTGTCTCCAGGAGAACATCCGCCATGACCTGAAGCAGCTCGGGCAGGGAATCCTTGGTGCAGCGGGGAGGTCGGTACACCAATAGGAATCCTGTACTGCCCCTATTGCCCAACTTCCATAACATGCACTCAGAGAACTGGGTCTTCCCAGTAGGACGCCTGGTGCAAACTAATGACTTCCTAAAAATCACTGCAACCCCCCCTCCCCGCCCACATGACCTGGGTTGCTGTGCGTAAGAGAAACCTGGTGGACAAGCAGCGGCAAGGACAGGCCCGTCTGCTTCATCCAACCTTGTCTCTGTCACACATGCCAGGTCAAGTCCTCCATCCATGATCAAGTCATGGATGGCAGTGGTCTTATGAATCATTGACCTGGCATTGCACAGCAGCACCTTCAGGTCATGTGGGTATCCCTTGCTGATTCTAGTATCCATCCGGTCAGGACCAGACCCGGAGGCAGAAATAGTCCTCAGACAACGACTAAACCTGCCTCCTCTGTAATGACATGGTCTAGTCTTAGCGTAACTCCTCCTCCTACCCGTGATCACTGAGATCGGTTGTCCCAGTGCATCCCCCCCTGTGGAACATGCCCCAGCCATTTTGTGGGCTGGGGCCCACTCCCCGGCAGCCCTGACCCCTCCCCTTAAGAACAAAATAACACCTTAAACAAACAAACAAACAAACAAACAAATAAAACCAATAAAACAATACAAACAAAAAACTGTAAATGGTTTCATGGAAAGTTTGAAAATGTGGTAAAATAGCAATGCATGCAAGTAAAAAGGATCTCAAATTCAGCTCACCACAATTTCCAATAGTCATTAAAGGGATTACTCAAAGTATGCATTTCTGAGGGTAACAACTTCTAGTCCATGGTACAGTCCTTGGTGCTGAACATGTCTACCTTCATCTACATTAGTGCTAGTGGTGGAAGCCACTTTCCCCTTTCCATTTTCTCCCATAGGAATCCCATATCAAGGTAATTCTAGTGTTGATGTAACAAGTGTGAATATACTGATCCCAATCCAGAAACTGCTTTTCCCTGCATTACTAGGTTTGGATATGTGAGAATTTGAATAAGAGAGTCTCAAATTCTGGTTTGCATCTGTTATCAGAACCTCATCTCAATGAATTAACAATTTCAGGTTTTGCAGTGCTGTTTATTCATTAAAATATTCTCCTCATAAATCTCATTTTAGCACTTAATGCTTCATGCATTTCCAAACAGTTTCAAATGATTAGAAAACTCATAATCTTGTTTTGCTTTGCTGGAACTATAATTTAATATAGATTGTAGCCTTTTGTATTAAATCTTGGTGTCTGATAGAAAGGCACTAAGGAGATGTGGCGTTGAAAGATTGCACAATTGCTTTATGTCAGACCAGTGAACTTGAAACAGGATCCAAATGTAACTAGGCAAATTCCAGCATGCTTTCCGTGTTAAATAGCTGCAGCTGTCATCCAATTACAGAACTCATAATCAGTTATACAACTAATATGATTATGATGATTAATCGTTAATTGGCATTAGTGACCAGGAAACTGAGCGATAGATCAGGAAAGGTCCTGGTTTGAATGTAGTTTCTGCCATGAACTGATGTGATGGCCTTAGGGCAAGCCACTCTCTCTCAGCCTTGCTCCTCGCCACTTGTAACGTAGGGGATAATAATATTGACTAACTTTACTAAGTTGTTGTAAGGACTCGATTACTGCAATATGTTGTATGTGGGCCTACCTTTAAAAACGGTCTGGAAACTACAGTAGGTCCAAAACAGGGCCACAAGATTAATAACTGGGGCTGGGTGTTTCAACCAAATTATGCTAGTGCTTTGTCTTCTGTGCTGGCTCCCATTCTGTCACTTAGTTTTAAAACTCTAGTCTTAATCTTTAAAGTGCTTAACACACAGGTGAGGAAACTTTGACCCTCCAGGTGTTGTTGGACTACAACTCCCATCATCCCCGGCCATGGAACTTGTGGGAGTTGGAGTCAAGCAACATCAGGAGGGTTAATGGTTCCCTACCTCTGTCTTAATGGCTTGAGACCAGGTTACATAAAAAAGATACTCTCCTTCCTTTCTAACTGAACTTTAAGGTCCCGTTTAGAGGACCTGCTCCTGGTGCCCCACCCAGGGAAATGAAGTGAATGTCTACTAGGGATAATTTTTGGTAGTGGGATCTTAGCTTTGGAATAGCCTCTCCAAAGAGGCTTACCTAGTACCTTTCTATGTTTTTTCTAGTGCCAGCTTCTTATTTCTTAAAAATTGGAAAAATAAAATAAAATATTTGCAGTTGAACCACTGAAGGGATCAACAAAGACTTTTGAGGTAAAAATGTTAGAGGCTGTGTCCAGCTCAACTGTTGATTTTTTCTGATAGTGGGTTTACAGCATCTAATTATGTCGACTTCCTGTTTCATGCTGGTTCCTTGGCGAATCAGTCCACAGAATCAATGCAGTGCTAGCTGTCTGGCTGCAGACTGGCATGATGGACATGTAATTTGATGGCTCTAAAATCTGTCTGGATGAGTCTCCTACTAAGCAAAAGACCGTGGGCACTTCATTTTGTGTATCAGTTTGCCCTGCAGTTCTCTGGAAGGTGACTTATGCTGCTATCAGTGAGAGTGAAGTGGAATTTCAATCGCTTCCTGTGTTGAAAGTTTACTTGAAAGTAGTTCCGTTGTATATCTATTTTTAAAAACTGATTACTCTGTGAAAGGCTCTGAAGCTGCACAAATCTTATAAATGTTGACATAGGATGTTTAAGCATGACTATTCAGCACTTCTTTGCAAGGGTCAGAGTAAAAACTGATAGCAGCAGGGCAGTTGTTGCTTACATGGATATCGTCCTGTTACAGGGACTCGGTGCAATCATTCATTGGCCTCAATGGGGTCTGACATGTTAGATCAGAGGTGGAAAACACATAACCTACATGCAGCATTTGGGATCTCTCGTGAGGCCAGAGAAGATTCTTTTAGTGCTCCCCCCCCCCAGCTCCGTACATTTGTTTGAACATAAGCTTTAATGACTTTAGAGAGAACAAAACAGCAAAGACACAGTTGCAGCAGTGGCTCAGGATAACAAGAAAAGAAGAAGCTCCAACTAATTGCTTTTCATTTACATTTTTGTAAGTTAGGTCTGTAACCTAACCCATCCCACTTAGGGTTGGTATCCGAAGCACTGCCATGCCACCTCTTCCCCTCAAAGGAGAATAAAATGTATGAGCTTGTAACAAGAGGACGTGGTTGCTACAGAATGTTTGGCCTAAGCCCTTTAGGGCTTTATGGGTTAGTACAAGAATCTTAAAATGCTGTTTTTAATATTCGGTTGGGAGCTGCCCAGAGTGGCTGGGGAAACCCAGCCAGATGGGTGGGGTATAAATAATACAACATCATCATCATCATCATCATCATCATCATCATCATCATCATTATTAAATGTGCCCATAGAAAAGAGAGTGAATAGAGACATCAGAGTACTGGTGCAGTCTGCTTTGGTGGTGGTCCATTTCTTTGGGGAGATGGGTTGCTGCCTTTTGTACCAGAAGAAGCATGTGAACAGTTGTTTCCAGAGTCACCCCATATAGAGTGCATTTCCTGCACAACCCCCCATGTGCATGTGCATGCAGTCACTTTTGGCTCTGAGCTTTGATACTCATCTGCTCCTGTGTAGAATCAGTACAGTGGTACTTCGGTTTTCGAACATCTCCACTGATGAACATTTTGGTTTTCAAATGCTGTAAACCCAGAAGTAAATGCTTCGGTTTTCAAATACGCCTTGGAAATAAAACATGCCATGCAGCTTCCACTGAGTGCAAGATCCTGAGGCCTAGCTGTCAGCCATTGAGTTTTCAGTTTTCGAACGTTTCAGAACTCAAACGGTCTTCTGGAATGGATTACGTTCGAAAACCGAGGTATCACTGTACTCAGAAATTACTGCAACCTTCTAGTGCAAAAACAAGCAAACACAACACCCACTAAAGGTCTGGGGACTAAGGGCGTCTCTGAAGTGAAATACTAGTCTTGTTTTACAGAACAGCTGAAACTAAGCCTGTTCTGTTTCTTGATGAGTGTGTGGCATTTGTTAGGGAAGCCTCCAGTGAACATTTGGGAGCAAAGCTCGCTGAATTGACTCTTGAAATGCTTCTTTGTCATGAGACCTAATATCCATATAATCTAATTTTTCTGCATAGACGAGTTTTATTTCCAAAGGCAGACCTAAACCTTTGGACCATGTTTACTGTACCAGTCTGTCTTTAAGCTACTGATGCAGTGAGAGTAAGCACATGACATTGTGAGGAAACATCACATGTTGGCACTATTTACAGCACCTAGAGAAGTATAAGGGTGCTTCTGAGTGTAACTGTTCTTACCTTGAGGTGCATGCTTCTCTTTATGTAGCATTAATTGTTCATTGTGTTTTTTAAGTACTTGAGAATGCAATATGTGGCTTCCATTTCTTCTCCCCGCAACAAAAGGTGTTTTTTTTATTTGTTTTTTTGTTAGATTCAGCCAGAAGTTGTTCTGATGGGAAAAACACAAAGGTGGGAGTTGGGAGGACTATGCTATGATAGTTAACTTGGCTGATTCTGGACAACCAATCTGCAGTTCTGGACTCCTCATTTCTATACAGCTATGGCTACACTGCCTTGTCTTAATATAATTTTCAACCTCTTTGCTTTCATTGATTCTACTAGGCCTGAGATGTGCACTTTGAGAGACTCCAAGGCTTCCTAGTAAGATGTGTTATTGCCCTCTTTTGTTATGTTATGTTATTGCCCTCTTTTGGGAAAAGTTGGTTTTAGCAAAGTGGGCTGCCAGAAAGGGGGGAGGAGAGTCCAACCACCAACGTTGAGAGTCCAACCAAACCAGCTCCCCCAGCCCCCCAGGCCTTCCCCATGAAGTTTTATAGCAGCCAGTCAGGCCTTCCCCATGAAGTTTTATAGCAGCCCTCCAGTTCCTCGTGCCTCAGAGAAGGTGTCTGGGTTGCTACTTGCTTCTTGCCCCATCCTTGATGAAAGCCTGGCTGGCCACAGCAGAAGAGCTGGCTGTGCTCAGCTTGAGATGGTGTCCGTTGCTGGATTTTCATCCCGTCTTGCTGCTGACCTCCTTCCCTAAAACCAACATTTTCCAAATGGGGAGAGAACAAATTTTACATCTTGCTAGTAAGGCTCAGGGTGTCTCAGAGTGCACATCACTTTGAGAGACCGAGAATCTTTCTAGTAAGATGTAAAATACATTTTCTTCCTCAGTTGGAACAAGTTGGTTTTAACTTGCAAACATCTTGTATCTTCCCTTCATCAACCCGTGACGAAAACTTCCCTGAGACAGAATATCTGAGTTACTTAAGAAAAGCAATATGCTTGTTAAAAGTTAATACAGTACAGTAATAGAGCAGGTCTCTAATGAGAATATGTATCTTCTAAGGGAGAAACATTCTGATTTTTCCATCATCAATTTTAATGTTAGACATTTTGAATAAACAGTGCTTGAAGAGAACAACTTGCTTGCACAAGGTGTCCCTAGGTACATTTTTAGTCTTCCTCACAAAATGTAAATAAGGAAGCAGGGTTGTTATTTTTATAGGGGATATTTGTATTTCCAGGAGTCTCGTGCCTTTAAATCTATTCATAAAATTAGTGTTTGTAGAAAATTAGGCATTCCCAGTATTTCTTCTTACTATGTGTGCATAGAGGAAATGGATGGTGTACTTTTTGTAACCTTTCTGCAGACTTGTCAATTGTAGGATCAATATGTCTCCAAACTGTTTTTCTGCTTAATTACATTACCATTCACATTTTTGGCTAGAATTTTCTAATTATAAGAAATTGTAAGTACATTATTTTAGGGCCAAGACTAGAACAGTAATTACATGCTTAATTCTAATGTTAGTTTGAAAATTGCTACGTGTAAAATGAGCTCCCTGCTGGAGCTTCGGCTAAATGTGCAAAGTGTATTAACTATTCTCTGCATGCTTAAAGCAACACTGTAGGATTCTAACCATCATAAATCTAATTAATTATAGAAACCTGTATCAGGAAGTGATGAGTAGACAATAAAGAACCTTATTTTGGACTCTCTAATTATCTGTGTGGTATGTAGCTTACTTTTACATTGGAATTTATATACTTCCTGCTTAAAATAGCTATATGCCCAGAAGGGGTAGATTTTGTATGTTGAATAAATTATGCAAATTTTCACTTTTTATTTGCATACTTCTGCCTTAGAAATGAAGTATGATGTGCAGGTCATTAAAGCACAAGTTACGGATCACAAGGGATGGATGAATCTGTCAGTTTTGGTTTCTCTCAGTTCCTCATTTTTCCAACCTTCAGTTTGCTCCATTTCCTCATCAATTTGCAACTTTTAAAAGTTGCACAAAATTCATATGTACATATCTCCTAATATATGAATTTTTGGATACAGTTTTGCCAAGCATACACATTTCTGTTAGCATCTCCTCTGATGTAGTGCAGTTTTTCCCATTGTTTTCACTGATAGGGAATTAAATGCATTTTTTATGGCTGGAGAACTGAATCACAAAATTCTAAGAAGTGCAAATTTTGAAGAATCCTCTGTGTTTTGGTTTGGGAAGGGTGAATTGATGATACTATGTAGGTATGAAAATGAAAACGGAATCAAGTTCTCTTCCATCTCAAATGGTCACTGGGAGATTTCCCAGTACTCCTGTGCTTCTAAGCCTCTTCGTATCCTTCCCCCAAAAAATGAAACCCGAGATTCAAAGAATGCTGAATCCTGTTCCCAGTGCTAAATTTCACATTTACCCTCTGCTTGCTTTTACTGTAGTTGTTGGGTTGGTGCTTAATTTTGTTTAAGGTATCAGAGTCGGTCTTGTGCTAATGGATAACAGCATAAGCCAGACTTTCTAGTGTATATGAATTATACTAGTTTTGTTGGTTTGCTCTTAGTTCTGAGAGTAAGATGAAATTATTCTAGGAACCCCAGTAGGGGTTTTTCCAAGTACAGCAGGTACTGGTTGGGCATGTGGAATTGTCTGATTATCTTACTGGTGCAAAGAAAGTCATAAGGGGTTAAAATGTGGTTTGCTGTCTTCTGCAAGACAAACGCTTACTGTGGAAGAATGCTTTTATCCAGCAAACAGGAAACAGGAAAGGAACAGCCTACTGCAGGTCAGAGGGGAGCAGGTTCAGAAAGCTGAACTGGGGGAAGTGGGGGCCCATTGAGAGGCTGCTGTGAAGGTATCGGCAGGACTGGAAGTACTTGGTTGACCTGTTGACTTCCTGCAAGACATATGGAGCCAAAACAGTAATGAAGGGGGGAAGGAAGTAGTACAACCACAGCACAGGGGAGGGAGAGAGCCGAGGACAATATCCGTTCAGTGTCTTCAAAATTGGATCTTGCATGGCTTGTCTAATTTTTAAATCTGTTATCTGATTGAACTACTTTGGCTACAAGAGGTTGTGGATGCTTTATGTTTAGTGAAACTGGAAACTGTAAAGCTGGAGTGGAAAGGTGATCCTATCTCCAGTTTCTTAAGTTCTGATAAAACTCACTTAATAGTAGGATTGAATTAAAAGGACTTGTCCCATCGCTAAGCAATTAATTTTTCAACAGCTATATCAGCGTTCAAAGTGATTGCCTGTTCAGGAAGTATTGGTTTTGCTCTCAATTCTTTATTTGCTTTTAGCAAGGTTATCACTTAGCCAAATCTGATTGGCTGCATAGTGACATGACACGATCCCTGATTGGCTGGGGTTGCCCGTGTGACTGATCCCAGAAGAGGATGTAGTAATAAGAAAATGGAGAATTGTACAGAAGCAAAAAGCAGATGGGAGAAATAATATTGGTGCACAGGTTTGTAAAAAGGGAAACTAACTTACAATTAACACTTCTTTCAGGAAGGACTTCTGTCCCCTGAAAGCACTGCTTTTAACCTGACAATGGAAATGAAACAGAAAAACATTTGACACAGCCCTGTGTTATAGTAGATTTAAATACAGAGGCTCTTGTTAAATGCTGGTAAACGCCAATATATGCTAAAGAACGGCTGTTTCTGGGCTACAGCTGTGGCCACAACATCCAACACACCATTAATTCTAGACAAATGTTTCTTAGTAGAATATGCATGATGATGCCTGGCATGTGCTGAGCGCTTCTTCCATATGCTGTTGCATCTGATGCCTTTGCAAGCAGGATTTTCCTTAAAAACATCTTTACAAATTAAATGCTGCCACAAACTTGTTGCTGCTGCTGTCATTATGGTGTCTGATGCCAGATCAGTTGTTGTTCTTTCTTTTCTTTTCCAGAAACTAAAGTAACAATCTTAAGTCAGACCCTCTGATTAATCAGGCCAAATTTGATATTGTTTCAAAGTGAGGAAATTCCATTAGAGTGTTGTTGGTGGTGGTGGTAGTAGTAGTAACAACTTTCAGGATAGAAATGTAGCATATGGACCTAAACAGTATAATGCATTATTAAACATACAGTAAGAGCAAGTTTAGTAAATAATAACTAGTAACTAGTAAGCAGGCACATTTGTAAAGCTTCATTCATGGGACGGTGTCTAACTAAAATGGCAGCTGTGAGTCACTTGGGAGAGTTGGGAACTTCTGCTTTCAGTGGTCTTCCACACATTGTGCCAGATCTACCCAAAATTGCAAGATAAGACTTGAGTAACCAGATGCTTCTAGTGTTTACTAGCAAGTCTATGTTCCCACCACCATGCTACCATTTTGGATGACTGTTGCTTAATCTCCTCTAAGTGAAACAGAAGTGGTTTTAATGGGTGCTTTTCAGGAGCAAGTGCTGGCCTGAAGTTTCTGTGTCCTTCCTGTGTATCACCTGACGGCTTGAAGGAGAGCAAATTGTGTTTACCTTGTTAACCGACTTTCAGGTGTAAAATTAAACGATGTGGGTTTTTGTTTTCTTTCAAGCGTACTATATTCCCAGTTAAGCCACAGCTCTCGTTCATTGCCAGGTGGATTCTGGATCTCAAGCCCTGAATGGTTCCCTTTGCAAATGTGTTCATGCCCTGCCTGCCAACCACAGGCACATAAAATAGTCATTCAGGGTTTTAGCTTTCCCTCAGGCTTGTGAACGTTGTAATTTTATGTCCTCGTTTATACTTGCAAATAGTCTTTAAATTTATGCTGCTTAAGCACCTGAGAGCAGCTGTTAAAAAGTTAGCTCGGCTAATTGTGTTGCTCAGTTATAACTTCAGTTTTCTGGAAAAACATTTTCCATCGGCAAAGTCCAGTGAGGCAAGAGATCACGTTTCCTATTCAGACTTTAAAGAAGCTGCCAGTTGGATATGTATGACTTTGCAAAGCTGTTGTGTTTGAGTATTTAAAATAAAGTTGTGGTGCTCCTGCGGCGTCTTGTTAGTTTATTACCTTGAGCCCACCTATGCAGTGCTCTTTCCTAATCCTAATGCAAGGCAGTATTAGCCTGAGATGCTGAATAATCTTTGTGTCTGTGGGTTCTTTGAGACATGTGATCCTTTGAGTATTTTAAACAGCCGTCCTCAAAAGTATCTACTCAGGAGAGTTCAAGCTAAAATCATGCTTACCTCCTTTTCATTTTAAAATGAGAGCTGTTCTAGCTATTCTAATGAAAAACTAATGGGGAGCATGTTCAGCACAGCCACAATAGTTGACTTGTCCTTGAGTGCACATTCTCACTTGAGCAAGATATGGAGGGGAGGGGGACCTGTCATTTTCCCTGTAATGACTCAAATGAGTGTCATTCTAAAGGAAGCTAAAAAGATGCTAAAAATAGGAGGGTGGCTATCCCATTCACTCCAGTATTGTATTCTCAGCCCAAGAAATGGATGGGCAGACATAGTGCACACAGCTGTCATGTTAGAGCACATTTTGATGTGGTGAGGGTTAGTGCATTGATCCAGTCAAGATGTGCACAAATGAGGCTGGTGAAGAGAGGCCTGAGTTCCAGTGGTTCATGAGCCCTTAGAAAAGGTTTCCTCCTCACTTAATTCCACGCTTGAACCAAGGGTCTTGACTCTGTTGTCACAAGCTTCAGTTCATCTGGAAAATCTGCCAGTGTACCTGTCTCAAGAATTCCAGTACAGCCCAATCTTAAAAATCTGGATTTGACTAGTTTTTGTAAGGAAAGAAATCAGTGGGGAGCTGCCTGATGCTGCAAATGGTTGGCTTTTGTACTATTTTTAAGTGATTGCTCTTGTCTCCTTGTTTTGTTAGCCACCTGGGGTGTCTCTTTATTTAAGGTGTAACACCAACATAGAAATGTTTAGAGCAGCATAAATTAAAGGTGAATAGTTGAGAATGAAGTACTCGTTTGTACTTTTGTTAAGAAATTGGGCTTGGCTTCGTTAACTTCTTCTAGCATGCTCAATAGATTAACTGAACACTGCTAACATAATCAACGCATACTACCAGGATCTGCCAAGATGAACAAGTTTGGAATAGGCTGACCTCAGGCTGGGCTTAGCTGGTGCTACACTGGTGTAACTCCCTTAATCTGGCACTGCAGTACATATTCCAGCAAAATTCCCTCAGCCTGACTGAGACAGGGCTATGCTGGCTCAGCCAGGGCTCAGCCAGTGGAACTTAAGCTAGCAGAGTTTACACTGGTGTAAGTCCCTCAAAAGGGGCTTTCCTGCGGTGTGGCAGGGATGGAGCAAGGAGAGACTTGCACCTATTCTAAACTTTTTTCAGCTCAGTTACGTAATGTGGCAACCTGGCAGAACCTATGCGGGCGAAAAGAGTGTTGTAAGTGAAACTTTATTTTAAGGGCCTGTTTCCTCTTTTCTTGGTTTGGGCCATCTCAGCCGGCAGCCAGGAGCCTCCTGAACAGAATTTGGAATAGGCTTAATTTATGCCAGCTTCCTATATTTAGGATTGCTTTGTAAGGTCGCTTATGGTTGCTCTTGTTTTGTAACATTCACAAACACCTTCTTGTTTGGAGGAAGTGAGTAGTGATCGGCATTTTTAAAAATTGCAGATTTAGAGAGTGGGAACTCTCTCTTGCAAAGCTGCACATCTGGAAAATAGTCGTAAACAGCATCAGTTTTTGTGTGTGTAATCCTTGAAAGAACATAGTAGGTGTTTTAAAAACAACCACCACCAAAAAAGTATTAGGTGAATAATGACAACGGGTGCAAATTTAGGAGTTACACAGTACAAGTTTGAGCCCTGCCCCCCCCTTATAAAAGAAGAATATACATTCCTAGCAGCCCATGTAGCACTAATCGGTTAAAAACACAGTGCAACTTAGTTGACCTTGTCTCACTTTTTAATACAGAAAAAGATAACGAAAGAGTTAACGGCTTTAAGAAAAAAACTGTCTCATATGATTAGAAGTGAGCTGAAGTCTGGTGTAACAGATTAGGCATGTTGGGGAGGGAAAGACCCCTTCTGCTGCACTGAAGATCAGTGATAGACACGGGGCAGTGGCAATGTCCCTTCAGCTGCTGCTGACTCCAGTTGTCTTCCTATCGTTGTTCCATTTTAAAAAGTGGGAACTCTCCTTAAATTTGCAAGGACCAGTCTTTGCATATTGCAGTTTTCTGTGTGTTTTAAACATTGCAAAGGGAAGCAAGCCTCATGTTTCTCTGGGGCATTTTAGTTTTATTTTTCGTTAGAAAAACTGCCTGGTGTAAAAAAAATAAAAACCTTGGCCATGAACCAAGACTTCCCTCTTTGAGCCCTTAATTTTATTGTAAAGATTTATTTTATATATGCAGTTTCAAACTATGAAAGCCATTTTTAAAAGTGTATATGCAGAAGGGAACAGTTGCATTGTGCTCTTTGAGGGACAAATTTTTGTGTTCAGGTATCAAGGCAGGAATTTAGAACTTGGTGAGAATTTACTTGTAAAGGAGTCAGCTGGCAAAATTCTGGTCCTGGCTGCAACATGAAGGGAATACATTGTGGACCCTACGTGCCAATCCATTCATTCCCCTTGCTTCTGATTCTGCCAGCCTCTTTCTCTCACCTCAGATGCCCTTGTCCCCCCCCCCTTTCACCACCTTCAGATTTGGGGATCACAAGGTGCTTTCTCTATAAAAACTTCCTCTTGTGAAATCTTTAACTGATCCAGGTTAACGGAAAATGGAACAGAAAGGTAACCAAAAAAACAACAATGAAGCACTGAGCAAGGGCTTGTGAATTCTAGCTTGGTAATAAACCTCCTGTGTAGCTTAAATCATTCTCACCTTTCCATTGCATATCTAAAAGTAGATAACATACTTTTCTGCAAGGGACTTGAGAGGTAAATCTAAGCTTCACAACTGCTGTGCAGTGTACTGCAACAAATGTATCATTGTTGGAAGAAGCATTCCAAAATGTGACTCAATAATCCGGCTTTCTGCTCCTTTTTCTACCCCCCATCTGGCTGTTTGTTTCACGTTTCAAGACAGATCTGTGTTTGTGATCCTGCAGGCGCAACCTTACAAAACTGTCCCTGATCTTCAGCCATATGCTAGCAGAACTGAAAGGCATTTTCCCAAGTGGACTCTTCCAGGGAGACACATTCCGGATCACAAAGGCAGATGCAGCAGAGTTCTGGAGAAAAGCTTTTGGGGAAAAGTAAGTACTCTTTCCAGTATAAGTTTCTGCTTTGGCTCCAGCAAATCTGTTGGCGAATGTGGAGCAGCTGCAAAAAACACCTTTCTGTTGGTGTTGGCATCTGTAAACAGCATAGGATGGAACTGCGAGGGGGAGCCCACACAGGAGGTTGCATGGGAGTGGCTATCAATCCTTGCCTTCAGGGATCTTTCTGCCAGAAACAGATGGAACGACCTGAACTTCTCCTAACTCCCACTGTGGCCACCATCCACTCACAGGGTCACTACCCGAGAGTTTGTTTCAGCCTTACTGTGTCATTGGCATGTTGGTCCTGGCTCTTATGCAGTGCTGCATTGATGTTAGGGTGACTTTTAATGGAACAGAAGACAATGATGAATAGTCGCAAAATAGGCCCATCACTCAAATGATCCAGGCATTGCATCACTTCCTACTAGTTCTGTGAGACACAGTACCACTGGATTAGTCTTTTTGTATCTGCTTTAGGCAGAATGGGAATTAACATGCCCCTTGGATACAGGGATGGAGACTGTCATAACTCTAGATGGTTGTCTGCAGAGATTAATTTAAGTGTCATTGGATGGGGGGGGAGGCGGGGCCACACATTCATTTCTAATAGATTGTCTGTTTATGAAATATGCATTGCCAGTCTCCTGAAAGGTACTTGGAAAGTGCTGGTTAGCAAGATGCTCACTCATAGATTGGCTTCCCTCTTTCCTCCCCGCAGTTAACTTGCCACTAACTTAACATCTGAAAGCCGCTAATTAAACTGGTTTACATGAGAGACCTTGTTTAGAGAGAGATTGTGTCGCATCTTTTTCTCTTGCAACTACACAAATATAAGTGCTTCAGTCGTCACTTCCATCAGTTAACTGAACAGATTCAAAATTAGAAATGATGCTGTCCATTTGTCCTTTAGCGTGAATCATTTCTCTTACGCAAAATGTCTTGTTCTTGGCATCCTGTTGTGTGCGTTTCACATTCCTCCCTTCCGCTGTGGCTGTGAATCTATATGCATATGGAGTTAGGGAGTTTCTGAGATCTTCTTTTTCTCCCACTTCCAGGACCATTGTTCCATGGAAGACCTTCCGTCAGGCCTTACATGAAGTGCATCCTATAAGTTCAGGGCTAGAGGCAATGGCACTGAAATCTACTATTGATTTGACATGCAATGATTACATTTCAGTGTTTGAATTTGATATCTTTACCCGCCTCTTTCAGGTAAGTAAAACAAAAGGGAATGGCTTTCTTAAACCCAGGTGAAGCTTCGCAATTGACAAGCTTCCCTTGGTCTATAGTATGCTTATGGTGTTGTTATCTCTTGTGTTAGTGGTGAGCTAGATCTGTTGACCTGCCGTCGCCATTTCTGACTTCTGGAAAAAGGAGGATCATTTTTGGCACAGGGGGACTGTTCATTGCAGCAACTTTGACAGGAAAGCTCCCTTGCATCAGCTGACTTTGTTCTGTGTCAGTACAGAAGGTTGGGATTCATTGAGAATTCAAATCATAGTTTAATCACTCACTTCATATTAAGCTTCATTAGCTTCCAGCTTCTGATTGGAATATTAAGCAGCCCATTCTGCAGGATGGTTGATCAGATAACTGAGAGCAGGATTGTAACATTCATCTTGCGGAATCCTACAAAATTGTGTGCCACAGTTTTAAATCCACTGGATGCTTACTTGGGAGTAAGTCCCATTGAACATAAGTTATACCCAGCCAGATGAGTGGTTAACAATAGCAATAACAATAGTTATTATTTAATAAACCTGGGTAATCTGGCTGCCTGAGAAATAGCAGAAGAGGCCTGGTCTGATTGAGCAAAGTGTTTATGTTTATCTTGGGTTGGAAGTGGGGTGTGTGTGTGGAATTGGACGACCGATTTTCCTATTGAAATGGCAAAGCTGTTTTGTTGGCATTCTTCTCCTTCAGCCATGGTCATCTTTGCTCAGGAACTGGAATAGCCTTGCAGTGACTCACCCTGGTTACATGGCATTCCTGACGTATGATGAGGTCAAAGCACGGCTTCAGAAGTTCATCCACAAACCCGGCAGGTGAGTTCTTGAAGGCAGCATCCCTTTCTGAAGCCTCTTGTTATCCTACTGTCTACTGCACACTGCACTCTTGTCAAAGGAAGTTTGACATGACTCAAGGCCGCTGGAAGGCACTGTGGCATTGCTGCCAGAGATCTAAGCTTAAGGCAAGACATAAAGGGTTTTAGCATTAACCCATTGGTCTCCCTAAACTTCAGCAGTAAAAATAATAGGGCTGCAGAGCAGGTTGTTTTAAAAGGTGTGGGGAAAGCTCTTCATTTTTGAGAAATAAGGACAGGGTTTAAGGTCTGTCACTGATGGCGTGGGTAGTTTTACAAATAACAGGTTGCGTGTGTGTGTGTGTGTGTGTGTGTGTGTGTGTGTGTGGAGTGCTCTCCACCTTGAGTAACAAATCCCAAAGCTCATTTAGGGCAGAGATGTACCGCCAAGTCATCACTTCTGTGTTGTGTAGTCCAAAGCAAAATCCAGCGCTTGCAAGTCTCTTCAAGTCTCTACTCCACCTCTCTTGTCGGCAAGCCAGGGGTGGGTGAAGGAGTTGTGCAGGAAGTGTCTAACCTCCTGGAAGTCCGGAAAAATATCCCGAGCCCACGTGGTAGCTTTGGACCTGGCCAAGGGACTAGAACACACTGGCTGCAAGTCTTGACGTGCTCTTCAGGCCTAAAATCCTGCAAATATATCTCTTCCTGGGAAAGAGATTATTGCTTTACATTGCCGAAGAGCTGCCTTCTAGGTATTTCCTTCAGAAATGGAAAGCTGCTATATAATGTAAAACTAATTTACTGCCTCTAGGAAGTCAGGAGCATCCTTGCAAGTAAAAAGGCTCAATTTCATGTTGAAAGAGGATTTGAATCCTTTCTGTCTGGCTGTAGGGTTCTGCCTTTGATCTGCAGGCGAAACTGTTTCAGCCGTTCCGTCTGAAAGAAAGAGCTCTGTCCAGCTAGCAAGTTTATCCTGCCCTCAAGTCTGTGTGTTCCTTTTATTTTCAGTTACATTTTCCGTCTGAGCTGCACGCGGCTTGGCCAGTGGGCCATTGGTTATGTCACTGCAGATGGAAATATTCTCCAGACAATCCCCCACAACAAACCCCTTTTTCAAGCACTGATCGATGGTTTCAGGGAAGGCTTGTAAGTAACTCATCAGTGTAGTTTGTCATGACTCCTGCCCGTTTCTGTTAGTGTGTCTGTAGGATGATGCCCTTCAGATGCAGGTTTTACCTCCTTGGCTCCTGCCCCTGGAAGGCAGATGGAAACAGCTGCATTCATTATGCTGGGACCTGGCAAAGGTGTAGTACTTTTGAAACGTCAAGCAGTGATAACTCCATTCTCTATGATTTTTTTAAGGCATTTTCCCATTCTGTTGACCATGTAACTGCACAACCTTTAGGCTTATACATTCACAGTTTTCACAAACACATGCTTAATTCTCAGATTTTGGAATGGGCTCTGAATTTGAGATTATTTTTGCAGTCCTAAAATGTTTGTCAGTTTCGCCTTTCAGCTTTTAGGCTCTTCAGTTGGATATTGTGCTCAGAGCACAAAGAGCACAACTGTGATGCAGTTGTGGCCTTGCCCAGTTGTTCGGCCAAGGTGTTGTGGCAAGAGTGACTAGGCGAGGAAGTTGAAGTTAAGAGCACATGTCATTTATCATCACCTTTGTTTTAGCACATATGGCAACCAGAAAACAAGCTTTTTAAAAAAGCATTCTTCATTTTATAGGTGCTTGCCTTTAAGACAATTATTCATCAAAATCACCCCCCGCTGCCTAAAGCATTATATTTCCCAACTGAGGGAGTTTCCTGAATAGTGCCACATTCATCTGGTTGTACTGTAGACTTTTTATTTCTATTGAACCAAACAATGTTCTGCTCTGTAGTTACTTATATCCTGATGGACGGAATCAGAATCCTGACCTGACCGGTTTGTGTGAGCCCACACCCCAGGATCACATTAAAGTTACGCAGGTGAGCAGAGACTGCCACAACTTTATTCCTTTCTTTCCTTACATGTTGGCCAGCAGCATTACAGTGTTCCTGTTGCAAACAAGCTTGGAAGACTTATTTTTGGCCTTGTAAACAAATTCAGAGCTCAGCTTTGGGAGGAAAGACCATTAAATCTCAATTGGATCCCAGGGCAGTCAGGAATATGGTTGAGAGTGGAGAGCTTGCAATGTTAATTTTTTTCTTCTTATCCAAGGGCACCACTCTGGAAACCTTTGTACTTAAGGGGTGGGGTAGTATAATCGGGCCAATTCCATTTTGGTGACATTTGACTGCCACCTCTTTGGAGGAGAAAATATGTGGCCATAGGTGAGGCCTTTTTTTGTTTTGTTTTAAAGAGCATGCCTTAAATTTTTCATTGCCAGCACTGGGATTTTGAAAGTCATCTAGGTGATGCTCTTGGTTATAGTAAAGAACACAAATGTTACCACCTCGTACATTTGGGTTATCTGGCAGTTATTACAAGGAGCGGCATTATTAAACCCTCTCACATGTTTTTTCCCCTCTTGCTCTTAGGAACAGTATGAATTGTACTGTGAGATGGGCTCCACCTTTCAACTCTGTAAAATTTGTGCAGAAAATGACAAGGATGTGAAGATAGAACCCTGTGGCCACCTCATGTGCACTTCCTGCCTCACTTCCTGGCAGGTAAGGAATTTGCTTCCTTTCAAAGCAGGCCTTGGCCCTCCGCAGCTTTCATGCCATGATGACCTGCCTATGCTTATGTTGTGTACTGATGAAGCAGATACTGGCAAGTCTACAAAAGGTGTCTCTGTGGGGGTTGGGAGTTGTCTTTAGGCCATGTGGTCTTCAATGCAAATAAGCAGTTATGCACAGGAAGAGCCTGGTGGCTGGATCAGGCCAATGGCCTATCTAGTTCACATTCCTGTTCTTACCGTGGCCAACTAAGGTACCTAGAAGAAACCTGAATGCCAGACCTGAGCACAACCACATCACTCTCCCAGTTTGCAATTCCCAGCAACTGGCATTCAGAGCTGTACTGGGTTGTAGCCAACCCAGTTAAGTTAATGGATTAAGTTAGGCCCATTAATTTTAAAGCATCTACTCTGAGGAGGACCAGCACTCCCAACAGTGGAAGTAGAACATGGCCATTGTGTTTAGTAACCACTGATAGCCTTATCTTCCATGAAGTTGTCTAATCCTCTTTGAAAACTATCCACATTGATGGCCGTCCCTGCCTCTCACAGGAATGAATTTTATCGTTCAACTTTGCACTGTACAAAGAGGTACTTTCTTTTGTCTCTCCCGATGTTCAGTTTCCTTCAATGTCTACAAGTTCTGTTCTAAAGAGAGAGAGAGAGAGTGAAACACTTTCCTTGACTCACTTTTTTATGACATTGACAAAGAATAGTTCTAGCAGAAATGCTGCAGTTGTGGGGCACCTTGATTTTCCTTTTCTTTCCTCTAGCTGTCATTAGTATGTTCTTACTGACAAGGTTTCTTCTTACCATGGGTACACCATTATCTGTAGGCTGCCTCGAGGCCTGTCAGAGAAAAAGGCAGGGTATAAATAAATATAACAACAACAACAAACTTACAGCTGATCATCTCTCCTTCTCTTTTTCTGCAGGAATCAGAAGGCCAGGGTTGTCCGTTCTGCCGATGTGAAATTAAAGGCACAGAGCCCATTGTCGTGGACCCGTTTGATCCCAGAGGAGGGGGAGGGCTCCTGCGGCAAGGGGCCGAGGGGGCTCCCTCCCCAAACTATGATGACGATGATGATGACAGGGCTGATGAATCACTCTTCCTGATGAAGGAACTGGCTGGCGCAAAGGTAATTTTATTTTATTTAGATCCTTCTTGTCTTCAGCTCAAGGTGGTATCGCATGTAGCTCCCATGAGGTCTCCTATCTAGGCATTGACTCACCCCAGACCTGCTTGCTTTCAGCAAGGTCGCAGCCGCCTCTGCCTTCAGATCATGCCCTGGGACCTGACTCCCTCCCAGTATGAGCTGTGTGTGCTGATCTTGCCTAACATCTCACTTGTCCTTTTGGGTGGCTTAAGACTTCCTGGATTCAAATGCAAGTCATAGATCCAGTGGTGGTGCTCTGGTGATGGTGTGATTTCCTTAATCCTCTGGAGCAGATTTTGGAGGGGCAGGGGGTTGCAAGGGGGAGAAGGAATCACCAAATTTGCTTCCTTCCTCACTTTGTAGAAAGAAACAACTGAGTGAGAAACTTTGGCTACAAACCACTTCCAGGAGATCTCTTTAACACACACACACACACACACACACACGTGGATCTGCAACAAAATGTTACGGTGTGGAGCTTTCCTGTTCAAGATGCCTGCGTGCCAGCCATGCCCATTCTACTACACAGCATTCCGTTCTGATTGTCCCCTTTCAGCAGTTACTTGGAGCATGCATTGCACCCAGCGTGTTTTGGTCCTCATGAGGCTGTTTTTTTCATACCATCATAGAATTGTGGAGTTGGAAGAGGCCTCACAAGTCGTCTAGTCCAACTGCCTGCAATGGAGAAATCATAGCTAAAGAATCCTTGCCAAATGGCCATCCAACCTCTGCTTAAAAACTTCCAATGAAACAAGAGCCCATTGCCTTCCGACGGAGACCATCCCACAGTTGAACAGCTCTTACTGTCGGAAAGTTTTCCCAGATGTTTGATTGGAATCTTCTTTCTTGTTATTTGCATCCATTGGTTTGGTCCTGGCCTCTGGAACAGCAGAAAACAAGCTTGCTCCATCCCTCATGTGACAGCCCTTCAGATATTTGAAGATAGCTTATCATATCACCTCTCCAGTTTAAATATACCCAGCTCCTTCAAGCGTTCCTTATAAGGCTTGGTTTGCAGACCCTTGATCATCTTGGTCACCCTCCTCTGCATACCTTTCCGTTTGTCAGTATCCTCCTTCAACTGTGGTGCCCAGAACTAGACGCAGTATACTCCCGGTGGTATCTGACTCAGGCACAATAGAGTGATATCAGTACTTCCTTTGATCTGGACACGATACTTCTGTTGCAGTACAGAACATTAGGGTTTTTTGGCTGCTGCATCACATGGTTGACTCACATTAAGTTTGGGGTTACTGAGACCCCTAGATCCTTTTCACAGGTACTGCTGCCGTCAGTTGTCCCCTATCCTGCATCTGGCTTTTCTGGCCTAAGTGTAGAGCCTTACATTTGTCGCTGTTGAAATTTGTTTTGTTAGTTTTGGCCCAGTTCTTCAATCTGTTAAGGTAATATTGAATCAATCTTCTGAGGTATTGGCTACCTCTCCCTCAATTCTTTCACCCAAGTCTTTTATAAAGGTGTTGAACAACAGAACCTTGCAGCACCCCACTTGCCCCAGTTTTCCAGAATGGCAAGGAACCATTAGTGAGCACTCTTTGGGTTTAGTCAGTCAACCTGCTACAAATCCACCTAACAGTAACATCATCTAGCCCGCATTTTACAAGCTTCTCTGCAAGAATATCATGGGGGACTTTGAAAGCCTTGTACATGAACTCAAGCTATGTACATCCACAGCATTTCCCTGATCCACCAAGCTTCTAACTCTCTCTGTCAGAAAAAAGAAAAAAAAGAAGATTAATAAGATACAGTGGTACCTCAGAACTCGAACATAATCCGTTCCAGAAGACTGTTCAACTTCTGAAACGTTCAAGTTCTAAGGCACTGCTTCCGATTGGCCGACAGCTAGGTTTTTGCACAGTGGAAGTCGCGTTGGATGTCCATGTTCCAAGGAACATTCTAAAACCAGAGCACTTCTGGGTTTTCGGCGTTTGGGAGCCAAAATGTTTGAGAACGGAGCCATTCGAGTTCTGAGGTACCACTGTAATAGGAATAGTTTGTCTTCTTCCTTTTAGCAGCCTTTTGCATTGCTCTGTTTTGTAATTCCACGGTTCTCCCAAGCCCAGTGATTCTCTCGCACATGGATCAAGCTGCTTTTGGCTGTAAATGGATCCATACCTGGAGAAGGTGCTTCTTAACCTTGGCCTACCTTAAAGCAATTTTATAATTGCATATAGACTTCTGGCATTTGGTTTGACTTGTATGTGAACCATGTTGTTCCTTGTTTTGAGCACATATTCATGGCAAGAGACCATTTACACAAGTATTTCCTATTTCTGTGTCAGCTGGGCCTGTGCTCATGATGACAGAGCACGCCATCTAGTGGCTAAATAAAAAAAAATAGCCAGGTTGAAAATCCAGTGCCTGTTGTTTGGTTATTTAATTTCTATACCACTTAATATATTGAAAGCCTCTCTAAGCAGTGTACAGGAAACCGAAGCAACCACAGATGAATAAAATATTACAAAAATGCACGGTTACAAATAAAAATGTTACGCTGATGCAATGTTACCAATATATAAGAATCTGCACAAATTCATTTTCCTTCTGATACACCTCCCACTCAGCTTCCAGGTTCTCACCCAGGGTCCAAGCAAACTCTCAGCTCACCCCCCCAAAAAAAAATCCCACAATGAGAAGAGTTCCTGGAAACAGTGGACATCACCCTTGCCTCTCATTCTACAGTAGATGTGCTTTTCATGGGCAGCCCAAGGTGGGCATGCAGTGTGGTGTGCAGACTTGTTGGTGACAAGTCTATATTCAGAGCATGTTCCTTTAGAAATGAAGTATCAGGGCTGTGGAGAAAATTTGGCGTATCTCTATATGCCCAGCACTGTGTTCAAGGTAAATTGCTAGCTCACAGCCTCAGGCAGTGGGAACTTTGTTATTAACACACACACACACACACACACACACCCCAACACCTTTAACCAGGGCTTCCTTTGAAATATTTGCAGGTAGAACGCCCTCCTTCTCCATTTTCAATGGCTCCTCAGGCATCGCTCCCCCCAGTACCTCCCCGATTAGACCTTCTGCAGCAACGAGTGTCCAATCCATCAGGAGCTTCTAGTCCAGGGACCACCTGTAAGGTACAATCTCCACCTGTCTTCTTTTGTAGTGGTGAAAGTAGGAATGACACCTTCCTCTTTCCGAATGGGGTAATCTTCCTTTTATCCGGGGAGATCTGTGTGGAAGCTGTCTCGTGTGTTTCATTATTTTGCTATCTGGACCATCTCTTCCTTGGGTGCAAACCAGGGTACGCATTGGCTTGCCATCTTGACTGGTGTTTGACACTCCTGGCCACCGTACTGATGGATATCGTGTTACTCAGCACAACCATTTAGTGGTGCTTGCCCTCAGGACATGCCTCAGTTTCTTGTTACCCTGCAGTTGCTACCGGGATCAAGTTTTTGTGGGACACCAGGATTCTGATTGCAAGCTTAGACTTCACTTGCCAGCTTTTCCCATCTTACTTACTGGTCTTTGTTTCTCCTAGGCTGCACCCGGCTCCCTCCACAAGGACAAACCTTTGCCGATCCCTCCGACGCATCGAGATCTCCCCCCTCCGCCACCTCCGGACAGGCCGCATTCCCTTGGGCCCGAGAGTCGGTCTCAGAGGCGGCCTCTGCCCTGCACTCCAGGAGATTGTCCTACCAGGGACAAGTTACCCCCTGTGCCTTGTAACCGCCAGGGGGACCTCTGGTCGTTGCGGCCGATTCCGAAAGCTCCAGCTGTAGCCCTAAGCCCCAACGAGCCTTGGGCGAGTCGGGAGTTGACGAACCGGCACTCGCTTCCATTCTCGCTGCCTTCTCAGATGGATTCCAGAGCTGACACTCACAGGCTCGGGAGCACTCTCAGCCTGGACACCCCGGCAGTAAGTGCATCTCAGGCCAGCGGCCGTGTTAGTTTTTCACACTCATACGCCCTGCGTGGAAAATTGCTGCTCTGTATTATTCAGACGCGGGTGGCGCTATGGTCTAAACCACAGAGCCTAGGGCTTGCCGACTGGAAGGTCAGCAGTTCAAATCCCTGCAATGGGGTGAGCTCCCATTGCTTGGTCCCTGCTCCTGCCCACCTAGCAGTTCAAAAGCACGTCAAAGTGCAAGTAGATAAATAGGTACTGCTCCAGTGGGAAGGTAAACGGCGTTTCCGTGCACTGCTCTGGTTCACCAGAAGTGGCTTTGTCATGCTGGCCACATGACCCGGAAGCTGTCTGCGGACAAACACCGGCTCCCTCGGCCTATAGAGTGAGATGAGCGCACAACCCCAGAGTCGTCCGCGACTGGACCTAATGGTCAGGGTTTCCTTTACCTTTCTTATTCATTAAGTGTTAGATCAAAGATTTTGGAGGAGGAAATCCAGCTCCTTCCGGCTGACCCTGACCTAGTGAGATCTCACAGAACAATGTTTGCCTGTGAGTTGGTTCATAAACTTAGCTGGAACTCCTCTGGAGGGTGTGGGGGGGTGAATCAGTATCAGTTTTATGCCTTCCCCAGCATGTGTGCAGCATAACCAGCAGAGATGTAGGCTGTAGACACTGACATCTCTGGCAGTTGCACTTGAGTTCTTGGAGTGGGCTAGGAAGCAGTGTGCAGAATACTTGTCCACTGAAACTACAGGTACACACACACCCAACAATGACTACTTGGAGCACTACGCAAGAATAATATTTTAGCCACTAAGCCAACTGTTTCTGGTTTGTCCAGAACATCCCTACTGGACTCAGGGAACTGTTTTTTATAATCTCACTGAACCAGCTTCCTAACACTGTATGCTTTACCCATAATAGCAAGCAGCCCATAATAGCAAGCAAGGAAAAAAAGCTTGGGTTTTTTTTTTACCCCTTGCCCTGCTTGCTTGGTCATATTTTTTTTCCAAGCAAGTTTCCAGACAGTAGCTGTTTCGAAATTGCAAAGCAAGTCTTTCTGACATACGGCCCTTTAGATTGGGTAACAAGCAACCCCTAGGAATTCCTTCTCACCGTGAAAAGGTAAACGTGGGCTGCGTGGGGATGTCTCCCTTTTCTTTCAGACCATCTGCCAGTGCTGGTATTTGATTTGTCTTGCAGAATCAACCTGGCGGGGTCCCAACTGGCTCAGACAGTGAACATTCTAAAATAAAACCTTCTTCTTCTGCCAACGCCATCTACTCTCTTGCTGTAAGGTATGCTCTGGAGCGGGGGCTTCGCCGACAGAAATTTCCTTGAATTGCAGCCAGTGTACAATTGATGTATACCAAGAGTCATCAGTGGGTGCATTTCTGAGATGGATTACTGTACAGTCATACCTCGTCTTGCGTCCGCTTCATGTTGTGTCTTTTCGCGTTACGTCCCGCAGCAACCCAGAAGTACTGGAACAGGTTACTTCCGGGTTTCGCCGCTCATGCATGTGCAGAAGCGCCAAATCAGACACAGCGCTTCAAGTTGCGGGCATTTCGCGTTACGGACGGGCTTCTGGAATGGATCCCGTCCGTAACACGAGGTACCACTGTATTGTATTTGAATGCAGACCTCCCGCCTTGTTAGTTTCAGCATGTGGATTCTCTTGCATTTGTCACTTATCGTGCTCCCTAGAGGGGTAGGGGGTGGAAATATAAAATAAATAAAATAAAGTGCAGGAACTATAGAGTAGATCAGATATTTTACATTAATCTGGCTGAATTGGAGGTTTTAAAGTTTTTTTAATGTTACTCTGTTTATGTTTTTGAGTTATTTCAGTCCGGAAAATCAGTCAAAATGTCCTGAGGACTCCCAGAGTTGTAAATTTATAAATCCGTCTGGAGAGTAGATAGAGCATCGCAACCCTAAAAGGGTGTAAGAAATCAGCTTATTGAAACTGACCCTCCTTCCGCGTTTACCCACGAGGCTCTGAGGCCTCTGCTACCTGACAGATGGCACACCTTGAACCGCCCTGTGTGACACACAACACAGCACAGTGTTGCATTCCTAGAATCTGATTTTTGAGCTGGAAGCCCCTTGTTTGACACTTTGTTCTCAGAGAGCCGATTGCTGCTATTTTGTCCTCGTTAGATGTCACTGTTGACTGTGAACCTTCTCGCTCTCTCCTCTAGACCGTTGCTTGTGCCAAAGCTACCGCCTGGAGAGCACTCGGAGAATGATGAAGACACAGAGTACATGTCACCCTCGTCCTTGCCTCTTGTGCCCCCTGGCTCTGCTGTACAAAAACCAGAGGCCAAATTGCCCTTGGAAATGAGTCAAAGCTCACGGTGAGGCGGCCCATTCAGGGCAGTATAAGGGCTCCTCCACAATGGCTGGATTATTTACTTGCTTGCCATTGGGTTTATTTATTTTCCCATTTCTAGATTCCAAAGGCTCTGAGTAAGTTGTGATACTTAAAAGCAACTACTGATAAATTACGGATTTATATCAATACTCCATTTGAGTCCCACCTTGAAAGTTTTGGCATAGCCTTTGAAAGACAGCCCATCACCCAAAAAATTCTTCGTTATGTCCCTTGATTTATGTAGTATTGCCACCTGCAGCTGACTTGCTTTGCATCTGGGTGTGGATTCCTTTTGAATGTGCCCAAACAGCTGCTGCAGTGTGAGATTCATAAAATATTTTGAGGCAGCTGTCAGCTCCTCCTCATAAGGATGCATCCTTCGTTTGCCTTGCTTAAAAATCTTGAGATGCTTTTGGGAAGTTATAAATACAAAAGGATATTAAAGATGTATTATGCTAAAAAAAAAGAAAAAGCTCTGACTTAGTTTTGTATGGCAAATGTTTGAAATTCAGTTTTGAATACGACCAAAACAGAGACTTGCCCTGCTAGGGTGATCTAGATCCTTTGGGATGGGGGGAACCTCTGGTCCTCCAGAAGGACAGGACTCCCAACTATCAAGAGTGATGGGAATTGTTATTCAGCAACAACTGGCAGTCCACAGGTTCTGAAGCTTATTCTGGTGTGGCAAATGCTTGCTCTCCTCACCTCATTTTGTCACTTACTTTTTTAAAGGGTGTGTTGCATTTGTATCTAATGTACAGTCGTACCTTGGATCCCGAACGCCTTGCGAGTTGAACGTTTTGGCTCCCAAACGCCGCAGACCTGGAAGTGAGTGTTCTGGTTTGCGAACGTTCTTCGGAACCCAAACGTCCGATGCAGCTTCCGATTGGCTGCAAGAGCTTCCTGTAGCCAATCGGAAGCCACGCCTTGGTTTCCAAATGTTTTGGAAGTTGAACGGACTTCCGGAACGGATTCCGTTGACTTCCGAGGTACCACTGTATTGATTTTCCATTTCCCAAAAACAACTCAACACGATACACAAAGTTTCTGTGTAGTAGTAGAAAAATACAGAATGGGGCCTTGGTGTAGAAATGTATTTGAAAATATGGTGGTGAGTGATGCTTCAAGGTTTGCGCAATGTGGGGGACAAATGGAGCACAGTTTTGCTAGGTGGCTGGCAGTATGTAGCCCAGATATGTTCTGGGTGCTGATGGCCCCGTCCTCCTGCAGGATCCAGCCGAGTTCCTGAAGCCAATGCCCTTTCTTTTTCTTCTTCTCTGCTCAGAATGTTGGACTGTGACCAGGAAATGGACGGGTGCACCTATGAAGCAATGTTCAACATCCACTCCCAGGCAGCTACTTCTGGCTCTGAGGCTACCAATATTCCTGGTAAGTTCCCAGAGGAGAAACATCATGATTCAACCAGGAGAAATACCACAGACGAGTCCTCTCACTTTCACAGATTGGATTTTTGTTTTACGTAAGGAAATCAGGGTGTCAGTAAAAGAGAGCCTAATATAAAATAAAAAAGGTGGATGGTGTTTCGCAGCCTGTGGCATTGGGACAAGTTTTGCTTCCCTTCTGTTCGTTGCACTTTCTGATGTTTGTACAACATCCTGTTTTGGGTTTTGGCTGTGGAGTGTCTCCCTTTGAAACGTTTCCACTCAGACGAGGTCTGCCGGAACTGGGGCTGGAGCCAAAGGTGTCTTCCTTGTTTTGTAGTTTCTTGCTTCTTCTTTTAAGATGGAGGGGAAGTAGCAGCTGCCAATGCCAGCAACGGCCCCGAGGAGTCAGAGAACGAGGAAGATGGTTATGACGTGCCCAGGCCAGCCCTCCCATTGACTCTGGCTCGCCGCACCCTCTCAGATATCTCCAATGCAACCTCTGCCTTCAGCCGGACCTCTCTGGATGGAGAAATCTTATCAGGTTCGTTGGTTTCATATAGTGTTTCTGTGCTGCTCAACAACAAAAGTTCTTTGGGTGTTTTAAAGCATCAATCAAATAATAAAGTATAAATTTGAGACCACAATACAAAAAGAAAGCATAAAGGTTTAGAATCAATACAGGCAACTTCCATTTACGCATGTTCAAGGCACACACACACACGCATCGCCATGAACCCGGAAGTGGCACAAAAAGGGGCAGAAATGGTGTCTAGCAGTCCCACAAACTTTTGCACCAACCTTTGAGGCCTGTGAGGCATTGGAGTTTGAGCAAGGAGGTTTGGAGGAAGCATGTGTGGTAGAATTTGGTGGATGTTTGGTGGTGGTTGTTTATTATTATTATTTATTTTATATTGATTGATTGAATTTATATACCGCCCTCTACCCTGAGGTCTCAGGGGGGTTTTTTCCAAGGGTTTTTCAAGGACTTACAGAGGCATTTGCAGGCTTTTTCAATAGTGTTCCCAGTACGTGTGACTTCACTTAAATGCATGGTGCCTTGGAACGTAACTCGCGCGTAAATGGGGAGCTTTCTATATAAGCAGTGGAAGATTTTTAACTACATTTTTTAAAATGCAAAAAACCTCCCCCCACTCAAGACTTAACGAGATTAATAATAATAATAATAATAATAATAATAATGTTTTATATTCATTTATACCCTGCCCATCTGGCTGGGTTTCCCCAGCCACAGATAGGCGCCAGGTAAGCCTTTGTGCAGAAAGCATTCCACCAGCAGGCTGGCATCAGGGCACCCTTTCCATTTTGCTGCATGGTAGGTCTTACAGGCCAGCCCTGTACTCCCCTCTTGCGCAATTCCATGGCTCGTGCACAGTGTCGGGCAGGAGCATCTGCTGTGGTTGACAAGCTGCTCTCCACCTGTTGCCAAGGGGATCTTTTGCACTAGATTTTGATGCTGCAAACCCACCGGTCCCACATCCCAACTTGTGAGAGAGCTGATCCGTAGCCCTTTGTGCTCTGGAGTGAGCTCCGAGAGAGACTTGCGCATGCTTTTCCTCTCTTTGTTTGTAAGAGAGGCTGGGAACTTGGCAGGCAATGCGGTTTTGAGGCGTTCCTTTTTCTTGCACTTTCTCAAGCACTTCTCAGAATGCCTGCAGCACGAAGGCTACTTCTGCTTAACATCAACACACCAGATATGACGCAACCTAAACCACAAAGTTTGCCATTTCTCAACCTCCCCGGGGTGATAAGAGAGGATTAATAGTTCATTTCAGCTGTTGAGGATAACTATTGCGTTGATGCAAGTAGCACCAAATTTAATTGAGTTTCGATTCCAGGTAAAATATGTGGCTGTTCCTCTAAGCAATTGACTAAAGTGGTGTATCTCGCCTTGGCTGATGAAGTTAGCGTTTTGCATGTTTTCACTCTTTAGGTTGTGTGTAAATAAAATAGTGCTTTATTGTGTATTAATGCTCCTGAACAAGGGAGACCAGGTTATAAATAAACGAATTGGCTAGCTGGGTGTTCAAGCTGCTGAATATCTGAAATCTGTGAATCTTTCTGCATACAAGGTTGCAATTATATTCAGGTTAACCATAGGATTTAATGGTGAAGAGTTAGGTCTTGTGAAAGAGAAGGATTTCGGCTGCAGATTCCCAGATGTTCAAAGAGCATGAAGCTGAGGCTGTGTGACCTTTAAGAAGTACCTGTCCTCCTGCCCCTGCCCCCCCGCTCCCCAAATCATATGCTTCTTTCTCTTCCAGGTTTGTCTGATGGCTCCCAGGTCCCAGAGCGGCCTCCGAAGCCCTTGCCCCGGAGGATAAACTCTGAACGCAAAGCAGGCAGCTGCCTGCAAGCTGGTGGAGCAGGGCCGGCCCCTGCTCCCTCCCCGCAGCTCTCCAGCGAGATTGAGAACCTCATGAGCCAAGGCTACTCATATCAGGACATCCAGAAAGCCCTCGTCATTGCCCATAACAATATCGACATGGCCAAAAATATTCTGCGGGAGTTTGTCTCTGTCTCCTCCCCCGCTCACCTAGCCACATAGCACACATCCCCTTGGCCCTGCCTGGGACACCCCTGCGCATCCAACCTGCCTGGGCAGTCTCCTGCCCAGCTTCTACCTAGAGGAGGCAACGGGCTCCGCGAGAGACTTCCTGCGAAGGCAGGCTTGCCTCGACAGAGAGTAATCGGTCATCAGGGTTTCATGCGATTCCAGGTTTCCAAGCAAACAGAACGAAACGGAGCAGATAGGTGCGTCCTCTCCAGTCTGTGTGTTTTTTGGAGTCCCTCCCCTCTTGGCCCCTCCCTCCCGCACGTCCTCGTTGGAGGGGGCGGTTGTGTCGCTTTGGAAAGACCTCTTGGTTCCTGTGCTGGTGGACAAGGGGGCGGGAGCGGAAGGGCGTTTGCCGGGGTGTCTTGTGTCGTGCTGTGAATTAAAAGGGGATGCCAGTCTGTCGAATGGCGTCTCCACCTTTCTTGTGGCGTGCCCTCCTGTGGTTCAGGGTACTGAATCGGGGCCTCTTTGCTGCTGTATGTTTTGGCTCAGGCTTTTTAGACCACCTGTTACCGGGTACAGATTCTCGACTAAGGAAGTGGTTTTGGTAGCTTCCTTCTGCTACAACACCCTCCCTCTCTCCCCCCACAACTCCCCCAAATGTTCTCCTTGTTCCCTTTCTACATCTCCAGTCATTTCTGGCGGCTCCTCGGTCCGAGTCAGGCTTCTCCTGTTGCCAGCATTAACCTGACGCACACTGGATTTTAAGGCATTGGAGATGCAAGACTTCTTGCCTGCGCTCGGGCTGGTGCGATGATTGGATGTAGCTGTGCGCCCCCCAGCTCCAAGCATTCTGTGCTGTCCTGCTTTTACGTAATCGAGGCTGTTGAGGACTGGAGCAGCTGCCCTTTAACACACCCAGAGCTGCTGCTTGGTCAACGTGGCATGTCATCTTTGTAGCATCTACAAGTCCCGTGGCCATGGATCCATTATTTCCTTTCACTTCCTGTGGATGAGAGTTAACTGTGCTGGATTACTTATGCATTGATGTGGGCAGCTGCATCCAGCATCTGTGGAAATCATTTTTGACCAGCTCAGCAGTCAAAATGCAACAACTCCCTGCAGGGCTTTTGTGAAAGGGGATGATTTCTCCCCCTGCCTCCTTCGCTCTGCTTGTTGCATTTTTCTTTTTAAAGTTCAGGTTCTTTTGACAGACAAGTCAAAAGAAACCGTTAACGGGAGGGGAGGAAAAGAAGAGTGTGGCTTCTGAATGTTGCCCTTGTTTGGGCAGGCTAATGGAGGTTTAGAAAGATGAATTTGGACCTTGATGGCCACCGTCTGGCTGATGGACAGCAGGCAACCTGAATTTAGAGGACGCCTTCCCTCTTCCATCCTCTTCCTCAAGCCTTCACTACAGTCTCCCAATTACAGCATTAGTCATGTGAAAATTTATATCTCAAAGCAAGTTGCATGTTTGGTTTCCCCTGCAGTTGCCCTGTTTAAATAGGCCTGGTTCCTCTGCCCCAGATAAGGATACTAAGACTTTCCCCCCAGAAGAGGGGGGGGGCATAGAAAGAGGCTGCTTATCTTGTGTTTCTCTCTAAATGGGCAGCCTTGCTTGTCCACGAGCGCTTGGATCCCTGGGGAATAACTGCAGAGGATGTCAGAGATGGCACCTGGTTGTGCAGGTACCGTGGATGCACCTAGCTGACACTTTGTTGTCAGCAGTGCTGTTTGAATGACACACTATGAAGATTTGAAGACTGGCAGGAGTTTGCTGTTGCCTGCAGTGGTCCAAAAGCAGAATTGTTGACCTGGCAGCTGTGGCCCTTCTCTTGCTGCCCAGAGAAAGAGTTGTCAGTTGCCAACACCTCACAGAGGCTTCAGAAGCCCCCTCCATACATGGGACGGGCAGTGGCAATGTCGGCCTGATCTTGCTGCTTTCATGTGAAACACTGTGAAGATGATTACCTAGGAGGTCTCGGCTAGAGTGCATTTTGAATAACTTGATAGCATTTAGGAGCAGGTGAGCAGAGGGTCTTTGCAACAACTGCAGAGTATAGAGTTGTGGCCAAGCAGTTTAGGAACCAAGGGGGCTGTGCAATTTCAGAGTGTGAAATGTTGGAGCAACCACTGGACGCTCCTCTTGGATATTTCTTCCCACATCCGGGCCACGAACTCCACATCAGTTTTGGAGACTAGTTTGGTGAGGACTAGCTCTTTGCAAAGCTGATTTCCTAGTCCGCTGGCGAAGCTGTTGGCATAGCACTGGAAACTTGGTTGCAGTCAGCCTTAATCTCCCCCTTTGTGCAAAGCGGCAGCACCAACTTGCCTTTGCAGATGGGCCTCTGCAGATGCTCTCCACGCCCTGAGCAGGGCCATCCTCGTTTTGGGACGCCTTCTGCCTGACAGGAACACTCCACATACTATAGCTGACTGGACTTTACTGCATGTCTCCTTTTTGTCCACTTCTTGTGTCTTACATTTACATGAGAACTTTTAAAGTGGCTCTTTCTCCTCGAACCACATGAATGTCTTTGTTTGCAAGCACAAGGGAGGCAGAGCGAAAAACGCTTCCCGGGGTGTGTTCCCTGCTGCTTTTAAAATTTTTACCTTATTATGTTTCCCCCGTGTCTCTTAATCTTTAAAAAAAGAAAAAAAGGTTGACTTATTTTACTTAAAGCCAAATGTATAGTGCCTTTTGATGGGGGAAATGCTCTATCTCCAATCTTGCATCTGAAGAAGAGACAGATTTAAAACTTGACCAGGGAAATCCATGGAGCTGCTCCTTGGAAGGAGAAAGCTGTCGCCCCAAAGCTAACATAGTGGTGTGTTTGTTTTTGTGTGTGTGTTGTTCAGCCTGAACAGGTTTTCTCTACCTTAGTCCTTTGTGTTGGGGAGTTGTTCGTATTGCTGGCTGCCCTAAGCTTGAAGGCAGTAAAAGCGCAACTCCAACGCAGGATTTTGACACAACCAGTGTGGGTCACCCAAAATATCCCAGTTTGTCGCCCCCCCGTCCCTTTTCTTTTTAAAAACAAATGAGGCTTAAGACTGGAAGCAAAATATAGCTGCACCTCCAGGCACATGTGCCAAGTTTCCTGTCAACTTCTGAACCTCTCTGTGTGGGGGGATGGAGCGCAATCTTCTGGGATCGTCTGTTGAGGCTCCAGTCAATTCCCCCACATAGTTTTGCAAGGAGTTTCCTGTGGATTTTGCCCTGAAGTATTAAATGTCCAGTGCCTGTTCAATTTGCAGCGTCCGTTTTGCAAATGCTGCCTCCCCCATCTTAGAGCTGCATATGCATTTGGGGTATGGGTGTGCGGCTTTACGAATGTCACTTCTAGTAGCCAATTTTGGAGCAGTGCAACTTGCCATCGGCGGCCCTGTTAGCTCACTGATGTACAACCGCTGCTCTCGTGACTAAAACTGCAAGGCGGGGGGTAGGGGGGCTAGGAAAGCTGAAATGCTTAATGGATAAATTACCTTTGAGTGGGAGAGAGAGGTTATTAGTAGCTTTATTTCTCCTGAAGGTTGAGAACCAATTTTAATATCAGTGTTAAAAAATAAATGAATTCAGATTTTCACTGACTATTTTAAAAGTTATAATAATGTCATTAATATAAAAAATATATTAGCAGTATTTAATCCTTTCAGACCTGTAAAGAATAAGAACAGAAGGTAAATATTCTTACAGAGTAGCTGAGCTTTAAGGTTCATTTGGTCTAAAGTCCTCATTTTGTTCTGCAAAATGCATTGTTAATGTTTTTAGAGGTTATACTAATGTTATTTATTTTTTATTTTTCATTCTTGTAAGCTGCCCACGAAAGAGCTTGTGGAGGATTTAGGGTATTTCATGTGTGTCAGTAAAATAAAAAAACAAAGTTTTATTTTTAAATAAATTTCTTTGTTGTAGCATATTGCTTCTGTTGTGTCATTTGCAACTCCAGTGAAATTGGGGCTCTTATCCCAGTAAGTTTTACGTGTACTCAAACTTCACAAAAGTGTAGACTCTGGCTGTCGCCCTGGAACTGATGCTCCTCGCTTAGGATCTCTGCTCACATTCCATCCAAGTCAGAGCTCTGCTTCTAGGTGTGGGTCGTATGTTGATTTGGTGTATTGCTCAAAAAATATCGTGCGGTTGGGAAACCTGTGATCCCCCCAGATGATGTTGGACAATGACTCCCATCCTCTTGGGAATCATAGAATTGTAGAGTTGGAAGGGACCCTGAGAGTAATCTAGTCTACCCCCTTGCAAGTTTAACAGCATATGAAATACTGCAGAAATAAGGACTAAACTCCAGCATTCTAGTGACCTTTGCCTTTTCTGTAAGCTGGCACCCTTAAGTCAATGAAAGATAAGGCTTTCATTGGGACAGTGTTTGTGGGCAGGGCCAAATGCCTTCTGCAATTTTTCCTATCTGAATTCTTGCCCCTATCAGCCTGAGAGGATTACAATTGCTTCCCTTGCCCACAGAACCTGGTTTCACCTACGACTGTGACAGAACTCCCACCCACCTATACAGAAATGCCAGGCAAACATTGCTTACATTGATAGAAGTGGAGAGGGTAAGATGGATGTTTAAAATGAACTAATGTTCAGCAAGAATTTTTAGACACAATACGTCATGTTACCTGCTAATCCATGCTGTGTGAAACAGGTTTTTTAAACTTTCAAGTGCTTTAGAGTGACTGATGTTTTCTCCTTGCCATGTATTCCATTCATTAGGAAAGAGCCAATGCTTGAAGACTTTAGCTTTTTATTTTTCATATACATATATATATATATAAACCCTGCAACTCAGACACTCTTAAATTTACACACATCAACAAAAATATATAACAAAAGCATTTTTTGTTTGTTTGCTAATTTTATAGCTTACACGGAAAGCGCAACACCCCCTTCTTCCCCCCGTTTTTGGTTGACGAGTTTGCACTTTTTAACCACTCGGAAAACAAAGTGTCTAAAGCAAAACCTTAACTGTTTTGCCCAGTTTGTGTTGAAAGCTGTTCACTTCGCTTTGAAGGGAATGGAAAACCGAACTCTGCAGGAAGTAATTTTGTATGGAAGCAGCTAGCTACAGTATTTCTGTCTGGTGTCCATTTAGAATTCTGGGGTGTGGACAGAGAAGCAGAAAGCTTTTCTTAGGCACTGGACCAGCGTGGTGAAATACGGCATCCTGTAATACTTCCTGGCATGTTTAAGGACGAAGAGAGTTGTCATCAGCACCTGCTTTGAAGGCTGCATGACAATCTCATTTTGGTACAGGCACCAGCTTCCTTCACATTCTCCGTGTGTCACCTGCTGCTGCTGCTATCAGAGCAGAGCAATTCAAGATGAATTTCAGTGCACTCGATCTGTTAGCACAAGAATGTACACTTCTCTCTTCCTTACCCCCTCATCTGCCCTACTCCGAAGGGTTGAGAAAACAGATTTGGGGGGGGGGGGGGGAGGACCACCAGGGAGGAAGCATAAATCCTTGTGCTAACAGAGCAGGTTCCTTGGTGCTACACTGAAATAAAACCCAAAATAATTGTAGAAAACTACCTCATGTGCTTAACACCCTATTTTAGTGCCTTGTTTCTCCTCCTGTGGCCTAAGGAGAGGCAGGACTTCCAAAGACTGGCAAGTGTGTCACCTGCAGCAAGGTAACCCAGAAGATCTGCAGAAAGGTTTTTTGGGGGGGGGGGGAGGCAGAAGGGACAATAACCTACGTTCTCGGGTAAAAACAAGTGTGACTATACAGTGTTTGTACAAAAAAGAGACTTTATTCCTATCATAACATCTGAAGTGCAGAGAGAACCACCTCTCTGTACAGTTATCCTTTATATTAAATTGGAAGTAAGCAGCACTGACTTCAATGAAACTGAGTCCCTAGTGAGTGTCCTTAAGACTTCTTACCTCCACTCCCACACCACCCTCTGCCGTTTTGAGGGCTAGGGCTCCTTCAGCACCTTGCTGCGAAGAACAGCAACAGTTCAAGGAACAGCTGAGGCAACTCTGGCTTTCCACAAGTATTCTACATGCCAGACGGAGCCAAACCCATCACACACTCGCCATTCTCCAATCCTGTCTATATGGTAAGATTTTTAAGTTTTCTTCTCCAATTTACCAAGTCTCTAAAAAAAAAAAAAATCTCCAACCAATTCAGCTCGGCAAGCGCTTCGCTGATATAAATTTTTCTTTTCTTTTCTTTTACAAACTGACTGAAGCCCCATACAATTATGGTAGACTATATGTTCCTCTACCTGCCCCCGCTCAACCCCCCCCCCTTAACATGGATCCTTTAAAGGGAGTCATTTTTAAACTAAGACTCCCCCTTTTTTTGGTCTGAAAACTGCTGATTTGCTTCAGCTGCTTTGTCCTTCAAAAACCTGAGGGTGAGGTTGCAAAGTATTAATTGCTGTGGAGCCATCTTGTGCCTTATTTGCTGCTGCTGTGCGCCTGAAAGACTATGACCGGGGGAGCATGAGGGGTGGAGGCATCGAGAAGGAACAGGAGAAATCTTCAAAGGGGCGCAGCTGTCTCTCCTTTCTCAGTTCCTCAAATCGATGTATTTCTCTCCCTTTTTAAAGCAGCAAAAGAAAAAAACAGAGTTACATTGCGATTGTGGCCCAGTAAAATACAAGCACACCCACTTCTGTTGCCCTGCGGTGTGAGGTAAGATGATGGCAGCCGTTCTGAATGAGATTGCGTGACTGGCTTGGAGGCACAGTAAAAAATAAAAAAGCACATGCAGGACCATTTTTCTGTATTGGAATAGAGAAGCTCCTCTGGCTAGACTGCAGGAGAGAGGCAGGAAAAGCCCTCCCATAGGTGGCTGCTTATAGAAAAGCTGAAGGGAAGAGAGAATGGGGCTGCATGCACACTGTCCACATGGAGCACGAAAGCTGCTTGATGGGAAGCTGGCAGGAGGGGCACCTGCCAAACGCAGGGAGCAGCAGGGGCTGAAGTTGCTGGATCAGGGAGACCTAAGGGGACGGGCAGAGGGGCATCTGCTGACACTAAGAAACCCACTTTTGGCCCATGCTAAAAGGTATGGAGGGAAAGCAAGAGCTGTACCCCTTATGCAGAGACACAGGCTCTTCCTGCTTGGACGTCTCAGCAGTGGAAAATGCTAAGCTTCCCCCGTTCAGTTCACTATCACACTTTAAGAAGCAGTGGTGGGCTTCCTAACGTAACCACAGCACATTCAGGAGTGGGAGTGGGGGGCAGAAGTGCATAGCAGCTGGGCCAATCTACACCATGGGTTACAAACCTCCCCCCCCCCCGAACATCATTTTTTTCTTTAAAATGAATGGATAGCACGGGCCAACAGCCATTTGTGCAACCCAAGAAGGTGGATTTGGGGAAGGATGACACATTGCATCAAAAACAACGCATACACCATATCTGGGTCCTCTGAAGCATTGCTTCTGCGAGCCGCCGCTGCTAGTCATGGCGAACTGGCCTACCTGGTCACCTGCCGATCTCTTCTCGCCGTTGGCGCCCTGCAGGAGCCCCGCCTCTTCAGGAAGTTTATCTGACTTAACTTCAACTACAATCTCGTCTTTATGCGCTTCGGGCTTTGTGCTAGGGAGGAGGGAGGGTAACAGTGTTGAGACGCATCCCTGCGGAGTGGGTGGGCTGCAGGCTGGGACAGAACAGCAGTTCCCGGGGGGCTTATCATTCAGCTCCTCTGGGTCCAGCAGAGGCTTGAGCTAGGCAAGTGCTTCAATGGAGTGGAAGGGAACCCCATCACAGACCTTGTCCCTGCTGGAGTCTCTGGCCAGCTTCGGAGGCGCTTATAAAGCTTGCAAAGGATGCGGGTGGCGCTGTGGGTTAAAGCACAGAGCCTAGGACTTGCCAATCAGAAGGTCAGCGGTTCGAATCCCCGCAACGGGGTGAGCTCCCGTTGCTTGGTCCCTGCTCCTGCCAACCTAGCAGTTCGAAACCACGTCAAAGTGCAAGTAGATAAATAGGTACCACTCCAGCGGGAAGGTAAATGGCGTTTCCGTGCGCTGCTCTGGTTTGCCAGAAGCGGCTTAGTCATGCTGGCTACATGACCTGGAAGCTGTATGCCGGCTCCCTCGCCCAATAAAGCGAGATGAGCGCTGCAACCCCAGAGTCAGCCACAACTGGACCTAATGGTCAGGGGTCCCTTTACCTCTATAAAGCTTGCAAAGCACTATTTGACCAGTGACTTGGGTGGGACAGAAGTCAGAAAGGCGTAATCTCATGGCCAAGGGCAAATGTCTTCTGCCTGCAGCCATCACCGATCAAGCTTTGTGTATCAGAGGAGGTGCTCCGCCCCTAAGGCTGCTGAGTTGGAAATGACGTTGCAAAGGGCCTAGTGGGCAACAGCAGTTCAAGGTCCACCCCACTTCCTCCCTCCCATGGGATCAGAAGAAGCGCGCTGCTTGGTGCAAGGAGACTGGGAGGGGGCAGGAAGGGAAGAAGCGTGGTCTCTGGTAGATGGATGAGAGGGAAGGAGGGAGGCACCCAAAAGGCTGCAAGGAAAGGTGTGTGTGCTTACATCTCTTGTTTGCCTGAGCGGCCACAGGTGAGCTTCCCTTTCTTGTGCAGGAAGTAAAGGACGGCGCCCAGGACAGCAATCGCCAGGATGCAGATGACAACGGCCACAATGATCACACCTTTGCTCTCCTGTGCTGTCTGCTCTGCTTGGGGAGGGGGGTGGGGGGTGGAGGAGGAAAGAAAATCCAAACAGAATCACCCTTCTTGCAGCCACAAAGCAGCTCTCAATATTTCCCTGGCTTCCTCCCAAAGTGTAGCTTGAATCAGGACTGAGCCCTGCAGGTTGAAATAGAGATGGGCTTCTCTGAGCATGGGCAGAGGGCCACGAAGGCACAATTCGTGCAGGCATCACTTCACTGTTCTGTGAAGAAGATTACGGCACTGCTGCTATTTCCGCTCGCCGCTTTGGAAGAACTGCCATTGGGAGGAAGAGAGAGAAAAGGCATGTCTGGGCAGATCTAAAGCAAAGACCTGCTCAAATGCAAAGGCCACCCAAGCAGTTGCTGGAGGGTTCTGGCAGCAGATGTTTTGGGACTACAATTCCCATCGTCCCTGATCACTGGTCAGGCTGGCTGCTGGGAATCTGTTGGGAGTCCAAAACGGTTGAAGGGCACCAAATTGGGGAAGTCTCCAATACATCTCAGAAGGAGATGGAGGGAGTGGAAGGCTCTTGGATCTTATGGCAAGACTGCCACTCCTTCCTTGCAAAGCTATGCCCCATAATGCTTCATGGCGAGGCTCCGTATGTTGCTGTTTCTGGAAACACAGAGGGACAGCACAACATGGAACTCAAATTCCGCTCGTTTCTTTTTTTAAAGGAAAAAAAGCAGTTTCCTAGTCTTCTTGGCAATGGCAATGGAGTTTAGCCAACACCTGCTCCAACCTCAGGAACTGACTCAGATTCCCAGAGGAGCAGGAGGGCAGCTGACTTACAGCTCCTGAAGACTAGCAAAGAAAGAAACAAATAAGACCATCATGCACACTGACACAGCTTCTCTCCCACCCCACCCCCCGGTAGCACAAAACTTTTGGTTGTGTTTTTCCAAAGCGCGCACAGCCAAATTTTTGGTTGTGTTTTTCAAAGCGCGCACAGCCCTGGCTACGGTCTCTGAGTTTGGAGTCAAGAGGACCAGCCAGCAAAATGCTAACAGGCGGCAAGATCAAGCATTGGTCCGATTGGCTGAGGAAGCCCCTCAGGATGAGGCCCCCCTAACCAATGGGAGAGGCGGCTAGAACGGAAGTAGAAAGGATACCTTCCTCAGCCCTTCCAGGAGTTTGGGAAGTTGATGTCTGGTTGTACCCAAACTCGGAAGTTTCGTTCCCTGGCAAGGTGGTGTTGGAAAAGTCATCTGGGCAGCGGCGGGTGGAGAATGCAGGCAAATGTTAACATTTAGTGCTAAGGATGCTGGGAAGCTCTTGGCTTCCAAAGGAGAGGATGGCTCACATGCCCCCTACCCATCGCCCCCTGGCTGGAGCGGCAGATGTTAAAATGAGTACATACAAATGTTCTGTGCCAAGACCCATTTTCAGTGAACAAAAAAAAAAGGTATTCAGTTCCCCAGTAAGCAGATTACTTCCCCCACCCCCACCCCAAAGTTAACAGTACGACAAGCTGATTAATCAAGTTTTAAATCTAGGAATCACCAAACCGATCTACTGACTAAAGTTATTGTACTGACTTACTCAAACACCCCCACCTTAGATTACAGGGTAGGTTACGACATCAGAAAACATAACAATGGGCAATCAGTAGAAACAAAAACCGCTAAAACATCTAAAATCTGTATCAACAATCTCCACCACAATAGGCAATGAATTCGCACATTGAGCAATGCCTAGATTTCAAAAGAAAATTTATATACATATTTACATATTAAATTACACATAATTTATTATGCTTTCACTATATAGAGCAAGAGTATAGCCTAAAAGAAACAAAAACGAGATATACTACCTGGATCCATGGGAGGTCCATTTGATAAAGGACACAAATGTCAGTTTTGCAGGGTTATGCCAAACATTTCCCCTCTACAGCATCCCACTTCTGTAGTGACTCGTCAGCTACAACCCACCCCTGCGAAAGCAGGACAGGGCTAGATTCCCCAAGAAGAGAACGTCAGCCAGAAACCATCACTGCCACCATGCCCTGCCCCACAGCACACCACACCCCCTTCTTGAATCCCCAAAGCATCCCCTGACGTTCTCTCCAAGTTCAGTTTCAGCACAGGCCGAGCCCTGCAAATTGGAAGGAAAAGTTTGGCTCTGAGCACGTGCAGAGAGCTATGCAAGCAACTTCCACACCAGCCTGAGTTCTGGCTTATCTCATTTTGGAGGAGAGAGAGAGAGAGAAATTTAAGCACAGCTGCCCAGCTAAACTGCTCCCAGGGTCCTCCCCTAATATTTCCTTTCCCTACAGGCTGCTGTGGAAGAACTGCAACTGTTTTTGAGAGAAAGAGAGACACGGAGAGGGGATTTTCCTCAGGGGCCCAACGGAGGCCTGCTTAAATGCAAAAGCAACTCGAGCAGCAGCTGAACAGGTGGTAACGGAAACGACTTTCAGATGCAGAATAAGAAATAACACAATATCACAGAAGGTGCTGGAAGGGACGGTGGCTCCTGGTTGCTGTAGCAAAGCTGATTTTTTCCACCCCGTCCCATCTCCCAACAGAGCTACCCCATAATGTGTGACATTGAGGATTGGAATGATGTGCTACACGCAGGGCTGGGGATCATCTGAGATTTCCTGGAAGCGCAGAAAAGCTGCAGGGCACAAAAATCCAATTTGGCTCCTGTTGCTTTAGGAAAGCAGCTCCCTAGCCCTTCAAGACTGTAGGCATTTTGTGAGAGAGCATCTGGTTGCTGAAACCTCAGGAGCTGAATGACATTGCCGGGGGTGAGGGTGGAGGGGCAGAATCAAGCACATTCACAGACCAACGTTGTTCTTCCTGCAAAAAACCCACATTCCACTTTTTGCTGCTGCTTTTCAAAGTGTTCACGTAGCTCTGACATATCCCTGTGAGTTTGACCAGTCTGCATAAATGCTAACAGGCAGCGAGAGCATGCGTCTGTCCAATTGGTGGATGGGGACCACCCCTAGGGGTTGCCCCACACCAATGGGAGAAGCTGCCTCAGCAGAAGGAAAAAAGATACCTTTCAGCAGGTGACTTCACGACATACCTTCTGCTGTCTGATTGTACCCAAACTCTGAGGTTTCATTCCCTGGCATGGTGGGGGTGGGAAAGTCCTCTGGAGAGCAGCGTAAGGGGAAGGGAGGAAGTGTTAATGTCTAGCGCAAAGGATTGTGGGACTCCTGTCATTTGCCAGATCATGTTAGGCTTCTCACCCGGAGGACAATTTCTTGCCCTACCCCCTACAGCAGGCATGAAAGAGTCTATAGGCAATAGCACACAAACGGTTCTAGCCAGGGCTCTGCTTTTAGTATGAACCTCTCGCAGGATGTTGGAATGGAGGGTTAATAAACCCAAGAGGCTGGTGGCAGCATCTCAATTACGCCAGCAACGTTTTACCAATAAAGCAATTAAAAGCCATTCTAATTGGAAAACAATTCCTCAGCTCAGTTGAAAAATCAATCAAATAGCACCAAAGTTAATGAAGCTTTCAGTCTAGGAATTGTGAGTTTTTAGCAAACGAGCAATTCATAAGCGCTAGAGACAAATACTAAAGGCCAAAAATGCATTTAAACTGTTATAAAGTACGGTAGTCGGACAGACATAAACGACAACAGTTTTGCAGGTAATGCCAAACATACCTCATCTATGGCAATCCATTCCCAGAGTGGTAAGCCAGACACAACAGCCACACACCTTGCCTCCTGCTTTTAAATGAAATGTGTGGAGCGCATGGGAACTGGCTGGGCTCTCCAAGCCCCAAGGACAAAAACAGCAAGCAGAACGCATATGTACATACACCGCCCCCCAGTCTCAATATATAGTCACCTTTCTCATATCCAGAAAACAGCTCTCAATATTTTCCTGGCTTCCTCCCAAAGCTTAGCTTGACCCGGGGCTGAGCCCTGCAGGTTGAAATAAAGATGGGCCTCTGAGCATGGGCAGAGCGTCATGAATTGCCACACAGGCCTTAATTCTGGTATTCTGTGTATTTTGTAAAGAAAATTACCCTGCCATCATTGCATTGCTGCCTGTTTCTGCTTGCCCACAGAGACCAATTCAGAAGAAGAACTGCTGCTGCCATTGGGAGGAAGAGAGAGAGAGAGAGAGAGAGAGAGAGAGAGAGAGAGAGAGAGAAGACCTTTCTAAACAGGACTGGCAAGGACCTTCTCGAAGGGAACCCAAGCAGCAAGAGCTTTCAGGGGCATCAGGGAAACAGTGCAGTATCAGAGAAGATGCTGGAGAGAGGATGGGGAGAGGCTCCTGGACTTTGTCAAAACGTGTTCTCTCTCTCCCTGGCCTACAGAAAGGCTACCGCATAAAACAATTCACTGGATATGCTCCTATCAGGACAAGGTGTTGCCTTCAATATCATGGAAGCACAGAAAAGCAACAGAACATGGAAATCAGATTCAGCTCCTGTTTCTACCAAAAAGCAAGTTCTTAGCCCTCAAGACTGTGGGCATTCTGTGTCAGCAACTGGCCAAGGCCTGCTGGAACCTCAGGAGCTGAATGGGATGGCCAGGAATGCAGCCTCAAAAGGAATTATCATGCACATTCACAGGGCATTTTCTTCTCCCTGCAAAAAACCACATCCCACTTTTTGTTGCTCACATTTCAAAGAGCTCACATAGCTCTGACATTTGCCTTTGGGTTTGGCCAGTCTGCATAAATGCTAACAGGCAGAAAGAGCATGCGTCTGTCCAATTGGTGGATGGGGACTGCCCCTAGGGGTTGCCCCACACCAATGGGAGAAGCTGCTTCAGCAGCAGAAGAAAAATATACCTTTCAGCAGGTGACTTCCCAACATACCTTCTGCTGTCTGGTTGTACCCAAACCCTGAGGTTTCATTCCCTGGCATGGTGGGGGTGAGAAAGTCCTCTGGAGAGCAGCGTAAGGGGAAGGGAGGAAGTGTTAATGTCCAGCGCAGAGGATTGTGGGACTCCTGTCACTTGGCGACCATTGATGGGCTTCTCACCAGGAGGATAATGGATTGCCTGCCTGCTATGGCAGGCATGAAAAAGTCTATGTGCAGAGGTATACAAATCTTCCTAGCCAAGGCTCTGCTTTTGGGATGAACCTAAATGCAGGCATTGGAATGGAAGGTTAATAAACCCAAGAGGCTGGTGGCAGCATCTCAATTAAGATGTTTTAATATGGCAATTAAAAGCCATTCTAATTTAAAAGCCATTCCTCAGCATATTTGGAAAAATCAATTAAACAGCGCCGAAACTTGGTTAATGAAGTATTCAGTCTAGGAATTGTGAGATTTTAGCAGATCAACAACTCGTAAGCACTTGAGACCAACACTTAAGGCTAAAATGCATTTAAAATGATACAAAATACAGGAATCCAACAGACAAGAACAGCAAGTCTTTCAGGGCCATGCCAAACATACCTCATCTACTGCAGTGGTAAGCCAGATACTACAGCCACACACCTTGCCTCCTGCTTTTAAACAAAAGAGCAGGCTGGGCTCTCCAAGTCTGAAGACGAGAACAGCAAACAGGACGCACACAAACACCCACACCCACCCCTCCCACTTGGAATATATAATAGCCTTTCTAGTATCCAGAAAACAGCTCTCAATATTTCGCAGGCTTCCTCCCAAAGCTTGAACCAGGGCTCAGCCCTGCAGGCTGAAATAAAGATGGGCCTCTGAGCATGGGCAGAGCGCCATGAAGGCAATTTCCACACAGGCCTTAATTCTGGTATGTTTGAGGTGTGCGTTTTGTAAAGAAAATTACGCCACCATGATAGCATTGCTGACCGGTTTCTGCTTGCCCACAGAGACCACTTCAGAAGAACTGCTGCTGCCATTGGGAGGAAGACAGAGAAAGAGAAGGCCTTTCTGAACAGGACTAGCAAGGACCTTCTCAAAGCGAAAAGGCACCCAAGCAGCTGCTGGAGGGATTGGGTAGCAAAAATTTTCAGAGGCATCACAGAAAAGGTGTCATAGAAGATGCTGCAGGGAGGATGGGGAGAGGCTCCCAGACTTTGTCAAAGTGCTCTCTCCCTGCCTTCAGAAATTGTTAACCCAAAAAACACAAGTCACTGGATATGGGGGCACTAAACATGCTGCTATCAGGACTAAGTGTCACCTGCTATTTCCTGGAAGCACAGAAAAGCCAGAGAACATGCAAAACAAATCCAAGTCCTGTTCTTTTTTCTTTCTTTTTTTAAACAGGTGCCTAGGCCTCTTGCCCTTGATGCAAGAGAATGTGTGGCAAATACCTACTGAAATTTCAGGAAATTAATCAGATTGCCAGAGGGGCAGGGGAGGGAGGGAGGTAGAACTGTGCACATTTCTAGCTTTTCTTTATCCTGGCACAAAATTGTGCTTGCTTTTTAAAGCACATACCTGTACATGATCTGAACTCAGAAGACCAGCCTAACAGGCAACAGCATGCATTGATCCGATTGGTTGGGGAGGATTCTCAGAGTGCCACTCTGCAACCAATGGGAGAGGCTGCCCTAGCTGAATTATAAACAGATACCTTTTTGTGTGTCATTCCCAGCGGTACCTTGCTGCATTGCTGCAGGAGTTTGGGGAGTGGGTGTCTGGTTGTACCCAAACTCTGAAGTTTCATTTTCTGGCAAGGTGGGGGTAGAAAAACCATCTGGAGAGCAGCGGGCGGAGAATGTAGGTAATGTTAACAATTTAGCACGAAGGGATTGTGAGAAGCTCTTGGCTTCCAAAGGAGATGATGGCTTAAATGACCCATTGGAGGCTCACTCATTAAATTAGATCAGCAGCATTTCGACGATTCATCAATTTAAAACAAATTTCACGTAACTAAAAAGGTGCTGCCCTCAATAACGCAGTCAGAAGCATTTTTCCCATTAATCTTATTGATTGAAACTGTGTATGAAGAAGTTCTGGATTTAAAAAGAGGGGGAAATGGAAACTATATATATAAATTAGGCATATTTTCTTGCTCTTCAACTATAGACAACAACAGTATGTACTAAAATGACACAAGAAGTAAGTTATAATACCTGTTTACATGGAGGTTCTATTTACCGTATTTTTTGCTCTATAAGACTCACTTTTTCCCTCCTAAAAAGTAAGGGGAAATGTGTGTGCGTCTTATGGAGCGAATGCAGGCTGCGCAGCTATCCCAGAAGCCAGAACAGCAAGAGGGATCGCTGCTTTCACTGCGCAGTGATCCCTCTTGCTGTTCTCGCTTCTGGGATTCAGAATATTTTTTTTCTTGTTTTCCTCCTCCAAAAACTAGGTTCGTCTTGTGGTCTGGTGCGTCTTATAGAGCGAAAAATACGGTAATAAAAAGACGAACATTTACAATCTACAGAATCCCTTTCCCAAAGTGGTTAACCAGAAGACCTCCCGCTGCCACACACCTCTCAAAGCCCCAAGAAACAGAATGGCAGGCAGGCAGAAACCAAACCCCCTCCCCAAATTCTCTTCTCTCCAAGATTAGGAGAGGATACAAATTTTAAGACTTCCTTGTTTAAGAAAAGAAAAAGTAGACCTCTTTAAAAGATTTTGCTAGAGATAAAGACAATGAATGAGTGTTATGACAGACTGCTACTATTTGCAATTTCCAGAAACGATGGAACATATTTTTGTTTTGATACGTTTTTCCAACTGGATGGGTGGTTGTTTTCATTGTTCTACAACTGATCTTTACTGGGGTTTTGTGTTTTTTAAAAAACCTATTTTAGTTGTTTTTATGACTGCAAATCATTTTGGGCTTATGTGAAAGGCAATTCATAAATTAATAAAACAATAATAATCTTTTTAAGGAGTTCAGGGCCCTAAGGTGCAAAGGTTGGCATCCGGTACAGTCTCCCTCAGGCCTTCAGAGGGTGGTGACCAAATATTATCACCCCTCTCCTGACATCCAGCATAACCTTCTGCGAGGGCAAAGGGAGCCGAGCAGATACGCACTCCTCTTCCTCTTCTCTCACATTTGATGTATTTTACTTACTCAAAACGGTTACCACCTTTCTTCTAGGATAGAACAAATGAGATGGTGGCGGCGCTACATGGCGTTCTCAAGCAAATTGCCCAACCAGGCTCATCTTTGGTGGGTTTCAGAAAGTCACCTCTCTTGGTGCAGAAGCTTGGGGCCCCAACTGTAGAATTCAAACGGCAGTGCCCTTCCTGATAGGCGGTGAGGGCATAACCCCCTGCCGCCTATCAGGAGCCGGATCCTAGCCTGCACCCTGTATTGGCCAATGGGAATGCAGGCTGGGACGTGGGCTGTGCCAGGGGGCGGAGCCACTGCGGCCGGCGGTGGGCTTCCCTCAGATCCGCCCCCTGCCCATTTAAGCAGCCCACACTTGGGACATAGCCTGTTTGTTCCTGCGCCAGGTTTCCCCATCCCACTCACCCACGGTTTATGCTGATAGGCAATGACTTTGCTGTGACTATGGTGATCGCCATTCTTTATGGGGCCGGGTAGGAATTTGCCCACTGGGATAATTGGCTCTTACCCGGTGGTTTTGCCTACCTCATAGCAATTCGTCACAACTGGTTGGGCATTGGGACAATCCCTTGTTTTGGATGGAGGGGAGGTTGTAGTCCCTGTCTGCCCCTCCAAACGCTGGGGTATGCTGTTAAAGGGATTCGGGGGGGAGTGGCCATGTCCGCATGCCCAGAGGGGCCAGGGCCGAAGGCACTCCCCCAGACGGCAGTCCCTGTGGGGGTCACCCTATTGGATGTAAGTCTTAGGAACCCCCAGCCTGGACTGACCGCACGTCACTTCCAGCAGGCGGGCCGGAAGTATTTAGATTGCCCCATGCCCAAACCAAACCTCTTTCATCTGTATTCAATAAAGTTGTGGCCTGTTTTTACCCAAAATCCCAGTCTCATTGGTCTCTTATTTATATGGGTTGGGGTATGGGAAGTCAGATGCCTGGTCCTGCAAGTAGCCCTCCTTGTTCACCTTCAGGACACTCACACCCTCCCCAGCTTCCTCCTTCCTGCAAAGCCCAAGTCATCTTCTGTGGGTTCGCTCCCAGAACATTGACAGCACATTCATGTCCGTTTGACAGTCGTAAATGCTCAGTAAGGGGCTTACCAGTCTTGGCATTGGGAGTTCCTCCTTCTTGCCCTGAAGAAAGAAAAGAAAGAGGAATAAATACAAGCTGGAAGTGGACTGGTTCGTCATAGGTTGCCTGCCTTGCTGTGTAAGGAAGGGGCTGACACAGCCACTGGCTTCATCTGAAACAGACGAAGAGAGAACTCAGCAACCGGAGGTCCGTTCTTAACCTGAAACTGTTCTTAACCTGATGCACCACTTTAGCTAATGGGGCCTCCCGCGCCGCCAGAGCACGATTTCTGTTCTCATCCTGAAACAAAGCTCTTAACCCGAGGTATTATTTCTGGGTTAGCAGAGCCTGTAACCTGAAGCGTATGTAACCTGAAGTGTATGTAACCCGAGGTACCACTGTATAGGAGTTTCAGGGTATTGGTGTCGGAAGATGCAAGACCACACCCCCTCTCAGGATTCCCCTTTACACCAGGTTATGGGAAATAACCACAGCCTCTCACTGAACAGCAATAGTCACATAAAATGACACTCAGTGTAGAGCCGTGGTTCCCAACGTGGGGCACATGCCCGACAGGGGGGCAATTTGATGTTTAAGGGGGGCAATTCGAGAATGACTTATTAACAGTTAATGGCCTTTTAGACTTTCTCCAAGTGAATAGTTCACTTTTTGAATAATAAGGGTTATATATCACCAGGGGGTGGCACCCGGATTTTAGAGATGTTTAGGTGGGGCATGGTCAAAAAAAGGTTGGGAACTGCTGGTACAGAGGAAATACTAAGCTAGATGGACCAGCAGTCTGGCTCAGCATAAGACAGCTTCCTATGCTCATGAAAGTGGAGTGACATTTTCAGCACAGCTTTACTTCAAACCACTTTCTGGGCCTGACAGACTGATGCGCCTTGGCATACTTGCTTCTGGTGTTGGGGACAGCTGTGATGGAAGAAAAAATGTTGGAGGGTACCATTATTTCCCCAGCCCCAGCCCTTCCCAGAAGGGCAAATGTACCCGTCACCACCAACACATTCTGTGCTCATTCAGGCTTTCGCTTGGCTCGCTGCTTTCCCCTGCGGATATTCAATCTTTATTGCGGAATCGGAGCAAACGCCCATTGGGTTTCCCGTGAATTGAAGTTTGCTCTGATACAGTCCTAATGAGCGGGACAAGCGGGAAGTGTGGATGAGCCCTCTTCTCAAGACAAAAGGGATGGACTTACTCTGTGCCAGCATGAAGTGGTGCTGAGTGGTGCCCATCCTGTTTTTGGCGGTGCAATTGACTCCCGATTCTAGAAGGGCTTCAGTGACTTGGAACAGGACTGTGCTGTTGCGCTGATGACCCTGCATGACTGAAGTAAAGACCTGTGGAAAGAAAAGGGAGGGAGGATTAACGCTCCTAAGGAGAATTTAAAACAAAACAACCCAAAACAGGGCAGCAAGCACTGTGTCCCTCCAGATATTGCTGCTCTGCAACTCTCATCATCTCTGACCATTGCCCATGCTGGCTGGGGCTGAAGGGAGTTGAACGGCCAAGTCAGGGATGAGAGGAGTCGCAAATCAACAATATTTGGAAGGACACAAGTTACCCATCCCTGCACACTAAAGCATATTGAATGGGGGAAAGACACATTATACTTTGTTGAAACAGTCTTCGGACATGAAAAATATGGAACATTTGTTAAATATTATTGCCTTCTGCAGCATGTTTCATAAAGCATTCACATCCCATAAAGCCTTACAAATACCCCTGTGAGATTGACCATTATTATTATATCATTTTATATTATTGGGGGGAGTGAGGTAGACAGCAGTGGCTTAAGCAAGTGCACCAAGTGAATTGCTGATGAGGTGAGATTTGAATCGGGGCCTCCTCGCTTCACAGTTCTCCATTTATATCTTTGAAATAAACCCCACAAAGAGCACATCTTACCGATCCATTGACACTCCATGAGATTAGCAAGGGGGGTGTCGAGTACCCGGTGCACGTTAAGTTCACCATCTCGCCTGATTGGACATGCACCACTTCCTTCCGTGCGACCAGCACTGGTTTTGCTGCAAGGAGAAGAGGTGGCTAATTGTTGTTGCTGCCCCAGCACCCAGGACTGGGATCGGGGGAAAGATACTTAGCGAGAGCGGTCACTGTGCGATGCCTACCATGGACGGTCACTTGAACCTGTTTGGAGCGGGAAACAGCAGGGGTGCCTGGCATCGGCATCTCTACAACACAGGTGTATTTGCCTGAGGTGTCGAAGCCGACGTTGGTCAAGTTCAGAAGATTCCCCTTCTCAATCACCCTCCCTTTCTGGAAAAGCACAATATACATTGGGCGGTTTAGTTTGGTCAGAATCAAGTAGATACTTTCAGAGTTAATGCTAAATACATTACAGTGGTACCTCGGGTTACAGATGCTTCAGGTTACAGATTCTGCTAACCCAGAAATAGTACCTTGGGTTAAGAACTTTGCTTCAGGATGAAAACAGCAATCGCACAGCAGCGGCAGCAGGAGACCCCATTAGCTAAAGTGGTGCTTCAGGTTAAGAACAGTTTAAGAATTGACCTCAGGAACAAATTAAGTTCTTAACCTGAGGTACCACTGTACTTCTGGTAAATGAGCCATATAGCTGCTAGAGGGCTGTGAAAATTTGTGTCCTGGGCTTTTTAGACTTGTATACCCATGTACTATCTGCCCCTCAAGGGGTGCATTGGTTGCCAGATGTGAAATATACAGTGGAACCTTGGTTCTTGAAATGGCTTATTTGACGAACAAATTGGCTCCCAAACACCAAAAACCCAGAAGTGTTCTGGTTTTCGAACACTTTTCAGAAGCCGAACATCCGATGTGGCTGTCAGCTATTGTTTCCAGGGCACCTGCGCCAATCGGAAGCCACTCCTTCATTTTTTAACATTTCGGGAGTCGAACAGACTTCTGGAACAGATTAAGTTCAAGAACCAAGAATCCATTGTATTGGTTTACCAACTGGTCAACAGCCAGACAGATAACCAGCTAACAGAGCAACTGTGTGCATGTTTACATTGTGTGCAGTGGGACTTCAATGTGGCTTACTGCAAAGTAAGTGTTTTTGATTTGCAATCTAATACACCATTAACTCAAGTCAACAGCCCTAAAATGAGAATACCTTTTCCCAGTGGAATGCCAAGGGCTTGGAGCCTGTTGCATTACAGGTGAGGAGCGCATCCTCTCCTTCCTGCAGCTGTCTGAGCGAGGTCACTGGAGGCACAGAGGTTATCACAGGCTCATCAAGATCTAAGGGAGAGAAATCATATACTTGAGGCAACACAGATGAGATTCCTTCGCTTCACCCCATCTTTATGCACTGTGGAGAAGCACCTATTTCTCTCTGGCGGTTACATCTGCCTGGGAATCAAAACCTGAAGAGCCACATCATTCTGATAAACAGAACAGCTCAGAACATCCATGAAGGCTTTGCTGAAGCAAAGAGGAGTATATCCACTGCCTCTCTCTCACTGCCTCCAATGCTTCTGCTTGGCTCTCACACATCCCTCATACTGATGAAATTCTGGGTTCTCTAACAACTACGGGTACAAAGTTTAGTCCATAGATTGGCTGGCATGTTGTGAAAAACATCTTAATTATATTAGCACTGTGCCTCTATTGTAAGGCAGATGTCAAAACAAAAACCACCTCTCCCAAGAAGATTCCTGTGAATGCCATATTCAAAAGCAAGGAAGCCAGCTTCCCATCCCCACATTTATGCAGTTTTAAATCAATCAGCTCATGCTCCCGAGAACAGCCAGCTAAGATTTCTCAAAACCAGATGAAGGCTCTAATGAAAACCCAACAGGCCATTTTGTACTGAATAAAACCCACAGGTCCTACTCACAGTTCACCAGCAGAGTCACGTTGGCCGTCAGCTCCACAAGCGTAACATCCTGCAGGTCAAGCACTTTGCACAGGTAGACTCCGCTGCGCTCCTTGTTGATGTTGTAAAGGTGCAGGAACCCCTGTTCAGAACCCTGTCCGGAGGCTTCCTCCTCCTAGCAGAGTGCAAGACAAAGAAGGACAAAGGCTGAACCTGCAAGCTGATGACAACAAGGAGGAAATACTGCCCAGCCAAGAGACCCAGTCACCAACATCCTATCTATCTTTTCAGGACAGGGTTACATTTTCCTGCTGCCCCTCCCAGATATTTGATGGCCTGTCTGTTCTAGGTTTCTGATTTGTTTTCACTTATTATTTTTTTACCAGTGTTGATTTTTTAACTCAAACATGTATTCAGGGTCCCATCTCTTCATCTTGTACTTTATATCTGCATGGTGGTAGTGCTTCTGTTGCAACCTGCCTTGAATCAGGGGATGACCCCTCAGCTGAAGACCAGTGTGGTAGACAGCACTAAGCTAGATGGACCTAGTGCCTGTGGCTTGATATACGGCACCTTCCTCTGTGCTGCAAGCTCACCTCCATTCTTTCATTATTATTATTATTAAAGAGTTTCTTGTTTTACAGAAGTATGTGTAATATCTCTCATATTTTTTCCATGTAACCTTTTTACAAATCCATTTCATTTGTTAAGACATTATGCATTTGTTGAGACATTATGTTTCTATTATGTTTAATGTACAGTGGTGCCCCGCAAGACGAATGCCTCGCAAGACGGAAAACCCCCTAGACGAAAGGGTTTTCCGTTTTGGAGGTGCTTTGCAAAATGAATTTCCTATGGGCTTGCTTCGCAAGACAAAAATGTCTTGCGAGTTCCTGCGGGGTTTTTTTCCTCCCCCCCCCTTTTCCCCAAGCTGCTAAGCCGCTTATCAGCTGATCCGCTAAGCCGCTTATCAGCTGATCCGCTAAGCCGCTAATAGCGCTAATCCGCTAAACCGCTAATGGGCTTGCTTCGCAAGACGAAAAAACCGCAAGACGAAGAGACTCGCGGAACGGATTCTTTTCGTCTTGCGAGGCACCACTGTATGTAGGGTTTGGTGTCAGCGTTGCTTGTGCTGTTCACTTGTGTTCCTTTGGTGGTGAGAGAGGTTGGGGTTGGCCTAGGGTGTGCTTGTTTGTTTGTGATTGGCTGTGGTGAGCTTTGTTTTCGTGTGTGAGTGGGATGGGTGGGTGTTTTGGATCAGGTTAGCCATACTGATTTGTATGCTGTTGGTGGAATATTGTCATTGTCTTGTTGGGCTGTGTATGTGATAAAGGGGAGCTATACCGGGGAAAAGGCGTCTTTTTCTGTTTGTCCCCGTGTCAGTTTCAGTTTATTGGTTAATTTTTCTAGTAAGGCTGTTTCCCAGACTATTTGGTACCATTGGTCCATGCTTACTCCTGACAGGTCTCTCCAGTGTCTGGTTATGGTGTGTCTGGCGGCTGAAAGTAGGTGGGTTATGAGTTTTTTGTGGTGTAAGTGGGCATTGTTGTCTTGGAAGATGTTTAGTAGGGCCACAGCCCCCCTAAATGCAATCAAAGCTCACCCCCATTCTGTACAAAGTATACAGAGGTGGCGGATTCCCATCCGCTTCGCAGCGCAGGGTCACATTATCTCCCTCCTTCACATCCGGGCCTGGAGCATCAATCACGAAGCGGAGACTCTCAGAGGGGTCTACAGAGAGGGGCAGAGGAAAAAAGAACCTTCATTCGCCTTCTGGTGCTTCTCCTAATAAGCGCAGGCAGAGAAACATGGGAGAGACAGCAGATCAAAGAATCCTAAGAGCTGGAAGTGGGGCTTCTCATCCAATCCCCTGCAATGCAGGAATCTCAACTAAAGTGGCCATGGCAGATGGCCACCTAACCTCTGCTTTAGAGCCTCCCAAGGACGGAGTGCCCACCACCTTTCATGGGGATCTGTTCTACTGTCTAAAGAAGCTCATACTGCTAGAAAGTTCTTCCTGATGTTTAGTTGGGACTCTCCTTTCTTGTAACTTGAAACCATTGGTTCAGGTCCTAGCTTCTGGAGCAGGAGAAAGCAAGCTTGCTTCCTCCTCCTTGTGACAGGCCTCTTTTCCAGGCTAAAGAAACCCAATTCCTTCAACTGTTCCTCATAAGACACTTGGTTTCCAGACCCTTGATCATCTTGGTCGCCCTCCTCTGCATATGTTCTAGCTTGTCAATATCCTTCTTAATATTGTGGCACCCAGAACTGGACACAGTATTCTAGATGTGGTCTGACCAAGGCAAAACAGAGCAGAACTATTACTTCCCTTGATTGGGATACTTTCCTTCTGTTGATGAAGCCTAGAATAACATTAGCTTTTTTTTTTTTTGCTGCTGCTGCTGCATCACACTGCTGACTCATGTTAAGCTTGTGGTCGACCAAGACCCCTAGATCCTTTTCACATGCGCTGCTCGTAAGCCAGGTGTCCCCCATCCTATATTTATGCATCTGTTTCTTCCTGCCTAAGTTAGAACCTTACACTTGCCCCTACTGAAATTCATTTTGTTAGTTCTGGCCCAGATCTCCAATCCATCAAGTTCATATTGAATCCCGATTCTGTCTTCTGTGGCATTAGCTACCCCTCCTAGTTTGGTGACATCTGCAAATTGGATGAGCATTCCCTAAATTCCTTAATCCAAATAATTTATAAAGAGATAAAGAACTGCTGGGAGGGGCAAGGAGGAGGGGACTGCCACACCAAAATATTTTTTAATTATTATTATTATTATTAGAATTTATATACCGCCCTATTACATGTCATGTGTTTCCCCCCAATAACAGCACCCATGTAGCTCCCCTTAATGTACTGGTTGGTCCTCAAGGTCCCTTGGGATGTGGGGTCCTGGGTTTTGGCCCCAAAGTCCATCCCTAGTTGCACTTCTGCATGAGGCTCGGTCTTCTCCTTTCTTAGACCTCCCAATGAATGTGCTCAGTGCTGCTAAAAGGAGCTCAGCCTTACAATGAACGTCGACTTTGAAGCTGTCCGACTTGGATGTCTTGTTATTCCCCATCAGGGTGTAACTGACTTGGCAGTAGAACTCAGCACTGCGGTCTTCTTTGGTGACTTTTGCCGAAAGGGTGCTGCGGACAGTCCACAGGCCACTTGATTCCTTAATGAGGCCGGGACGGATCTCAATTTCTGATTGAAAGAGGAAGAGAGGAGAGGTTTAGGAAGAGCATTTAATTCGTGAAAAGTGTGCATGGGTGAAAACCTGCTGGAGGAAGGGTCAAGTAGAAGACTATTCTGAAGAGCAGCTACAAACCTTACATGTTACTCTGCTAAGGAGCAGTTTATGCTGCAAAGGTCACCTGGCCTTGTTTCTCCAGCTAAGACAACCCTTACTGCAAACTCAACATACTGGCATGTGCTAACGCAGGGGTAGGCAACCTAAGGCCTGGGGGCCGGATGCGGTCCAATCACCTTCTAAATCTGGCCCGCGGACAGTCCGGGAATCAGCGTGTTTTTACATGAGTAGAATGTGTCCTTTTATTTAAAATGCATCTCTGGATTATTTGTGGGGCCTGCCTGGTGTTTTTACATGAGCAGAATGTGTGCTTTTATTTAAAACGCATCTCTGGGTTATTTGTGGGGCATAGGAATTCGTTGATTTTTTTTCTTCACTAGTCCGGCTCACCACATGGTCTGAGGGACGGTGGACCGGCCCACGGCTGAAAAAGGTTGCTGACCCTTGTGCTAACGTTTCACAGATCTGTAGCACTGATGTTTTGCTTTTCCCATGAGCTTTGATGCCCCATATTGTATCATTTAACATATTATAACCCACTTTACAGGCAAGATCAACTCCCATGGCAGCTTACGATTACAGTCCGCCCAATATAATTAAGGATAATTAAGTCACTTCCTCCAGAGGCCGAGGATGGAGGGAGCTGCCAATAACACCAGCGGATGGGTGATGGAGATGCCGATCCATGAAAGCAGCCCTTCCTTCCCCTGCTGAGCTGCCCCAACTTGTACTATTCACCCATCATTACTCATACTGTTCTGCAGCCAAGACTCTGCCTTTTGGGGCACCATGGCCTATTGTCACAATTCCCTTGAAGGACTCTGATTCAGACCAGGAACTGCAGGCACTGGAGCAAGAAGATGACAATGGCAACTCAAGAAAAAAAGAGGAGGCACGTCCCTCCAAAGGCAGCAGCTTGGAGCCCCCATAGGAACAGGGCTTCTCGTGAGGAGTAGCTGGCCATCTTTGCCTCTGCTTAAAAGCATGCTGGGTAGGCAGGGAAACTTGATAGAACAACATCACAGCTCCTGTGCCACACTGGAATTCTTAATATGCATCTTGGACTTGTGAACCCTGGGCCCTTGTGCCTAGACTGGGCTTAATTCCTGCTAACCCTTTGCCTTGTAATAAGCTTCTGGACTGTACCCGGCTTTTCTATGCCTCCGAGTCTGCTTTAACAGATTTAACCTGTTAATGACTCACCATTCCCATCCAACTTCAGAGGGACTCCATCCTTGTACCAAGTGAGGGTTGGTGTTGGATAGCCATTGCGGCTGGTGCAGGTTGCAATCTGAAAGACAGACAGACTCAAACACTCCATACTCTTCAGAGCTTATAGTCCACGGGTTCAAATCCCAGACTGATTTATCTTGTTCCATTCTAGATCCAGACCAGATTACATAAAAAGGCTTCCTGCTAGTGCAACAAAACATCACTTCCATAAATCAAGGCTGGGCAATTGGCTCATAGTCTCCTTTACGATATCTTGATAGCTGTGGGCTGTGCAAAGTCTCTAACGCACCACTGTGTTGTACTCCTAGTGATTTTTTGGTGCTAAAATTACATTCTTGCTGCTTCAGCAAAAAATGTAGTCTTTACTGCAACATCCCCCTTACTGCTAGCAATAGTCAAATTTGGCTCTCTTGAGAATGTTAGGCTTCTCTCCCTTTCCATTCCACTGCTAGATGAGACAAAAGGGCTAGGATTTGCCTCTAGGTTAAGGTTACCAGATGTCCCCGTTTCCCGGGGACAGTCCCCGGATTTACAAATCAGTCCCCATACAAAATCGATTGAAGTTGAAAAGTGTCCCTGGATTCATTGAAAAAAATCTGGTAACCTTACTCTAGGTTTAGCCTGGTTTGAGTGTAATTCAAGGAGTACTTCTACTGTCTGCAGATTCCCACATAGCCAAGGCTCTCTACTTTGTGCCCAAACAAGAGCAAGGAATAATCCTACTCAGAACCCATATAGTTTTGGAGACATCTCAACATTTACAAACTTACCTGCTGGACCAAAATAACTACAAACCTGCAAAGTGTATATTTTAAAAAAATTATTAATAAGCAGAGAAGGCGAGGGATGAAGAATTCTGTGGCAGATACCAAATACAACTTTGTGAAGTGCAACTGCCAGGTTGTTTCCAGGCCCAATTCAAAGTACTCATATATAAAGCTTTAAACAACTCAGGACCCAAACAGGCGAAAGACCATCTCCCTCCCTACTTGCAAGTTTTAAACTGTTTTTAAAGTTGTATATTAATTTGGGACGTTATGGTAAAGGGCAGGTAATTAATAATAATAATTGCAGGTGCACTAAACACAGCACAGTTCTTACCTCACTCAAATGAGGGTCTCCTGTGCTGATACCACGATTAGTCTTCTGAATCTCAGGTTTTTCTGGAGCTTCTAAAAGAAGAAAGAAACCAGGCAGGGCTAAGTGGTGAGGCAGAAGGGAATAAAACAACCACAGCCTAGACTCTGCTGGGCATGTCCTCTTACTGTGCGATAAGCCCCATGGCCAAAATGGACACACAATAAGCCCTCTTACCTTCAGTGCCCCATCAACTCTCTGCTCTCATATCCTAACTCACCCTCATCAATGACCTTCATTCCTCTGGCTACACCACCATTCAAAGGTATTTTCCCTCTTCAAAAGGCTTCACTCTTTTCGCCCTTCTTGACCATAAGCCTGGAACAGACTCCTATACAACGAGCACAAGTCCACCTCTCTTACTTGCTTCAAATCTCTCCTCAAAATCAACCTTGGCGGAACCCATATTCTACCGTAACCAAGCTTAAGTGTGTTAACTGAAATAACCATATATTCATCCTCTGGTCACTTCTCCCTCCCCTGCCCCAGTGTTGGACTTCAGAGATGTAAACTCCTTGGGTCCTGTTCTCCTCTTCTTAGCAGAGGGTCATGCGCATGGAAGGCCCAATCCCGAGCCTTGCATTTAGTAACTCAAGAGGGAGAGGAGAGATGGGTTGTTTGTCCCTCTTCTGCTAGCCCACCCAGTTTCCATACTGGTCTGGGGGAAGGAGGGATGGCTTACTGTGTTCCTCCTCTGCTAGGCAGCTGGCAGAAGGCAATTATTTTACTAGCCTGGCTTAAGGTCTGCATTTCCATGCTAGGTGCAAAGGAAGAGTCTTTCCCCTCTTCCATGGTCACCATGACATAAACAAGAATTATGGACCAGCAACTGTTGTGGGCTTATTTACAAGGCTGACCTCTATAAATATTAGCGCAAGTGGGTTAAAACCCAGCCTCCCCAGTGCAAAAGGCTGCCACCAAACTCCAGAAGAACAAAGTTTGGGTCCCAGGGTGTGTTCTGAAGCCGCTTTGAAGCAGCCACCTTTCTAAATGTAAGGAGACCCGAGTCTGATCAGTATGTGGGAACCAAATGTGCACTACACCTTGGGTTCCCTTACGGGAGGAAGGTGGGATACAAATGTCAAACCAACCCACGACTGTGGCACGAACAAGGGCCAAGAGCGTAGAGAAAGTGTCATGGTAACAGGGGCAGAGGGGGCATTAAAAAAGAAGAGAAAAGCTTGGTGCAACTACGCATCAGGCGCACAGCCATTCTGTGAGGTTCAGGGGACCACAGTGACGAAGCAACCACAGGATGTGCCTCCCAGTGACTAACAACAAATCTAGTTGGGATGAAGGGGGTGCTGTGTGGTTGCCTGTGGACAGTTAAGCACATGCCCCACCTGCAATCCAGCAAGGTATGCAATCCGAGGAAGGTCTGGATTGCAAAAACACTGTGTATTTCACCTGTGTAGGATAAGGGCCCCCAGAACCACTCACTGGAGACGCGCAGTTCACTCCGGTTCTCAGCGACGCCGTGCATGCCGAACCCCACCTGGCACACGTAATTCTTGGCATCCTGCAGGACCACCTTGTTAATCTTCAGGAAGAAATCAGGTGTGATGCTTAACCGGTCATTGAGAGGCTCATCTTGGTGTTCTTTGCCCTGGACCATGTAGATGATCTTCCTCCTTTCCATTTTGCCCTTCTCCATCTAAAACATCAGGGAGAGAGAGATAGCACGCACTACAATGCCGCAGTGCAAATAGAGGGCAAAACCCGGCCCTCCCATCCAAGGTCATGCATGCCCTGCTGCCAGTAGCCAACGCCAAGTAGGAGAGGATGTGTGTTTGAAGAGAGAGAAGCACCTGTGGCAACAGGACTTGACAGCTGTCCATGGGTGGAGAAGGCCAGGAAGGGTTAAGAGTCCTGACTTCCAAAAGTAAAAGAAGTCTAGGTGCTGTTCAGGAGCACAGGGACATTCAAGTTTGCAAATACCTGGGAGAAGCATGGAAGGTTGGTAACACACAGGAGGAGTTTGAAGCATTTTTTCCAGCTTTGACGCTTTCTGTGAATGAAGCTCAACTTCTACTGTTGCTGCTGTTTAAACAGCTGCCCGTGCTTTTACACATTTAAAAGATCATTCAGTCCATTTATGAATGGACCAGGAAGCGTGGGTTTGTTTCTGATGTCACAAGATTCCAACCAATAAGCATAGTGCATAGATTGCTCCTGCCACAAACAGCCTCCCCTTGATCGCGATTTCCTGAATGTCTGCATGCTCTCTCTGTTGCACTGATGTTCAGAAGGGACATTCTGAATATTTTTAAGTGCCTTTAACTGTGCTTTACTGAGAATTTTAATGCTTTTATATTTTTGTAATATTTTGTAATATTATATTTTTGTATATTTTGTAAACCACTTTGGTTTTCTTACAATCAAGTGATACATAAATTTTGTGAAATAATAAATAAATTCACCAGTATTTAAAATGTCTAAGTGTTAGAATGAGATGTTCCCTGGTGCCTACAGTTATAGAATGCCTTCATTCAAATAAACCCCAAATTTGTTTTACTGAAGTTTCTTTGAAACAGGGTTAGGTCACAGTGGAGGAGCTTTTTCCTCCTAGAGGGACTGCCCAGTGGGTGATTTGCCACACGATGGCAGTGTGGGAAAGCCTGTAAGAACTCAGTCCTGCTGGATCAGAGCAAAGGCCCACCTATTCCAGCATTCTGTTCCCACTGTGGCCAAACGGATGTTTATGGAAAGCCCACAAGGAAGATAAGAGTGCAACAGTCCATTCCCACATGTGTTCGCCAGCAAGTGGTAGTCAAAGGGCAATCTGCCTCTGATACAGGAGTTACAATATTCTTGTCCTCTGTGAATATTCTAATCCCCTTTTAAAACTGCCCAAAGTTGGCAGTAATCACTACATCCTGTCACAGCAAATTCCATAGTTTAACTATGTACAGTGTCAAGTACTTCCTTTTGTCTATCCTAAGTCTTTCCACATTCAGCTTAACATAGTAAAGACCTCAGCCCAAAGGAATTACGCTGTAAGGCTAGAGACATAGGGTTGGCAGGAGAGGTAAGAACTAATAAAAAGGCAGTGAGGGTGGGGGTAGAAGGGAACCTGGTGCAAGCAGAGAATGAGAGATTTCAGTGAGATACAACAAAGGATTGCTGAAAAATGGGATTTAAAAGGGAGACCAGGGGAGAGGGGAATATGATTAATGCACAAGATCATGCTTTGGACAAAGCGGACAAGCACAATGGAATGTGAAGGGGCTAATTGCAGATTGAGGGTTCAAGCCCCATGTTTAGCAAAAGATCCCTGCATTGCAGGGGGCTGGGACAAGATGACCCTTGTGGTCCCTTCCAATTCTATAATCCTTTGATTCCATGATTCAGAGTGTTCCTCCAGAGTGACAAATAGCTCTGCATCACTCAAAAGCTTCCATTCACTTTCAACTCTGGTTGAGCCCAATGAAAGCACAAGGACACAAGTCCTCTTTAGGTGTTCAGTTTAAAATACTCAAGAAAAAGGTGTGTAAGGAACTAGGTGCCCATGCACTGGCATCACAATGTCCCCAATACATGCTGGGTCCGACAGCTGCCCTATCCCCAACCTTAACACATTGCATCAAAAGGGGCTTTCTACGCATGGTCAGCTGAATGCACTTGGAAGCCTCCTCATAATTCTGAACCCTGATAGTGCAGAGTTCTAGACTGCGGGGATGGTTCTCTAAGCAGAATGAACTTAGAAGCCCTCTTCAACCTTCCACACTCAACAGGAGAAGGTCAGAAGAGGAGCCCATAGGGAAGCTGGGAACAAGGGTAGAGAACATGTTCCTGGCCCACTATGCACTTCTTGCCTTCACAAGTTAAGGAGGGGACTGTGGTGTTTCTCCATTCCCAACCCTCTCCCCAAAGCAACCTTTCCCAAACCCTCTTTTGACTTACCGAGTACCAGTTGACATAAACGTAGCTGCCATTCTCTGGGAGGGCGAATTCACATTTGATAATGGCTGTATCCCCAAGCTTTGCCTCCACCAAATCCGGCATATAGACTGCCACATTGCTATCCGCTCCTCCTGAGAGAAAGAGGGGAGGAAACATTTGAGGTAAGAACTCCAGGCAACACCTCAGCTGCTTTCTAGGGAGAGCAATTTTTGTCCTCCCTTTCCAATCCTCTCTGGTAAAATAAACAGTCGTACCTCTACGTACGTATCCCTCTGGATACGGAATCTTTGGGTTATGGTCACGGCAAACCTGGAAATGTATACTTCTGGGTTTTGCCGCACGCGCATGCACAGAAGTGCTCAATCGCGCTGTGCGCGTGCGCAGAAGCACGCCTCTATTTACATTATTTTTGGGTTGTGAACGAATTAAGTTCTTATCCAGAGGGTCCACTGTATTCTTTTTTGGACCTCCAACAAGTGAAAGAAGGAATGCCATGCCCATTGTGTGAATTTCCTAGCAGGCAAAAGCCCATAATATTTGCAAGACTAACTTGTTCCACGGATTATTTTAGTCTCCCTTCCTTGCAAGCTCTTCACACAATGTTAAGCATCAGCGGCTGCAACATCTAGTTGGTTAAATGGTTACGTTTCTGGGAAACATTTTTTTAAAAAACAAACAAACGAAAATACAAGTATTTATAAGAATATAATAATCCGGCTGCTAGAAGCAGGACATGAGTGTAACGGCATTCTCCCCTCCTGGGGATTCCAGCAACTGGTATTCAGAAACACCCATCCTCTTAATCATTTTGATTGCCCATTTTAGAGCCTTTTTTTTTAAAAAAAAAGGGGGGACCCCACAGGTTCATTTTAGAAGAAGCCTTGCCTCCTGGGACATAAAAGGGACTAACCCTTCTGAGACACCAGGTGTGACACCTGCACACATGATCTAAAAAAGAAAGTACGGCTTTTCTCTTTAGAACGGTTGACTGCTTTCTCACACATCAAATCTAACCACTTAATGAACTGAATATTTGTACAATTAAAACCCCTACCATTAATTGTCTGAATACTAACCATATAATAAATTGGCAATATGATTCCACCCCCCCCCCCAAAAAAAAGACAGTACAACTCACGTACCCTGCAATATTTCACATCTGTACCACACCCACTTAAAAGCAAAGGAGAATTTGTTCTTTTTCCCATATGTTATCATACTTTTACCACAGTTCACACCCATTAATCCAGGGGTGGAGATGCTGTGGTCCTGCAGTTGTGGTTGAACTCCAAATCCCATCTGTCCTAGGTCCTGGCTACAATATATCTTTAAAGCAACATCCTACCACTTTAAACAGTCATGTCTTCCCTCAAAGAATCCTGTTAAGGCTGCTGAGAGTTGTTAGGCAAAATCCCTTTCCCCCCTCACAACGCTATAGTTTCTAGAGTGATTTAACAGTCGATCCATCTTCCCAATAAATTCTGGGAACTGTAGCGCTCTGAGAGGAAAAGCGGTTCCCTAACTACACTCAGCACTATGAACTATAGTTTCCCCAATATCCTTGTGTGAAAGGTGCAACCGTTTGAAGTGGTATGATACTGTTTTAAATGTATAATGCAGATAGGGCCCTAAGGAGTATGGCCAATGGTCAGAGATAATTGAACTCCACCAATATTTGGGGGCCCACAGCACCCACAGTTCTGGATTATAGCAATAAAAACTTTTTTTTTAAAAAAAAAAGATTAACCGCAGACAGGATTAATTTTTTTTAAAAAAAAAGAATACAAGTGCTTTTAAAAACTGCAGGTAGCAAGCATCGTCTTTAAAGAGGCATTTTCACATCACTAAAACAAATTAGAAAAGAATCCCCCACAGTCCCCTCCAAGTATCAATAAGTTTATGTGAATTTCCCATTGACTGTACTGGTTGCTTGGCAACAGGGTGGATGGCTGGTCTCTGAAGGCCTCTCCCCTGGAGACTCCTGGAGAGGTCATTCCATATTTACCCCAGAAAGTCTTTAAACTGGTTCAATAGTCATTTCTGCCTCTCTAGGAAACCATTCTGGCTCTTTTGCCAAATATTCAGCACCTTGGCTACACAGAAAGCCTCAGGATTCTTTGAGGGAAGCCATGACAGTTGAAATTGGTATAAAACCAGCTTACATATGTACCCCTTGAGCATCAAAGAGCTGCCAGTGTGGAAAGGGAAAAAAGAGAGTGTATAATCATCACCATCCTAACCCTACGAGCCAAGTACCTCAGAGCATGTGCAGAGTACACTTCCTTTATGAATGTTTCCCAGTTCATGATAGTGTGTCTCTTCAGTTGGAAGGGGCTTCCACCTTATGCAAGAAGCCAATAAGACTTTCTAACTCAGCCACACACCCTGTATCCCATCCCACCCTCAAACCATCCCCATGTGAGGAATTCTATATTACACTAAAAAACAACTGCTTCCCTTATTTTATACTGAAGACTAGTTTCCTCAGTAAAAAAAAATCTTCTCCCTTGTTCCATTTCCCAGAGGCTGGCACATTTCTTTATTTTCCAATCAAGATGCATATACCCCTTAATCAGCAAAAAAAGACCCCTTTAAACAGTTTACATAGAACAATATAAAATATTCATAATAAAATGCCGATAAGATCAAACTCGAAAAAGCAGACATAAAATTTATCGAAAATTCACAGGTGAATGGTAGGAATCCTTTCTGTGAGTCACATAATTGGCCTTTTTCCAGGCCTATCTTGGCCCGGGGCTTTTATTCTTATTTTTAAAGTCTGGAAGGACAGGAGAAACAGCAGCTGTGTTTCCTCCAAGATGCACACACAGAGGCTGCTGTTTCTATCAAGCCCAAGAAAGGGAAATTGGCTGCACCCACTAAAGTGACTTTCCAGACGCTGTTTGCAAGGGAACAGGTGGAGGATCCGGAGATTAGGCCCCTACACAAGTAGGTTTCTATTCAACCCCAGCTGTGGGCAGACCTGCCAGGCTGCTCCAATTACCCTCTTCTCTTCTTCCTCCTCACCACCAGCGATATCCTGCCCGCCCATTCCCCACCTCCCATTTGTTCCGCGATGACATCACAGATCCCCCAAGCAGGATGCTGGACCCGTCTGGGGGGATATGGCCCTTTTGTTGAACATCTGCTGGGGTTTGATTCATCCAGACAACAGACAAACAGAAAAGGCTTGGACGTGTATATATGGCATTACATGTGCATTTAGCTGGTGGGATTAGAGTACCACCCCCACCCCACCTCCATCCTACAAGGAAATCCCAAATTACTTCTGCTGATGTTATTTGCTTTATCTGGATAAAGCAGATTTGGGAAGGGAGGGAGAGACGCCGGTGTTGCTTCCATGTGCTACTGAGAAACTGCTTCCACAAACAGCAAGAGACCAACCCACCGCCAGGTCCCAGGGCAGCTTACAGCAATTTTAAAAATCAGCATTAAGAACAGTTTAAAACAACTTACAGTCACAATAGCAGGGTTGGTCTTAAAACACGTTCACTAGATGTCAAAGCCAAGGGTAAAGAGGTGCATCTGCAACACTGAATTTAAACTATATGTTGAAGATTTCAGATGGACCTCTTTAGAGAGGGAATTCCACAGCCTAGGGCCTCTCAAAGGCTTCCACCACGACCTCCAAACCTCTGAGGGTGGTTGAACTACCAATAGACCCCATAGCTGATCCTAAAGCCAAGGATGGTCTGCAGGGAAGGAGGTTTTTTTCCCAGATGCCTTTGGAAAGGCCAGAAGCAGGATATGACAGCAAGAACCCTCTGAGAAGACCTGAACCCCTAAAGGGGAACGTTGGAGAAGACCACCATTGCCTTCAGTGACCATCTCAGCTTTCTCAACTTGCTTATCTTCCCAAGTTTCTATAGCCTCATCTTAACAAGAGTTAATCACATGCATCTTTTTTTGACAACATAATTCTGAATCAAGGACCCACAAGTATGGTGGTCAGAAATTTAATTCTGACAACCAGCAGGGAAAGGCTCTGCCACAGAAGTAACACACACAGCCACCAACCACACAAGAGAAGCAGAGAGTGGTTCTTCCAAAATGGCGCCTTGCTATGTCTGGGACTGGGGTTCAGTGCCCGTATTGTGGGCTGCAGGGGACAGACTGCCACAAAAGCCCACATCCTGCCCATAGCTTTTTTTTCTCTTGGAATACTCCCCTCACAAGGCAGCAGGGGGGAAAAGGGACACCTATTCTGCACTTGTGAGCAAGAAATAAAAAATATAAAAAATAAGAAAAGGAAAAGGAAACCCATGATGGGCATCTGGTTGGTCACTCAAGATCGGTGGCCATTAAGAGACCACCATTCTATGAAGCTCAGCCATAGCTAATGTAAGAACATTTGGGAGCCAAGTTCCCAAGTCCTCTTCCCACAAGTCACTTCCAGACAACCTGTTTATTTAGCATTCACTACAACTTGCTTGCTAGGAGGCTGGACAACACTGCGTCAAGCAAATGTTATCCAGCACATCTTCCTGTCACCTCCTTACCTCTAAAAGTCCGTTTAAAAAAAGAGGGGGAAGACATTTTGTTGTGTGTAATTTAATCCCACCTGAAAATTGTGAGGTGGGAATACCCAGAGACCAACCAAATGCCCATGGAAACCCTACAAGTATGATAGAAACAGCATAGCACCTCCTCCTTGAGTTGGAGGGTGCTTGTTCTGAATATACAGCTCCTCCTGCCTCTTAAAGTAACACTGGACACTTTTATTGCTTTTTCCAAATGTAGAAGAAGGGTCACAGATGAAAACCCTCTTGTGCAGCTTTCAAGACTGCTGGGCCCTCTTGTTTGTTCAACTCCCCTGTTTGACAGCTTGAGCAATTTTTACATTAACACCAGCCAAGATTCAAACTTCTCCTTTCACTGGTGCGTGCCGTTCACCATTTCTTAAACTTCCTCTTCCACAGACTGAGAAAGCAGCACCTATAATTTGGTTCTTCCATTTCTTTAGTTTACTGTAACAGCCACTGGGAGCCTGGTAACTTTGGGATCTGTAACTCAAAACGTCTGAGAGGTGCCAACCAGCACAGTTGTGCTGGCCAAGGCTGGTAAGAGCTGTAGTCTCAAACATCTGGAGGGCACCAGGTTGGCAAAGGTTCTACATGAAATTTCTCCACGTCCTTTAGGTCACACACAACTGCGGACATGGGTCGCCTGGTCCCATCTATCATATTTGCTTTTTACTGCTGAACCAGAAAAATGTCCATCCAACTGACAGGGACATTTATGAAAATCCAGTTAAAGATGGGCCATAAGCCCAGTGGATGAGCATTTGCCCTGTCATGTAATGCGTCACTAAGCCGGCCACAGAGTCACGTTCTAGAGCCAGCCTTTTACTAACTAGCTGGTGGCTGAGAACCATTGACACCTGGGTCCATGCCCAGCTGGAGATGAAAATTCAACCAGCTAATGGGCAGGCGGCATGGCAGAGAGAACATCAGCTCCTTAGTGTATTTGGTCCTCAGGATTTTCTCCAGGTGATACTTCCTCCTCAGCCATTCCTTGCCTGGCCAGAATGTGTCACTGAGCTGTGATAATGCCTTTTCCTTGCCAGGTTGGAGGTTAAAGATGGGTGGTTTGAGTGTGTAGAAACTAGTATATTGCTCTAAGGTAGCGTTTACATCTTTTAATGAGGGTGGAAGAGGAGAGCGCAAAATATGGTCTGAAGCTCAACATCAAAAAAACTAAGATCATGGCCACTGGTCCCACCACCTCCTGGCAAACAGATGGGGAAGAAATGGAGGCAGTGAGAGATTTTACTTTCTTGGGCTCCATGATCACTGCAGATGGTGACTGCAGTCACAAAATTAAAAGACGCCTGCTTCTTGGGAGAAAAGCAATGACAAACCTAGACAGCATCTTAAAAAGCAGAGACATCACCTTGCCAACAAAGGTCCATATACTATATTTTTTGCACCATAACACTCACTTTTTTCCTCCTAGAAAGTAAGGGGAAATGTCTGTGCATGTTATGGAGCAAATGCCTGCGGGTGGCAGGGGGGATCTGCTGCAGTCGTGAGCAGAGGATCCATGGTTTCCCTTCCTTCTCTCCTCCATGGTTACAAAGCATGGATCCACATGGATCCTCAGGATTTTTGCATTTGGCTACTCCAAACTCACTGTCAGATCACATGTCTGTGGCCACAGCATGAACCACAAAAATCATATATCCACTATTTCATTTAGAATATTTTTTTTCTTGTTTTCCTCCTCTTAAAAACTACGTGCGTGTTATGGCCTGGTGCGTGTTATAGAGCGAAAAATACGGTAGTTAAAGCTATGGTTTTCCCAGTAGTGATGTATGGTAGCGAGAGCTGGACCATAAAGAAGGCTGATCGCCAAAGAATTGATGCTTTTGAATTATGGTGCTGGAGGAGACTCTTGAGAGTCCCATGGACTGCAAGAAGATCAAACCTATCCATTCTTAAGGAAATCAGCCCTGAGTGCTCACTGGAAGGACAGATCCTGAAGCTGAGGCTCCAATACTTTGGCCACCTCATGAGAAGAGAAGACTCCCTGGAAAAGACCATGTTGGGAAAGATGGAGGGCACAAGGAGAAGGGGACGACAGAGGACGAGATGGTTGGACAGTGTTCTGGAAGCTACCAGCATGAGTTTGACCAAACTGCAGGAGGCAGTGGAAGACAGGAGTTCCTGGCGTGCTCTGGTCCATGGGGTCACAAAGAGTCGGACACGACTAAACGACTAAACTACAACAAAGTGTTCACATTCATTGAGCCACCCCACTTTTGCCCGTGGACATGCCCGCCACTGGAATGCGGCCCCCAGAAAGCTGTCCCAGAACAGAATGTGGCCCTCGGGCTGGAAAAGATTCCCCACTGCTGGGAAAGAGAAACCCTGAGCACATCCCTCAATCCCTTCCGACTGCCTTCCTTCCTAGCTGCATACTTCTTGTCCCCAGCCCTGGATGCAGGAACTAAGTCACTCCAAGGACAACGGGAGATGGTTTTAAGCGCTGCAGTCTTTGATGAAAGGAGATGCAGAGAGGGGTGGAGAGGGGTTGGAGCTTCAACGTGGAAGGGATGAATTGTTAGAAAGCACCCAGCCTTCAGAACAAGGTCTGACATGCTTTATGACAAGACTTTGGAGTTCTCTGACAAAAGGCAGAGAGAAATATAGAGGGAAAGGGGTGGCTCACTTAAATGGCTTGAAAGAAACTAGATATCATTACTGAACCGCGCAAGAGAGAAAGCAAACATGCTGAGTTGACTCTCTCCTCAACCTGCCCCCCCTTTCTCCAGCCCCTTCTATGCACCCTCAAAGCATCTCCAAGGAGTCAGGGAGGAACAGACGGAAGCTTGCAGGTGGGCCGGTGGTTGGGCTGATTCCCGGCTCAGCACAGATAATGGAGCCTCTGGCTGGACTCCAGGGGAGAAGTAATGAGTTCAAATCGATCTGATGCTATGGTTGGGGCTCCGGGGAGTGAAGGCAAAACAGAAGAGAGGGTAAAACAATTTGCAGTATATAAAACAGAGTGGTAACCAGACCTGTGGGAGAAGCTCCCCTCACCCCCTCGCTGTATCCATTTCAAATGACCAAGAAAAGATCCACAGAGACTGTATCCCTCAAGGACACATGTCCCTTTCCCCCAAGATTGGATCCGGCCCATCTAGAACTCAGCCAAAAGTATGAATGGAAGACAATGCCCACCTAGAGAACAATATCCCCAGAAAGACAGCCTGCCTTCTCTTGGTAGAGCTCACCTGAAATCCCAAAATTACTAATTGCAGATCTGAACTAGGGTAATTAGAACCAGGGATTGGGGGAGGGGGAGACAAGGGAAGGAAGCCCCCCCCCCCCCGAAGGTAGCAAGGAACTTTTGGATCAATACAAAAGACTTTGGCGCCAGAGGCGGAAGACCCAGACTCTTAAGCAAAGGAGTTGCAGGGGAGACTGGCCTCAAGTTTGTGGTGTGCAAACACAGACGTTTGCTTAGCAAACAGACAAGACTGATGGAGACAAAAATTGGGTGGAGCAATGGATATAATTTTTACCCCTTTACAGTAGGCAAGCTTTTACACACTCCCTTTCCTAGCCTGCACCCAAACCAGCATCATAATAATAATAATAATAATAATAATAACAACAACAACAACATTTATATCCCGCACATTCTGGACAGCTTACAGTATATTTAAAAACACAATAAACATGATAAAACCATCAAAAATCCCCCAATATAGGGCTGCCTTTAGATTAAAGAATTATCAGAATTCAAGACAGGCAGAAACACCTCTAAAGGGCCGCAAAGAGAGGCCTAGAGGGCCACATTTTTTAAAAAAACAATTTTTATTGATTTACAACACAAACATACAATTTTAGCCAATCTTTAACAAACAAATTCTCTCTTTTTGGACTTCCCTCAGCTTCTCTGTCAATCATCCATCTTTACCTCTTAATTACGCATTCCTTCTCATTAGTATTGTCATTAATCTTCCCTCCCACTTCTCTTATTTCTTTTAACAATACATCTCAAATTTCACAGTGCTTCTTGAAATCCCACTAACGTTGTTTGAACATCACATGTGTTCCTAGAGGGCCACATTTGGCCCCTCAGGCATCTAGTTCCCCACCCCAGTATGATCCTATTGAGTCAGGGTGATGTAAACCACCCCCCAACTCAATTAAGCAAAAGGTTAATAAAGGCAGGAAACCATTAGTGAGCTGCAAAGGAAACTGGAGCATAAGCTTGCAGTGAGGAAGACTTAATGGCGTAGAAACCGTGGGCAAGGAAGGATGGAGCCGTCTCTCCGGCAGGAAAACCCCACTCTCCATCACGGAGGGAAATATGAAAATCTCTCTCCCTCTCTCCCTTGCAGCCCAGTTACTGTAAATTGCAATCAATATTCACTACATTTAGCCTTAAAGACTATTATAACCTCCATCACAGCAAATATATTTCTATACAACAAGGTCAAGCCCCCCTCATAAGCTTGCAGGAAGCCGGCGTCATAAGACTGAGCAGACTTTTCCAAGACTTCTAAGAACTGATCTTTGTGGGATCTAGACGCCTACAGCAAAAAAAAGGGGAACCAAAATTTCAGACATGTGAGGTGGAAGACTGGACTCTGCAGGGAGAGGAAAAGCAAAATAGATGGTGTAATGGAAAGAAGAGAAGATTGCAAGGTAAGCAATCAGTTCACACCACTGGCAAGGTATCTGTACCCCTTGGCAGCTGTTGGGTGGAGAGGAAGAGAAAGAAGGGGTAGAAGGAAAGAAAGAGATGGGGGAAAGGGGTACCCTACTTTGGGGTCTGGTTCCTCCCGCTGCTGGCTACATCGCTCTCCACCATCAACTCTGGACCCCAAAATACCCCCCTCAAAGGGATGCACATCCTTTCACAGGGGGAAAAATAATCCTCGTATCCGTGGTCCACGGGCTGCTTCTGGGTGAACTCTTTATCCCAATATTCCAAATTTGGACTGCCCCCTCTCCAGCACAGAAAGAGAATCAAGGAAAGGAAAGGAAGAATTATATTTAAAAAAAATCAGCCTAAAATAGCCTGCACTGCAGAGGTCGATAAATAGATGGAAAATGTGACACAGCTGAAACATTTTGACTATACAGACTGTCGGAAGGATGGAATTTATGAAGAGAGCCAAAGTAGATAAAAGAAAAAAGAAAAGAGGTTCTTCATTATTGGGGCAACTGAGATAAAAGTGCAGGTAGGAATGGGCAAGCTTTCAAGCTTCGCAGAAATCTTCATCGCAAAACCGCCTCCATTTCTAGACTTTGCTTCCCCCATGCCTGGAGGGCAGGAAGCTGCAAAGCCAAGTCAAGCCACGCGAAGGTTGATGTCAGAATACCAGTCCACCCATGTGCCCTCCTCATCCATCTACAACGCCCCCCCCCCTTGGCACCAACCATTTCCTGCCGGTGCCATGAGCTCATGGCCCAAGAATTGCCTAGCGTGCGCCACTCAGCACAAGTCAGAAAACGTGCCTTTTGTTAGCCCGCTGTCCGAAAGCTGGCACCCGGCTCGTGGCTGGCACGTCGGATCAGCTGCTGCCAACGCTCTCAGGGAAAGGAGGGGGTTGTGCATGTGAGGGAGGGGGCGCAGGCCAGTTGGCGAAAGTGAGAGCTTGGTCCCACCAGCATTTGAGACAGATGGAAATGGCAAGGGGGAATGAACTCGTGAAAGGTTTCTTCACTCCTGCATGCATTTCTGTTTAGGAATCACAGTCCCAACCAACTTCGCTCTTCTTCTGGACTGGGAACTCACTCACTAGGCAACCCTCCCCCCTGTCAGGCAGGCCTCAGGCCTGAGGAAAGAGTTCAGAGGGGTCCACCCCTCCTCTCCCCTCCCTCTTTTTGGGAAGGCGAGTGGGAGCCCGCCAACACAATGGCTTTATTCAGGGCGCAGAAGGCCGCAAGGAGCCCTGGGGAACTTTCCAAGCCGGGGCAAAGGACACAGCAGAGACCGGCTGGAAACAGAGACCCGATTCTCCACGAAAAACGTCTCCAGTTTCCAAACGCCCACCGAGTTCTGCCTGAACGAAGGGAGGGGGTGGGGGAAGCAGAGGAGGGGGCTGCTGAGGTTTTCGAGCCAAGATCCATCTGCAGCAAAGGTCCTATGCAGGTCCCAAATGGGTACGGGGGCAGCCCTGTCCAACTGTGTTGTCAGATAAAAGCTGCTCAAATGAACCCCCCCCCAAAGGTCATTTGGGGGCATCTAAAGCAAGAGATACACCCACTGCAGGTTCCATGGACATGAAAATGAAGTATAGACACTATATGCTGAAGACTCCAATTCTGGGGGGAGAAGAGGATTAATCCTTAATAGACATATAGGAACCATGACACTGTTAACAAGCAGCTTTAAGAATACACAAGATTAGAAAATTAGCATTATTCTGTCTATTTAGCCCTGTCCTTTCTTCTCCTGAAATTTCCTTCCCTCTCTCCCTCTGAGAAGACTCATCTGAAGTTAGGTTTCCAACCCGGCTGCCACTGGAAAACAATTCGCTACACCTTTTGCCATTTATCCACCCTTTTGAGCACTCCCAACTACCTCCATTTCATTTATTTCATTTATTATTCCCACCCTGTCCACCAAGGAGCCCGGAGTGGGGTGCCTGGTCCCTCCCCTTTCCTCCTCACAACGACCCTGCGAGGTAGGCCAAGAGCGTGGTTAGCCCAACGTCACCCAATGAACTGTAGAGCTGAGCAGGGGTCTCGCAGCCCACAGCTCCCCCTGTTGCCAATTCAACACTCTACCTCAGGAAAGGGATGACCTTTCAGGTGTTGCTGGACTACAGCTCCCATCGCCCCCCGAACGCTGGCTTCACTAGCTAGGAGCTGTAGTCCATTAACATCTTTAGAGCCACAGGTTCCTCAACCCTGATCAAAGTGATCATAGATTATAGTATCTAAGAGTTGGAAGGGACACCAAGGATCATCTAGCCCAACCCCCTGCGATACAGGAATCCTGCCCACAGCCATCCTTGTGCAGGTTCAAACCACCAACCTTCTGGTTAACAACCAGATATTGAGGTGCTGCCTGCTTAGGTAGACCACTGGAGGGGTTCTAGGTCATTGCTTTGCATGCAGGAGGGCCCTATATTCAATCCCTAACATCTTCAAATAGCCAGTACCAACCACCCATTGCTCAATCTGATCAGAGCCAACTGAACAGCATCTTCAGATCTGGTTTGGGTACAATTGGTACAGGCTCTGATTTAGCACCGAAGTGGAACTGAGTATAGAAAAAATGATCGTGTAATAGTCAAGCCAAGCCTTTATGGAATTCATTTCCAGTATTAACCACACAGCCCACTATTAGAGAGATCTCTGCTTCCACGAAGTCCAGGCATCCACTTTTAAATTCCGAAGAAATACTCATTAACTGGCAGGTAATTGCATGAAACCACAGCAGGGCTGAGCAGGGTAGGGAAACAGCACAGAATTACGATTAGAAGGGGAAGATGAGAAACCGGCAGATCATATTTTACTTGCTTTTAGCTAATTTTGCCAAAAAGAGCTAAGCCAATCAGGCACAGAGCAACATTATGATGGAGCGGCAACTGGCAGACCTCTGAAGGAGTGGGGGGAATCTGAGAGACAAACTTACAACTCCTACATCTATGGCAATGGAGGGGAGCCAACGTAGTGCTTTCCAGATGCAGGGGAACTATCATCCTGGGGCTGATGGGAGTTGTAGTCCGACAGCATCTGGAGAGCAGATTGGCTACTCTTAACCAAGGGGGATTTGCTTTATTCTGAAGCCAGCATTCTTCAAATTCTGGCAACTTAAAAACAAAAAATCCAAATGCTGTACGAGGTTATTCATTGAGTCCACATTTCTATCCCAAAGTGCAGGTTATAATCTAAAAGAAAACAAGAGATTAAAATGCTACTTAGTAAAACCTTAAACCCACTAGAAGGTGCTTACATTGACATACAGAGCCCGAAGTGACTTGGGGCCCCACATTTCTGAAGTAGTGACTTCTCTCATGTTCAGGTGTTGAGATCTGCAGGGAATGCTCTGACAGGGACTTCTCTGTAGTAGCCTCCCAGTTGTGAAATGCCCTCCCTTTTGAGCTGCGTCTGGTCTCATCGCTGTATACATTTCAACACTGGGGTCAAGAGGACCCACCATTCTGCACAGGCTTTGGGTGAAGGAGGAGGTCAGAAAACCCCTTCCATTGCAGTGCTGTTGCTCTTTCTCACTGCCACTGATTTGGTTCTATTCATGGTCTAGTAAGGTTTATGCATTGCTTGCTGTATTGAGATGTAGGGGGGGGGGTAAAGGACCCCTGGACGGTTAAGTCCAGTCAAAGGCGACTATGGGGTTGCAGCGCTCATCTCACTTTCAGGCCAAGGGAGCCAGACAGCTTTCCGGGTCATGTGGCCAGCATGACTAAACTGCTTCTGGTGCAATGGAACACTGTGATGGAAACCAGAGTGCATGGAAATGCCGTTTACCTTCCCACCACAGCGGTACCTATTTATCAACTTGCACTGGTGTGCTTTCAAACTGCTAGGTTGGCAGGAGCTGGAACAGAGCAACGGGAGCTCACTCTGTCACGGGGATTCAAACGGCCAACCTTCTGATCGGCAAGCCCAAGAGGCTCAGTGGTTTAGACCACAGCCCGTCCTGGGACAGCGTAGTGAAGGGTGAACTAAAAATGTGTATATTAAATCTCCCCTCTTGAAGAGCTTGGGCAGGAAGCTTTCACAAAAACCTACAGGAAAGTGTAGCTTGCTCCTTTTGCCTTCAACATCTCCTACAGTGAAAGCAGCACATGAAATGGCTTTGTTAGTGTGCATTTAGGTGTTTGTAAGTACACACCCCAGGCTTTAAGCTGAGAAAAAATGGCATTCTCTACGCTGGAGGAGTTCCCCCATCATCGCTGAGTGAGGTGACAGTTACTAGCATGTCCCAACCACCTTAGGTCCAGGACCCTGCCTTGGACAAATCACTATCCCTGGCTCAGTTTTCCCAATCCATACAATGGGAACATCAGTGACCCTACTCATAGGGGAAATCAAATCGAAGTCTAAGAAGCTATTAGCAAATGAAAGAACTGGCAGAAAGGTGGGAAACAGTGGCAGAGGGCAAGCGGTCAGTTTTCTACCTGGAAAGCAACTGCAGGAAAAGAGAGAAAGAAAAGAAATGAATGTGTCAAAATAAGTCCGGGTGGAAATATAACTAGCAGAATAAAGCCCTTGTTAGAGCGAGAGCTGGGGGGGGGGGTGTCCTTTGGAGGGGGGGGGCTGTGTGCCAGATTTGGAATGGGAACAATCTGGACGTTTCAGCTTTCCAGCTTTGCTCACTTCCCCAGCCCAGGCCCCATCTGTTTGGTGTTTGCAGCTCAGCCTCCCAGGTGACAAGTCTTGCAGCCCCGACAGTACAGTCGTCAGAAGCAGGCCTTTTGTTGTTGAAATTTCTTTGGCAGGTGAACGTGGGCAAAGGATGCTTCTGGCTTGGAGCGTGTGCTTGTGTGCACACAATTACACACATATAACGTGGAAGGAAAACTCTGTCTGTGAAGGAGAGGGACCTGTCCTTGCCCACAAACAGATTTTCTTTGTTTTGGGATGGATGTTTCTAAACCTTCCCCCAAAGGCAAAATAAATTAAAATATCCCAAACATCAACCTCGGCTTTAAGAATATTTATTTTTCCTTTTTTAAAGCGCAACACTTAACTGCTATCTTTCATTTTCTGCTGACCAGGCCGATCTAGTAGGAACCGAACAAGCACAGAGACAAAGCACTGTGGCTTGCACTCTCAAGAACCCTGTGATGTAGGTGACCTGTTTTCCTGCATTTTCTATACGACACGGAGCAGAGGTGTGTGGAGAGAGTGGTTTGACCAGAGAAAGCCAGTGTCAAGGAGAAACCAGTTTTCACTCAGAACTCCAGAGCTAAAGCATTTGGGGAAGGCTGGGGAGTTTTTTTAGAAGAAAAATTGAATACTAAGAAGTGGCACAATACATTTATTCGCAGTATGGAGAAAGTGGAGAAAAATTAAGTTTTTTCTCCCAGTTTCCCATTCTTCTAGAACTTGGGTCCACGGCATAACTTCTTCATACCCTGTCTAGCTAATCAGCAGAATTCACTGCCCTAAGATGTGCTGATGGACATATGACCTCAAATGGCTTTTAAAGGGGGCAATTAGACAAATTTATGGAGGCGAAGAGGTCTACCAATGGCCACTAGTCATCATGAAGGCCAAGTAAAACCCAGGTTCAGGGGACAACAGTGGGGAAAGCTCTTGCCTCCAAGCCCTGCGTGGTGCTGATAATGCCAAGGTTGCAGGTTTGATCCCCGTGTGGGACAGCTGCATATTCCTGCATTGCAAGGGCTTGGACTAGACGATCCACTGGGTCCCTTCCAACTCTACAATTCTATGATTCTCTCTCAGCCTAGATAGCTCCATTGGTTAGAACTCCCTGGAGGCATGTGCTTGGCCACTACAGAAAGCAAGATGGAGGACTAGGTGGGCTTTTGCTCCAATCCAGCAGGGCTCAGCCACACAATTCTTCAGAGGCACCAGCCTTTGGGCTGGAACTAGTTGAGAGCTACAGGTGCCTATTTAATTCCTACTTGCATTTCAACCACCAGAATCACCTGTGCTACAAAATCTGTTTCCAAAGACCTGTCAGCTGCTGGAGAGAGAGGGGTGAGGGTTCTGTCAGTCTTCAGGGTGATGTAGAGGCCTGCAGAACCTGATTTTCCTGTATGGTGTTGGCCGAAGGGATATATATGGGTGGGACAGCAAAAAAAAAAAAGGCATTTGTCACCAAGCTGCTAGGAAAAGGAAGATCAACCTGGCTACTACCCCCAGGTTGACCCAACAGCCCAAATTCTTCCCCTGTGATGTCATTTATGGAGAGTTAAAAGGAAGGGGGTAGTTGACACACATGCTCACTCCTCAGAAACCCTTCTCTCTACAACAACCGAAATGAATTTGCATTCTTAGCACGCATATCAAACACACAAACATGCAGCGAGATAACTTTAGTCCCGTTAATATTATTATTTATTCAACCTATGACCTACCCTTCACTGTCAAGGTTCAAGGGTGAGTCACATCAATTTAAAATAAAATATTTAAAAAATAGTTTGAAGAAAGGAAGGATGCTGAGAAGGCTCAGCAAAGCCCTGCTGACACTCTGGCTCACGAGGAGACCCTCCCTGGAGCCTGAAGAGGTCTTCTTTGGGCTCTGGGGTAGGTCTCCTCAGGAGCCAGGAGGACTCTGCTCCCCATTTTGCGCAATTTTTTGTATGTGCAGGGGGGTTCGGAATGCAACCCCCACGTAAATGTGGAGTCACATGTAAAACAAAACAAAATGCACACTGCTGCACTCAGGTCCTGCTTGCGGGGTTTTCCTCTGGCCGGCCACCATGCAAAGAGGATTCCCGACTAGATGAGCCACAGGCTTGATCCAGGAGGCTCTCCTTTTCTTCTTATCTCCATGTCTTCTTACTTACAACCAGCCAGGGGTATCTCTATCCTTCAATGGCTTTGACTCTACCTACTGTTGGTCTTGGGACGCGGGTGGCGCTGTGGGTTAAACCACTGAGCCTAGGGCTTGCCGATCAGAAGGTCGGCGGTTTGAATCCCCGCAACGGGGTGAGCTCCTGTTGCTTGGTCCCTGCTTCTGCCAACCTAGCAGTTCAAAAGCACATCAAGTGCAAGTAGATAAATAGGTACCGCTCCTGCGGGAAGGTAAATGGCGTTTCCGTGCGCTGCTCTGGTTTGCCAGAAGCAGCTCAGTCATGCTGGCCACATGACCCAGAAGCTGTACGCCGACTCCCTCGGCCAATAAAGCGCAGTGGCGTAGCGTGGGGGGTGCAGGGGGGGCCGGCCGCACCAGGCGCAACATCTGGGGCTTAGGGTTAGGGGGCACAAATCCACGGGTTAGGGGGCGCAAATTACTTGCCTTGCCCCGGGTGCTGACAACCCACGCTACGCCACTGATAAAGCGAGGTGAGTGCCGCAACCCCAGAGTCGGCCACAACTGGACCTAATGGTCTGGGGTCCCTTTACCTTTACTGTTGGTCTTCCTGCCTCCCTACAATTCCCGAATGCCCGGGCCCCAGCCAAAGCAGAACTGCACTGCTCTCCCCCACTACAGGCAACAAATGATGCTGGTGCAACAGCTTTGCCACCAGAAAGAAGCGCTTTCATTCAGCAGAAGCCAGCAAGAGAAGAACCGTTGCAAGAGGATCCACCATCCGACCCAGATGATTTCCAGATTGGGCGCAGCACACAGCTTTTTCTCTCCAGCATGCCCACAGAGACGGCTGGGCCAGGATGAGGACGGAGGGTCATGGGAGAAGCGCGCAGCAGCCTGACTCACAGGGAGGCAGGTTTCGGAGGGCCCTGCTTCAGCTAACCATATTTAGCTTGCCTGGGAACTATCAGGACGCAAGACTTGCAACCCGGCCAAGAATGACGGGACACCAGCCGGCCGCTTCCAAAAGACGAGGCAGATAAATAATTTTTAAAAGGGTTTGGATGGGAGTCAGCCAGGCAGAGAGAGCTCCTGTCTTGTGCGTGTCAGCCTGGAGAAGGGACAAAAGGAAAGAAACGGGATGCTCTGGCCCAGTGGGAATTTAACTCGCTTTGAGAACGGAAGAGGGGCTGGATGGGCAGGGAGAGAAGGAAGCTCCAAGCGGACAAAGCACAGAATAATAGGCATGCCAGAAGGGTTAAAATAGCATCTGGAGGAGATAAAAAAGGAAGAGCAGGGAAGGGCACTTGGGAGGGCGGAAAACTCCATAGAAGGGAAGGCGAAGGCTGCCTCCCATTACGAAGGAGTAGCCCAGGAGGGACCTGATTTATATTCCACTATCGCTCAACACGAGGTTGCATTTTCTTTTCCTATTTACTCACTGTATTTGTACCCCACCTTTCCTTCAAGGACCCTGAAGGACCCAGTACAACCCTGCAAGGTGTGTTAGGCTGAGAGGTAGCAAGTGGCCCAATAAGCTTCAAGGTGAACTGGGGATTTGAACCCCAGTCCAACATCCTAACCACTGCACCACACAGATGTTAAAAAGGTAAAGGGACCCCTGACCATTAGGTCCAGTCGCGCATGACTCTGGTGCTGCGGCACTCATCTTGCTTTATTGGCTGAGGGAGCCGGCGTACAGCTTCCGGGTCATGTGGCCAGCATGACTAAGCCGCTTCTGGCGAACCAGAGCAGCGCACGGAAACGTCGTTTACCTTCCCGCCGGAGCGGTACCTATTTATCTACAGTGGTACCTCGGGTTAAGAACTTAATTCATTCTGGAGGTCTGTTCTTAACCTGAAACTGTTCTTAACCTGAAGCACCACTTTAGCTAATGGGGCCTCCTGCTGCCACTGCTGCACGATTTCTGTTCTCATCCTGAAGCAAAGTTCTTAACCCAAGGTAATATTTCTGGGTTAGCAGAGTCTGTAACCTGAAGCGTATGTAACCCGAGGTACCACTGAACTTGCTTTTTGTGCTTTCAAACTGCTAGGTTGGCAGGGACAGAGCAACGGGAGCTCACTCTGTCACAGGGATTCAAACCGCCGACCTTCTGATCGGCAAGTCCTAGGCTCTGTGGATGTTACGTGTTCTATTAAAAAACCCATCCATGCGCACAATGCTTTACAAAGGCCCCATATGCACTCTACAGTTAAAGCAGCAGCATGGAACTTTAGACCAGGCATCCCCAAACTCAGCCCTCCAGATGTTTTGGGACTACAATTCCCATCACCCCTGACCACTGGTCCTGTTAGCTAGGGATGATGGGAGTTGTAGCCCCAAAACATTTGGAGGGAGAGTTTGGGGATGCCTGCTAGACAGTTGTGAGGCTGAACTCGCTGAGGCACTGGCCTGATCCCAGCAGGCTCGTCATTATGTTCCTATGTCCCTGAAATAATCCAGGGAACTGCGGTTTGTTAAGGGTGTCGAGAGTTGTCACGAGACCCCCTACTCCACCCTCAGAGCTACAATTCCTAGAGTTCCCTGGCAAGAGGGGTTGATTGCTAAATTTCCCCAAACTTGGGCCTCCAGCTGTTTTTGGACTACAGTGCCCATCATCCCTGACTACTGGTCCTGCTAGCTTGGAATAATAGGAATTGTAGTCAAGAAACAGCTGGAGACCCAAGTCTGGGAAACCCTACTTTATAGCCTCCCTCAAATCTACCGTTTCACATGAAAGTTAAGGGAGTGTTGGGAGGGAAGACCTCACTGAGAGCGAAGTACCTCTTTGCTACAAAAGCACCTGTCAAGCTTTGCATGTGATTTAGCAAGCTTTTAAAGCACAATGTGTACCTTCGCACAGGAACCAGAAAGGTCAGTCTTTGCAGGGAAGGAAACAGATCAGCTCAGACTCACTGGAAGAGAATGATGTTCGGGGCACGACTTTGGGTCAAACGCTCCCTGGCTCCAGCCTTTTCTTGGGGGCGACAGCTCAGAGGCAAGAGGCTGCCGTATATGCCGGGGTAGGCAACCTAAGGCCCGGGGGCCGGATGCGGCCCAATTGCCTTCTAAATCCGGCCCACGGATGGTCCAGGAATCAGCGTGTTTTCACATGAGTAGAATGTGTCCTTTTATTTAAAATGCACCTCTGGGTTATTTGTGAGGCCTGCTTGGTGTTTTTACATGAGTGGAATGTGTGCTTTTATTTAAAATGCACCCCTGGGTTATTTGTGGGGCATAGAAATTCATTCATCCCCCCCCCCCAAAAAAAAAATATAGTCCGGCCCACCACAAGGTCTGAGGGACGGGGGACCGGCCCACAGCTGGAAAAGGTTGCTGACCCCTGGTATACGCAGTGGGCCTCGGGTCCAATCTCATGCCCCTCCAGCTAAACGACAACAAGGTTACCTCAAATATCCCAGAAAGCTGCTAGCAGTCCAGGTGGACAGTACTGAGCTCGATGGAACAATGGCCTGTCTCACTCAGTGCAGAAGGCAGTGTTTGTGTGTTCTCAGCCCATGGAATGGGTCCCTCACTGGGAAAAGGAGTGAGAGTTTTCGGGAGGGGCTGTGAGGAGTTACTATCATACCAGAGTCACGCCTCTCCCACCCCCAAGCCTAAGCTGTTTAACATTCCTGGCCCTTGTTGTACATAGCAATCCTCCTCCAAGTTTTCGCCTTTTCTCTTCCTCACACCCTTTTTAAGCTTGACTTTGCCCATCCCCTCTGGAAGACTGCATTTAAGGCAAGGAGGGCTCAGAATGTACCCCGCAGTGCAGATCATCATATCTCCCCCAAAAAAGTATTGCATTTCTCACTTTGACACCAAAAACAAAGCTGTAGCCTACTCAGAGTAGACCCACTGAAGTTAACAGGCACGATGACCGTAGGTTCATTAATTTTAGTGGGTCTACTCTGAGTACAGCTTAGTTGAATACAACCCAAAGGGTGGAAATTCAACATAGTGTTTAACCAGCAGAAAGGCTCTCCCTTCTCCTCCCATCCCACAGTGTTTTGAGGGTTCATCTGATCCTCCAGAGCAGATTTCGGGAAGGTTGGGAGAGGGGTAGGAAGCAGGGAAACTTTGCACTGGCTTCTGCTACCAGAACAGGGTAGCTGAATTGGGCCTTAAGTTTCTGGTCCCCATGGTTTGTTTGCCAAGCTGAAGGACTTGTTCCGGTTGCAGAGGTCATGCCAACACCACAAACATAGGAGTGCCTTAAAAATCACGACTAGCACCCTTGTTCCCAGAACTTCTGGACTCTCGTTATCCACACCAAACGACCATTTCCAGCATTCCTTCAAGTTGCAGTGGTTACACTGGTTTTAAGACGCTACTTGTTCCAATAATGTGCAGGCACCCACAGACAATTCTGCTGGGTCCTTTTTAGTGGCCACAAGGGGGCAAGTGCTAGCCAGGGTCCAGTCCGTACCTACACAATTCCGAGGCAGGAAGTACACTCACTTAGGCTGTTGTTCATGTTACTTTTGCTCCCATGACAATCCTGTGAAGGAGGACAGTATTTTAAGTTCCCCTTCTCCAGAACCAAAGCACACCGTAGCCACTTTCTGTGCAAAGAAGCCAGAGCAGATGTGAAATGTGGAGAAAAGTTCATAGCTCCATGGTAGACCACCTACTTTGCAAGATAAGCTCCCAGGTTCATTCTCTTGGAATGTCTGGAACTCTGGACAGCTGCTGCCAGCCAGTGTAAGCAATACTGTGCTACATGGGCTGAGGGTCTGACTCAGTTACAAGGCAGCTTCCTGTGTCCCTGTGAGATCAGGCCCTCAGATCCTAAGTGAGCTCTTTGTTCATTGATCCACACTGGCTCTGACTCAAGGAAACCAATTAAACAAGCCGTGTTAAGAGGATGATGAGCAACTATGACCTCATCCATCAGAAGAATTACAAGTTCAGTCATTAAGGTGTGAGGAAATTACACATAACTATAAACGGGAGGGGGGAAGAGTGAGCAAGAACCTGATTGACTGTGAGCATCAAGCATAAGGGGGTTCATCATTCAGATCCTCTCTCTCTATTTTAAAAAATATATTTTTAAGTTTTCAATTTTACACCTTAAAATAAACATTTTACATACTGTTAAATATCCAGAGACTTCCCTCCTTCTCTTTCCTTGGTTTATTAGTCTTTCATTCCTGCATATTTTGCTATAACCATATTAATCTGTTCTCTGCTTTTACATCACTCAAACATTAATTACACTGTTGATGTTATCTCCAGGCTGCCAGAGCATTCAGATCCTGTCTCCTTGGGATAGACATTCTCTCTGCCCCTGCAATGTGCCCTATTTTACAAAGTCAGAGGAGTGTAAATATGAGAGTGTTGGGACTGGGAGCTGGCAGACCAGGGTCCCAATCCCCATGTTGCCTAGCCTACCTCTCAGGCTGTTATGAGGATAGCAATTGAGAGGTTGGGGAGGAGAATAAACAAACAGTGTAGACCACCCTGAGCTCCTTGGAGGAAATGTGATACATAGACATTAAGAACCAATAATAAATAAAATAAGCATTAAAGCAAGATTAATGGGTGGTGCCACAAACACTCTGAACCAGTGGAAGCAGGTCCATTTGAGCAGATGGGGCGTTGCCCCATCAACCATAGTCAATACCCCCACCTCAGTGTTTGAAATTCGCTAGGCACATTTTGCTCCTGGCCACTTGCGACCAAATGAAGATGCCCAGGTGCCAGGATGGTGACTGGCAGCTCCACCATCTGGAGACGCAAGCCTGAGGATCTTTGGATCCCCACTGTTTTCACACATGAGCAACACATCCTGTAGAATTCTATCCACAATATTTTATCTGCACCATCAAAATGAATTTCAGGAACCAAAAGCTTGTATTGAAAAATGCAACTTTCAAGCCATCTTGGCCCCCCAAAATGGCAACTAGGCATTCCGTTTTGGCGACTGTAAGCCTGGTTTAAGGAGCCATTTGGCGCCTAGCTTGTATATCTGAGTTTCTAACACTGCCCCACCTGCCTGCCTCCTTGCTTACTATCAGAGCAGGGGCTGGCACTGCCTGTGAGATTCTTCCTCTTTGGCAGGGGTCAGCAAACGTTTTCAGCAGGGGGCCGGTCCACTGTCCCTCAGACCTTGTGAGGGGCCGGACTATATTTTTTGGGGGGGTGGGGGGTTGAACGAATTCCTATACCCCACAAATAACCCAGAGATGCATTTTAAGTAAAAGCACACATTCTACTCATGGAGAAATACCAGGCAGGCCCCACAAATAACCCAGAGATGCATTTTAAATAAAAGGACACATTCTACTCATGTAAAAACATGCTGATTCCCAGACCATCCGTGGGCCGGATTTAGAAGGCAATTAGGCCAGATCCAGCCCCCCCCCCCGCCCCCGGCCTTAGTTTGCCTACCCATGCTCTTTGGCCTCAGCGCTGTCCTTGTTGAACTCAGCAGGGAGGAGGATAAGAATAAAAGTGGAATTACTTCTGCCAATCTCTGACTGTGGCTCCGCCTTCTCTTGGTCCCTCTCTGCCCTCCCAGTCCCAAAGGACACCAGCCACCAGTTATTTAAAGCGATATCTAAAAGCTATGTTATAATGAATTAATACACCAGTTAGCCTCTCATGGGGACCAGCAAACCAGTGGCCGTTTGGTTAGCAGTGAGACTGCTCTCCTTAGTCCACAGGAACCAGGAAATTATTATTCCCCCCCCCTTACATCCCAAGGATGTATCAAATACATAGGAGAGCCCCAGGTGAGCAGCTTGCTCTGGGCTCCTAAAAATAAACCAGTATGATGTTAGGAATGTGCCCAGCCCTGCAGCTACACACTGAAAGGCCGTCCTTCCCACAGCCATCACTGCAGCAGCAGACTTCACAAAGAAAGACAGCAGCCGAGCCGTGGTGGGAAGTGCTGAGCAGGCCATTCCCATTAGCCAGGGGGTGGGGAGTGGAATTCAGGCAGGAGTCCAAACGACAGAGCCTCTTTGCAGATATTTTATGGCTCAGCTTCTGGGATGAGGGCTTGAGGAGATCTCACGAGCCGCATGGGACACCAACTGCAAATTCTTCCCAGTTGCTAATGTTACCCTTCCGCTTACTCTGAAGGGGCAGCACATACACCCGCTTGTTTTATGCAAGGCGGGGCAGGGAAATAAATTTAAAATGCATAGCTGGGGCTGCGCATGACCCCACACAGCAAGGTCAGAACGCCATAGGAGTGTAGGAGGCTGCCTTATAATGAACCACACCTTCGGTTTATCTAGTTCAGTATTGTCTAAAGTGACCAGCAGCGGCTCTGATGGGCACCATTATATCCTGGAGGTCTTCCCTGCTGCCCACAAAGCCCCAAAGCCAGCGGTTCTCAACCTGTGGGTCCCCATCATCCCTGAGCTCTGGCCTTGCTAGCTAGGGGTGATGGGAGTGGTAGTTCAACAACATCTGGGGACCCACAGGTTGAGAAAGGCTGCCCTAAGCCTTCCCCACCCCAACACATGCAAACACTCACTGCCCCCTTGAAAGTGATGAGAGTGGCTACTTTTTTCCCTTAAAAAGTACACAGAGGTGAAGGATAGAGGGCTGGGCGATATATCGCCCAAAACTGGTTTGAAGTCCATATTTTGATATTGGTTTCATAATTTTTTGTCCTGGCAATAGATCACGAATGATGATAAGTTTATACTCATGCTACACAAAAATAATCAGGTGGGGAAAACTGTTAAGCCAGCCAATGCCTTTACATAGCTCCACCTTTATTTCAGACATTGTGATATACCAGTATATATATCATGATATATCATGATGTTGAAAACTAGATATCATCCAGCCCTATTCAGGTACCTCACTATTTTAAATGCAGTTGGGGTGTGTAGCTTATCCAGAGCAAGGCCTTTTTCGTGTTGGCACCTTTCTCTGCCCTTCGTTCCATTTTTGCTACTAGCTTTGCTGTAACAAAGTCACTGTAGCTTTGCTGTGTTATTTCAAAGGACTCCACAAGCCCTCTGAGTCGCCAGATAAGCCTCCCACCTCCCAATTGCCACTGACTCTATCTGTAAGCTTAAACTGCTACTTTACATAAATGTTAATGTGTTGACTATGCATCTCATTTCATTGTTGAGCACTGCCCTGGAGCGTTTGGGCAGAAAAGGCAGGTTATAAATATTTTAATGAGCAAGTAATAAATAAGCCAATACAAAAACAGGAAAAAAACTGTATTCCCTTATCTGAAGAAGTTTGCTCATCCTTTTACTGAAAACATACGCAGCAAAAAGAAAGCTTTGCACACACAAAACTGGAGACTGTTTGTACAAACGAAAGGAAATTGTTGTACAAACGTACAACAATTTGTCAGCTTTTGGTCACATGTAGAGTCCAAATTTTGAGATCCCCATTTTTGGAGGGCAGATACTGAACAGCATCTTTGGGGTGCATGCCTACAGGTTTGCTATGACACACCAACAGGAAAACTGGTGCCACAGCAGCAGCCTTAAAACTTACACTCTGGATGATGCCGCCGTTAAAATCTCAGACAAACAGGCTCCGATGATGCAGTCTGTTCCAGACAGAAGCTGAGCTCAGAGCATGTGCCCAGAATCCCTCTGTGCCCTCGTTTTTGGTGGGTGGGGGTGGGGAGGAGGCAATGCTGATCCTCCTGTCATCTCAACGGGGCTTTGGCTTCACTCACTTCTCAAAATCTATAAATGCTCCCTCTGTCCAAATCCCAGTGAACAAACTTAGCATTTGCCTAAACTTGTGGGGGAGACATGGGAACCTTCTCTTCAATAGATGGCCAACAGGAACTTTTGAGGAAGGGACTCAGCTCATGGGCAGAACAACAGCTTTGGATGCAGGTTCAATCCCCAACAGCATCTATCTCCAAGCAGGTCCTTTCCTGAAACCCTGGAGAGCTGCTGCCAGCCCGTGTAGGCAGCACTGAATTAGATGTCCCATTGACCTGACCTGGTATAAGAGATAGCTTCCTACCACCCTACCTCTGGCTTCAACCTTCCTCTCTAGGCATCTTAGAACAAGTCTTGCAGAATCAAGGGATGGGATGTTCCGCCCCCACCCCAAGTCTCTGCTTCACCCAGATCCTTTCCCCCATACTATGGGGGGGGGAGCGTGTAGAGCGGGGAGCCTGAGGCAGCCAAATTCACAATAAACAATCCCACTCAAAACAAAGCATGAGCTGGGGTGCTTAACCTGATTAAGACAGCTCAACCCCATGGGAGGGGGGGAAGGAGCGTGCTTTATTTCAGAACAATAGCGTCTGCCAGATAATAAACTGTGGCCATATAGTAAGACTCAGCACCCCGCTTACAGTACATACAATTATCAGTCTTCATAATCTACAACTCTTGATTATCAACGCTTCCCGCTGTGCACAGCATAGGAGGTGCACGGATCCTGCCCGGAGGGGCTCAAAACGTATACGAATATGTACTATAATAGGAACGGGGGCTGATGCACACCCCCTTCCACCAACCAGCCTCTCACGTCTGTAATAAAACTCCTCCCCCCCCCCCCAATTCTCAGTACTTGGGGGTGGGCAGATTGATCATTTGGGAAATCCCCGTCCTAACCCCTTTACAGTACAAAGGACAGGCTGTTTCCCTTCTGGGACTTCTCTTTACCCCACGAGGCTCAGAGGCCCTCGCAGAACGTGGAAGGTTTTGACACCCAAATATTCCGCAGTAAATTAAAGATGGGGGAAGGAAAGGGTTTGCAAAAGGGGAGAACATGGAGGGGTTTCTAGACAGCGCTTCTGATTTTCAAACGGGGGTCTCAGATATCGTTGGCAACAGGTTTTCCTTTCTTATTTTTTTTTAGCTTATTTTCCACATAGATCTGTGATTTAGGGGGGAGCTGGTATTTTTATGCCAACGATGTCGTGTGGACTCGGAGGGGGGGATACTTGCATGCATCAGGACCCCCAATCCCATGCAAAATATTTTTTAACAAAAATATGGGGGGAGGGGGAATCCAACCAAACCCCCCCCCACCTGGTGGGCCGGTTTGCACACAAGCGCAACGCAACACGCCCCCTTTTCTGCCACCAGTTGCAAATCACTTACAGTAGCGGTTACACCGCGGAGGAGAGGCAGTGAGAGAAGGTGGGTGTGTTTTTGCAAAACCCATTCTGCAAACTGTGTGCGTCTCCTTCCCCACCTGTGTGTGTTTATTTATATTTATATGAATCCAGCTCTAGACACCTCGAAATATGCATCTCCTTGTGGCTTGGACAGAAATACATTGGGTGGGGTGTGGAAGCAACCCCCCGGGGGGAACATTCACACCTTCGGTTCTAACACCATAAAAAACTAATCGTAGCAACCCGGGGAATCCTTGCAGAATTGGAATCGGAGTTCGGCAAGAGTTAACAAGACAAAGCACGTTTCTCCCGCGCCGCCTTGATTTGCAAACGGAGGGGAGCAGCGCCGCGGTGCCCAAGGCTTACCTGGGACAGCGCTGCCCTGCAAATCTGCAGCGCAAGTTGCCCGCTCAGCCCCTCTCCCTCTCCCTTTGTTGCCCGCCACTCACCTCTGCTGCAGCAGCAGCCGGCCAGGAGCAGGAGGCAGGCGCGGGCGAAGCTTGCAAGCCGGCAGCGACTCATTGTTCCTGGTGCCAGAGCCGAGAGTCCAAATGCATCGGAGGGGCTTGGAGGAGAAACCCAGAAAGCTGACGTCAGGTGCGAGGGGGAGGGAGCTGAATGCAGGGGGGGAGGGGGCTGCACTGCTCCGAGGGGGGGGATACACACCCACCCACCCACAAGAGCACCGGGAGCCCAGCCCTCCTCGCACGCTTGCTCCAGAAGACTCGCCTGCAACAGCAGAGAGGAGTCGCGCTTAAGCGGAGCGCCAGGGGGCGAGGCGAAAGCCTACCTTAGACCCCCTTTCTCGCTAGAGCCCTGCTCTTAAGGCAAGACTTCGGTGCAAAAAACCCCTGGAGGGGAGTCGAACCTTTTCAGCCCGTGGCAAAGCAAGGAAGCCTTAGTCCGTTGCAGCAAAAACAGACGAAGGGGCTTCTTCCTTCCAGACCCGGGTTTAATCCTGTTGCTCACAAACTGGTCGTGGGCAACAGGTTCTTCTTGTAATTGCTCTGGTTCCCCCCCCTCCGCCTGCTCAGAAAGGCTCGATCAGGATCAAGGCGGGGTGGGGTGAGGAGAAACAGGGGTTGGCATTTGACGAAGCTGCAAAAAAACCCTGCATCTATTTCCACCTGCCTGGAAAAGATGTTGTCTTACGTGCTATTTTTATTATATTCATTCATTTCCCTCCCTGTTGGTTGGGTCTATTGTCTTTTGCCATGCTGTTTTGCTTATAGCAAAATAAATTATGCTGTTTATTCTAAGCTGCCTTGAGGCTCCGTTTGCAACATGGTGGGATTAAAAAAACAAACAAACAATAACTCAATAAATAAAGATGGATGGTTGTGTTACTGACCGGTGCACTGGGACAGGAACTTTGCTAGGCTCTTTCCCCAGGGAACTGGAAAGCAGCAAACTGCTTCCAAGTGACAGGACAACCCAGACGACTGTTAGCTGAACATTCATCCTGGTTTATTTGCAAGGACATTAGACAACGTTGGCTATTTGATGAACACCCTGATTTGTGTGGAGATGAGGCGATGTTGCGCGAAGGCAAGTGTTATCCCACACTTTCCAGTACGTTTTTCGGTCATTTTCCTTAGTGAATAAAGTCATATTTTGGGAAAGCAGGCTGGTTGCACAACACCACCCAAACCAATTAGTACAGGCAATTCCCAATTTACATGGGGGTTACGTTCCAAGGTACCAGGTGTTTAAGTGAAATGGGGGTGTATTTGAAACATCATTGAAAAAGCTTGCAAACACCCCGTTCCAACCCTTTTTGTCGCGTTTTCGGGTCACTTCCAGGTTCAACGTGATGCACCCTTGTAGCGTCGCATGTGCCTTGAATGCACATAAATGGGGAGTTGCCTGTAACTTGAATTTGCTGGGATGTGACTGAATCCCACTCAGAAATAACAACAGGATGGAATTGCCTAAGGTATACCCAGAAGTAAGGTCCTGGCCACAGCTCATGGTTAATGAGGAGAGAGAGAGCTTAACTGTTCAAACAATGCATTAAACCAAACCTTAACTCAGCACAATAACAAAAAGGACAAAGGAAAGGGAACACTCCTCCCTCGGGGTCTCAGTAAACCAAGGTTTGGTGCAAACCAAGCTGATATGAACCGGTTATTGCAGCTGAAGATCAAAGCTTTGGTAAGCTCCAGTATCCTGAGCCACCTAATGCATTTCTAATATTTGTTTGTTGTTTTCAAATTGTAATTACACAATTGCAATTCCACCCCCTCCAAATATAGTCAGCAAGAACTAAAAGGGGCAGAAAACACAACCTCTAAGAGGTACGTAAAAGACAGCCAAACACAATCTCACCGTGGCTGAGTTAAGAAGTGAAGCTTCTTTTACTGTATTTACAGGAAGAAGGGATCAATCACAGCACATCTGGTATGACCAGCCAATCAGAGCACATTCTCTTCCCCGGGTTCAAATCCTTGCCGCTCCGCTTCCTCCAGTTAGTCCAGGCGTGGGACCTTTCCCATGATGTGGGCAACCTTCTGGGGGCTGCATTCAAGTGCTGGACGGGGCCAGAGGATCAATGGATGGGAGTGACTCCCAGCCTCTGTGCACTTGGCTGCATTTCAGCCAGGCGAGAGCCAGAGGTTTCTGTGCCTGCAGCTGCTGCCCACCCCCACCCCCACATCTCTCCATCATCCAAGTCAGCGAGAGGCATTCTCGTAATTGAAGGCCAACGCATTCAAAAGGGCGTGCAGAGCAGGGTGTGTAACTCTTAAACATGTGGTCGCTGGTTCTGAGGTTCCCTACCCCGCAGTCAGTCCATTAACCACTTTGGAAAAGGGTGTGTGTGGCTGTTGCCTTGGCAAGTGCTTCGTTCTGCAACAAAGCTTTCAGATTTACATTCCAGAGGAGCTGTGCAAGTGCAGAAATCCAAATATTTTTTAAATTATTATTTTAAATAATTTTTATTAAAGATTTTTGTTTACTAAAGCACATGCATTGTCTCTTGAAGGGCTGGCCGGTGTGACCTATCACCCGGCAAACTGCCAGATTGCTGCAGGGAACTCTGGATCGCACAAGAGACCTGGCTGACCCTTTGCCCTAGTTTACTGTCCAGCCTGCCTTGCAGATATTGCAATTCCCTTCCCCCCACCGTTTGTATCTGTCATTTAGAATCCAGGTGTTGCACTCAGGCGGCATGTGCATGACATTCAAGGCACACCGGCATCTTGTTTTTTCCTACCAAGTCCACACACAATCTGGACCTGCTTCCATTTTATTATGGAATGGAATTTATTATGGAATGCCCCCAAAAGCACTTTTTCACAAGCTAGTTTCATTGCCAAAATATAAAGCTCAAGTCAAATTGATTTTGCATTAGCCATTTGTGTGTGTCCATTTGCAAAAGGATGGTGGCGGTTCCAGCAATGGTGGGGGGTGGGCTGTAGCCTCACCTGCCTAATGATTTTCTGGAGAGGGGAGCCATATATCAAGAAAGCAATTACCACTTCCTTCCTTATTCACTGGCGCATGTGCAGGGAGGAAAAGGCATGGGTAACACAATCAAAGGGAGGGTTTTCGAGACAAATGTCTTCCAACAAAAAACGGGGGTGGGGGTGGGAGTTCAAGTGCGGATCAAACCACCCTTGAGGGCTGCAGAATCTAGAATCACTCTGAATTGAAAGCAGCATGTTGAAGACAAGCACACACAATTCTGTACAGAGGAAAAACTACTTACCAGTACACCTAACACACACACACCCCGCCTGTTTTCCAGAAAAAGTCTTTTGCAGTTTGGAAAACAAAGAGGAAATGCATTGAAAAGTGTGAGATAAAATAAATGGTGAACAACAATGCTTTTTTCCCTAGAAAAAACTTCCCACGAAGTTGTTACAGTTAGTGTCCCACTTTTTAACAACAACAGAAAGAGGTGCCTGTGCTGTGTACCCCTGAGTATCCCCTAAAATCACTGGTTAACAGGAAGACGTGTAAATACCCTGCAGGCAAATGGAGATGGTTGCAGGAATGAAAGTTCATTGTCATCCAAATGCGGCGTAAACAGATCCAAGCAAATGCTCAGTAAAAAAACCGGACATACTCTAACCTCGCCGTAAGCTTTTTGCAAGCAAATCAGGATGAACAAACAGATTGCCCAGAAAAGCCCAGTATTAGCCTCAGCCCCCACGCTTTGTCTGCAAAAGAAGATAAAGGCATAGCGACTTGCCAAAAGGCTCCTAAAACCCTTTCACACACCTTTATATAAATGTGTGGAGTGGAGACTTAGCTGGATCATGAAACCCTAACCTCCACATGTTCGTAAGAAGGTTCAGAAAGAGCCCCTGTGCATACGATTGCTTCTGTACACCTTTAAGAACACAGGGCTTGAGGTTGGCAGGAAAAGAGGGAGGTGGACACCAATCTTTGGAGTTGGTTGTTTTTAAGGCCACAAATTGATTGATTGATTGATTGATTGATTGCTCGCTCCAGGGAGCTCAAAGTGGCCTACATGGTTCTTTCCCCTCCTCTTACAATCCACACAACAACTCTGTGAGGTAGGTTAGGCAGAGAGGTGGTGACTGGCCCAAGCTCTTTTAATGACCAATGGGATCAGTGTCCATGGAGTGTGATGGAGAGGCCAGGCCATTTCCCTCTGGTGGCGCCATGCTCAAGATGGAGACTACAGGTTTCCCACAGACCTTCCCCAAGTCTCACCTGACCATGGTTAATGGTAGAAGAGAAATTCAAGGCAAAGGCCAGGCTACCTGGTTGACAGTTTTTAGCCACGGTGCAACTTTAGATCTCTCAAAAGCTTTGCCTGATCTGGAACTCCTGCAGCAACCGGCCCTCTTGCCGCAGCCATCCTGCTGGTGCACCAGGCAATGCCTATGAGATGCCCTCAAGTTTCTTCTCTAGCATCATAAAAAAGCCCTTGTAACTCTAACCCCAGAGGAACTGCAGGGCAGGGTTTCGGAACATTCAATTTGTTTCATTGCTTAAGCTCTGCCATTGCTTTCTAATGCCCATTTAGCTGAGACAGCTTGGCGTTACAAATGCACACAGAGTATTTTTGTGTGCGTGCTGAGTGTCCCTGATGTCTTCCTTCTCCATTTCAGTCTCAAAATCAGAGTGGTGGTGTTTTTTTTTAAAGGACCTTCCTTGCACCAAGGCAAGGGGACCTTCTCCTTCAGCGAGAAAACACTTTAACCCATAAATATTACTAAGCTGTTATCTCACGCTGGCCTGTTTACACAGTCGCCTAAGCTGACATAAACACCCATTTAACTGGCTTCAGCTTCCAATTTGTTTACACTAACTAAGAGGCAAAGCAGCGGAGGGGAAAGCAGGCAAGAACAGACATGTAGGGCAGCAAAGCATTATGCAATTGGGGGCTGCCACACTTTTCACCCCAACTCATTGCAGAGGATTAATAAATTACAGGAGCCTGTCTGGATCAGACCCAAGGTGTCTCTTGCCAGTACAGAATCCTGCTCCTTACTGAAGCCAATCGGATATCATTGTTATTTATTTATTTATTTCACTTTATATTCCCACCATTTTCTCCAGGGAGCTCCAGGTGTTATCCTCGCAACAGCCCTGTGAGGGAGGTTAGACAGAGAGACTGCGACTGGTCCAAGGTCACCCAGTGAGCTTTATGGATGAGCAGGGATTTTAACCCTGGTTTCCTAGGTCTTAGTCCATGGTATTCAGGCCTATACCATCCTCTGGAAAGGGGTTGTGCCGCTCATCTCGCTTTCAGGCTGAGGAAGTTGGCCTTGTCCAATGACAGCTTTCTGGATCATGTGGCCAGCACGACTAAACCACTTCTGGTGCAGCAGAGCACCGTGACAGAAACCAGAGCACACGGAAAACTGTTTACCTTCCTTCCACAGTGGTACCTATTTATCTACTTGCACTGGTGTGCTTTTGAACTGCTAGGTTGGCAGGAGCTGGGACAGAGCAACGGGAGCTCACCCCATCGCGGGGACCACCCACCTTCCGATCAGCAGGCCCAAGAGGCTCAGTGGTTTAGACCACAGCGCCACCCGTATCCCCGTGGGTTCTATTATTATTATGAGAGAGGGAGAAAGGTGTGTGCGTGTATTTTCCAGCCCAGTGGTTATTTTGCTTGCCCTTTTCTGCATCTTCTCTCAGCAGTATAACATCTCTCTTGAGATGCGGCCTTGATGGCCAGAACTAGGCTCAGTATCTCAAGGGTGGCCTCACCATTGATTTCTATAATTGCATTACAATACTGGCCATTCCATTTTCGACCCCTCTCCTAATAATCCCTAGTGTGGAATTCACATTCTTCGCAGCAGCTGCTACATGCAGGGTCAACATCTTTATTGGACTATTCACCACAATCCCAAAATGTACAAACAAACCCCTTCATTATTTCTGTTCAGGGGATGAATACAAGAAACAGGGGCCCTGAATAATTAGGGACTCTTAGCGTACCTCCCCCCTCCCTCCGACACACAGTAAGTGATCCTTGGAAACAGTGACATTACTCAAAACACTCAGGTGAGTAGACTTTGTGAATTCAGTGCAAATATCAAGGCCTGGGAGAGTTAACGTCAGATAGTAATCTAAAAGGCTACAGCTAAATTATCCAGAGATTCCTTCCTAGGGTAAACAAAGACCATTGGTTCAGTCTGACACCTTCAGGTATTGCTGTTTGTGTGGGCAACCTTTATGCGGCACACTGATCTTCAGCCGTTGGGTCAGCAAGGTTGCAGTCTGATCTGAGGTGGGTTGAAACAGCAATACCCACCACCATACAAATATTTGGTGAAAATGGTTGCCCAAATGCATGTTTGCATTAAAGGTGGGTCCCAGGTTTGGAAAAGCCAAAGATTGCTTATGTAGCACAATACCACTCAAGGGATCAAATCAATCCAGAATCACTTGAGTTTCAGCTTCGGGGCTTAGCTTGTAACCTCACATTGCCCAGAACAACGTGAAAAGCTACAAAAAAAACCCACAAAAAAAAAACAAACATAAATCCTAACTGTACATAATACAATCTTAATAACATTGTTAAGTGACTTCTTCAAATCCCCCGACTGAGTTTCAATGTATATCATTGTAACAGTTTTCCAAAACAAATTTCTCATAAAATTAACTTAATCACTTAACATCTTTATTTCTTTTCGTTTTAACTTTAAACATATTATTCTATAACATCACATATTTAAATCCTAAGCCTATCTGGTATTTGCAAGTATTTCTATTTAAATTATCTTAGCCTAGTTTGTTTATAAATTTTGGAAAATCAATAAAAATTTTTGGAAAACACACACCAAAAAACCTTTATTCTACTTAAACAACAATACCCACTCAATTAAATTCTGCACCGAAAAGACCTGCTAGCTGGATATGCAATGCTATACACCTGTTTGTATGTGATTATTTTTCTTTTATGCTGCTTTTCCAGCTGTGCAGTATACCTCTGTTGGACCTCTGTGACACTTGTTCAGGCTTATTGTGGCTCCTGGGATCTGTAAGCTCAGAAAGGAACTTGCTATAAAGAAGGAGAAGAAGCTGAATGGGGCACCAGATATTTAACTCTACATTCACTTGGTTCAGTTGCAAAATGTACAGAAAACATGGGCATGG